TTTCCCGAAAAGTAATATCTACTTTTTCAGGAAAAGTAGATGTAACTTTCGGAAAGTAGATATTTCCGTTTTTTATGATACAAATTTCCCGTTTTCTATGATAATCTACTTCGCAAAATTAGGTAATATTTCCCCCAAAATTCGAAAATCTACTTCCCCGAAGTCGATAATCTACTTTCCCGAAAAGTAGAAAATCTATCTACTTTCCGGAAAAGTAGATAACCAACTTTCCCGGAAAGTAGATATTTCCCAGTTTTTATGATACAAATTTCCCGTTTTCTATGATAATCTACTTCGCAAAATTAGGTAATATTTCCCCCAAAATTCGAAAATCTACTTCCCCGAAAAGCCGATAATCTACTTTCCCGAAAAGTAGAAAATCTGTCTACTTTTCGGGAAAGTAGATAACCAACTTTCCCGGAAAGTAGATATTTCCCATTTTTTATGATACAAATTTCCCGTTTTCTATGATAATCTACTTCGCAAAATTAGGTAATATTTCCCCCAAAATTCGAAAATCTACTTCCCGAAAAGTCGATAATCTACTTTCCCGAAAAGTAGACAGATTTTCTACTTTTCGGGAAAGTAGACAACCAACTTTCCCGGAAAGTAGATATTTCCCGTTTTTTATGATACAAATTTCCCGTTTTCTATGATAATCTACTTCGCAAAATTAGGTAATATTTCCCCCAAAATTCGAAAATCTACTTCCTGAAAAGTCGATAATCTACTTTCCCGAAAAGTAGAAAATCTGTGTACTTTTCAGGAAAGTAGATAACCAACTTTCCCGGAAAGTAGATATTTCCCGTTTTTTATGATACAAATTTCCCGTTTTCTATGATAATCTACTTCGCTAAATTAGGTAATATTTCCCCCAAAATTCGAAAATCTACTTCCCCGAAAAGTCGATAATCTACTTTCCCGAAAAGTAGAAAATCTATCTACTTTTCGGGAAATGAATAATAACTTCCCCGGAAAGTAGATATTTCCCGTTTTTATGATACAAATTTCGTTTCTGCGGTAATCTGCTTCCATAAAATTGGTAATATTTCCCCAAAATTCGAAAATCTACTTCCCGTCGATAATGTTTTCGAAAGTAGAAAATCTGTGTACTTTTCAGGAAAGTAGATAACCAACTTTCCCGGAAAGTAGATATTTCCCATTTTTTATGATACAAATTTCCCGTTTTCTATGATAATCTACTTCGCAAAATTAGGTAATATTTCCCCGAAAATTCGAAAATCTACTTCCACAAAAAGTCGATAATCTACTTTCACGAAAAGTAGAAAATCTATCTACTTCTCGGGAAAGTAAATAACCAACTTTCCCGGAAAGTAGATATTTCCCATTTTTTATGATTCAAATTTCCCGTTTTCTATGATAATCTACTTCGCAAAATTAGGTAATATATCCTGACAAAAAACAAAACAATAATACTTTCTCTTAACTAAGGCCTTGACAGCCTTAATTATTAACATCTTAGGACCAAAATGTTTAATTGTTGGCACCTAGTTTCCTGAATAAAGTAATGTTGAATTATATAAGAACTGTGAACCTTGACAAACAAGACTGAACATCTAACAAGTAAAAGGTTAAGGTATCTAGTTCATCCAAGAATGCTTAATCCAATACCACATCTACTGGTAAAGGTGTACTATCACCTACAGTATTTAAAATGCAACAGTAAATAAGCCCAGTCAAAATTAATTCATATGGTCATTTTTTAATATTGTACAGTACTATATATTAATGAACATGTCTCCTTTTTAGACAGAGCTGAATGAGAGTTTTCCAAATAGTAGATATTATCACAATTCAATGTGAGCTAAAATTTAAATCCTTGTCCACCTTAAGTCCCAAATAGGCAAACATTCAATGGTTCATAAACATAAAACCATATGATCCACTGTCCTGCAATATTGTATTTCATCATGCCTCTTTAGTGCCTACAAATCAGGAGAGTTCAGATATTGATACCAGTGCCTACAAATCAGGTGTGTTCAGATTTTGATACCGAGTTATCAGACATGAAATTACCCCAAGTGGTACAGATATATACCCTTAAGTATTACAAGTGAAAATGTCAATTACATATACAGTGGTCGTCCCTCGGTTAACAAACACAATTCGTTCCAAAGAGTCGTTCATTAACCGAATCTATTATTTCAATGGGATATTGGGAAATTGGTTCCAACTCACAGAAAAAGTACATACAAAGTACTGTATACCAGAAATGGAACTAACAAAACATTAAATATAAACTAAATACAGTACAGTACTGTCCTGTACAATAATAAAAAAAAACCATTAGAATACTGTATTTTAACTTACTTTGGGGTGTGTATGTCGCATTACCGGCAGCTTTGTTTACATATCAAACAGCTGATTGTAGTGGTCGATGATGACATGCCATATTCTTTAGAGTGCATTGGTTCTAATGCCTTCTTCATGTTTCATAATAATTTCTGCACTGTATATTATCAATATGTTAACTAAATTTCAGATGACCAAAAATTTTACAGTAAAAATGCAAAAATATACAAGAGACCAACAAAATCGATGTTCACTCCATTGTAAACAAAGTTAAACTGAGAAGGGTTGTTGGGCGATTCAATCAGCTGATGAGCTCACAAAAACTGCTTCCTGTACTGTCTATATTATCATTGTTAACTAAATTTCAGAATGACCAATAATTTTAATATAAAAAATGCAGAAATACTCAAGAGACCAACTTTCTTGATACTTACTTCACTGGAAATGAATGTAAACATAAAACCAATTACTGTATTGGCGGACTAGCCGATCAGTTGATGCGCACAACAAAACGTGTTTGTTGTAAGGATTTCGTTAGTCAAAGTTTTCTTCGTTATTCGAATTGAAAATTCTTATGGGAGCTAATTCGTTAACCAAAATTTTGTTAATCGAACCGTTCGTTAACCGAGGGACCACAGTACAATACTATATTTAATACCTAATTGAGGAAACGTGGATATGTGTTTGTACTCCAAATAAAATTACAATTCTTGATTTTCTTTTTATTGCCATCTGTAAAAATAATTCAAATAACATACAAGATACCCACGCTAACTTCTTTTAACAATCCAAGTCCTCAAACCAAGGACTAGAACTTCTGGGTAATCATCCCTACTATCCCTACAGTAGGATCTTGATACAGATACATGACAAATATGTTGAGACAGATTATTAAATAATGTTTGTAACTAAGTACAGTACTAGTATAAGAGTCAAGATTATATTAATAAAATTGTTATCGATGGATGTAAAAAATAAAAATAAATTAATCATTTTATTACTACATCATGTAGCTGAACAAATGGATGTAGCTGATCAATTATTATTGTGTAACATTTTATTGTAGCAATTCTTTTATTATGAGAAAACAATAATTTCAACTACAGCACTCATGAATTTTTCCTTCAAGTTTCACCTTTTTTTTCTTCAAACTTTCACTTCACTTCACTACCAAATAGCCATTCTTAATTCTTTATTGAGGACTTGCACCATTGAAAATAACACCAGATCATTACTGGCCACAGCCTAGTGGGGCGGGAGAGTTCACGAGTCTGCTCAATCCTCTTACACTGGAGAGGCAAGAGTATTATGCTCATCTACCATGCTCATATAATACTGCTTCTGGTAGAGAGGCTGAGTCTACAGCTCATCCACTAAATACGGAGTACACAACTTTTTATAAAGGTCACTCCACCAGCTGGGATTACAGTTCTAGCGGCTGTCATGACTGCACTCTAGTAAGTGTCCGTACAGGATGTGCCACAAGCCATTTTGGATTAAGGCCTAAACCTCAGACTGACAAAATTATACAAAACTTCCTGATGTTGCTTCACTTGAGAGAAGCAATTACTACTTGTTAGGAACCTAACGGCTAAATCAACTTGCGGCATAATCGTGGACGACCATCTGATGGACGTAGCAGGATCCAACTCCTGGAAATGGAAAATTCATTATAAATATTTATTTTATTTTTTTAAATTAAACACAAATCAAAATATTCTGCCATACTAGAGGCAACCACATACCATGGAAACAATTTCAGATGACAGTGATCTTCAGGACTAGGACCCGTATTCACAGTCGACATACCCGACCACAGGGAACCCAAAGCTCGTGTAGACAGACATCATTTAAGAATGTGCTTTGAGCACTATGGTAAGTCGGGATCCCAATCCACAAGGTGGGGCTACCAACATGGGTAAATCAGCAGGATGGCGGGTGGTTGATATGCCACAAAACAGATTACGTTTCAGGATGTTAATATAATTACATTCTGTTTACTTAATTTCTGCTACCAATTCTTGATTATTGTGCCCGTTTGGTTCTCAGCTGCAGAGTTCCACTTAAAAATAATTAATTGACAAGGATTTGAATACAGCTGCTTCCTTTATGATGAGGCTGACTGTGTTGGTCTTTATCGTCGTCACTGCTGGTGCTTTGTACTCGCTTTATAAATTCTTCTTGGACTCTAATCATCCTTTTCAAGAATTCGTCCCAGAATCTTATGTACAAGGCTAGATGTACTAGATATTCATATAGTATTAATCTGTAGGGTCACAGCCCTGATAGTGATTTAACTGAAGAAGCTATAGACTAAATGTAATGTAAAATTCAGACATGCATTATTTCGGTGACGAAATTTCTAATTTTGGACTTACATTTCTAGGGGTAGGACTCCAAAATAAAATAAACCTAACATAACTTACAATTATACCTACATACCAAAACATGTTTTATGTAAAAGAACAATAATGAAAAGTTTCCTATTGTTGCACGTTAAACCCACGCACCTCTTTTAAAGCACAGTATTACCACAATTTTTTTTAGGTATACTGCAATTGTCAAGTTCGGTACGACTGGTAAGTGTGAAACATGAGAATAGCCAATATTGACCAGCACCGACTATACTCACGTACCCTAATGACTCGCATATATCAGGATATGTGACCTTTCCAATCTAATATAACATCTCGCCTCAGCAGCCTCCAGTCTGTCCGGCAAGGAACTCCTGGTCTTTTGATATACAAGTGTATTTCCCGAAAACCGATGTCCCGTTAACCGCAAGTTCGCATAACCGATGAATACACACGGGAAATACCCCATAAGTTTTGTTGATACCCCGGATATCCGACGATCGACAGAACTGTTTTGAATTTGGCGGGCAGTGGTGTGGTGTGAATTCTTGCTACCAGAAGAACCTGTTCACTGCTCTGACCCATTCCCACCATCTTTGCTCTTGTTTACATTTACTATGTGTCTCTGACTTACTGTTTTTTCGTTATTTCTGATTTCGTGTATTAATGAAGCCTGAACACCACAGTACAATAACAGTTCCTCTTGTCCTGGGCAAATTGATCTAATGTGATACGGCATAATAAAGCATAACAAGAATGGTAATGGAACTTAGACTTGAACTTGCCCCACAAGACCCTCTTTACCATCTTCAACACAGGTAAACAAGTCTCAATTTAGCTTTACATTGCTCATTTAAGGCTTCTTGTGCTTGCTTTATATGCGTCGGTTGTCAGGGTACGTACGGGGTACTCCTAAAAAGAAGGTGTTAGTGAAAAAGAACCCCGATCTCATCAAACAGTTCTCTCATATCAATCCCACTTTACCGTATATGTATGGATTGATCAAAACACATAAGCTTAATAATCTATATACGTCCTATCGTGAGTTCTGTGGGTTCTGTTACGTATAAATTATCAAAGTGGTTGGTTAGGATGCTATCCCCTCTTACAGGCCAAATTCACATACACACAACAGCAGTGATTTAATTGATAAACTCAAAAAACACAATGAACCATGTGAATTAATAAGTTTTGATGTAAATTCACTTTTCACTAAAGTGCCAGTGAATGACCTACTTTCATTTCTTAAAGATAAATTGCTACTGTTAGATTTGACTATTAAACATGATACTTTTCTCAAATTGATAGTTATGCATTACTGACAGTGTGGGGCTAAAAAATCCATTCAGTCTACTCAAACCAGGCAAATTCCTTCATTTAAAAATATTTTTACTCGACCTTATCGCAATGAATTTGTCCCATTAGTTCAGTCCCTTAAATTATTATATATTAATGTTGTTTTTAGTATGACTCAACTATTACTAATATATTAATCAAGAATAGCCCAACCTTGAATGTAAATGGAAGTGTTTACTGCATTCCATGTAGCAATTGTAATGTAAATTATATAGGACAGACTGGGCAAGCATTGAAACTCAGAATAAAACAGCACAAGTACAATATTAGAACAGCATTTGAAAGTTTTCAAATGCTGTTCTAATATTGTACTTGTGCTGTTTTATTCTGAGTTGCAATGCTTTCCCAGTATATATATATATATATATATATATATATATATATATATATATATATATATATATATATATATATATATATATATATATATATATATATATATATATATATATATATATATATATATATATGCAAGTAAATCACTGTAGGTGCGCGTGATCTAGGTATATGCTGATAACCACAAGGAAAGAAGAAAACACGAAGTTCCCAAGCGCTTTCGTGTAATTCACATCTTCAGGGGTGAGTACAGACTAGAAAGAGTAATACAAATCAAGGTGTGTATATACAGAGGAGGGTGTAATCAAGACCCACAAGCCCAATAACCCAGCAAGACCCATCATTAGCTCAGTTGGGTCAATCTCTTATAAACTATCTAAATGGTTAGTTTCTTTACTAAATCCCCTAGTTGGCAACATTTCTAACTCCAATATCAAGAATAATATGGATCTGGTTGATAAACTCAATAACTTACACATTAATCATGATTTTAAACTGGTCAGCTTTGATGTAACGTCACTCTTTACAAAGGTCCCAGTTGATGATTTACTAGAGTTCCTCATAGATTCCCTGGATAACATTTCACTGCCCGTCTCGAAAGACGACTTCATCGAACTCATCAAACTATGTATTAAGGATTGCAAATTCGAATTCAATGGGGAATATTATGCTCAAAAATTTGGTATGGCAATGGGTAATCCACTCTCACCTGTATTAAGCAACCTATATATGGAATTCTTTGAAAAGAAACTATTAAGTAATATTTTACCACCCTCAGCAGTCTGGTTTAGATATGTTGATGATGTATTATGTCTCTGGCCATGTAATGAGGACCTAAAAGCTTTCCTGCCACAACTTAACAACTTAGCCCCCTCGATCAAATTCACTGTGGAATTAGAGCAAGACTGTAAATTGCCATTCCTAGACTGTCTGATACACAGAATAGGTAACACTTTTAAGTTCAGTATTTATAGAAAACCAACTAATGTGTGTTCATACATTCATTATTATTCTGCCCACCATAATAAAGTCAAACAGTCAGTATTTTCAACAATGTTTTTACGTGCCTTGAGAATTTGCAGTCCGGAATTCATCGATGAGGAATACAAATATATATATAATATTGGCTCAAACCTTAAATACCCTAGATCTTTCATAGACAAATGCTTAAACATTACTAAGAAAACTTTTTATAGAACTGACCCCAAGCCCACCCATGACCATAAGAATATCTTAATATTACCATTTCACAAAAATTTCTCACACATTCCTGCACAGCTAAAAACCTGGAACGTCAATGTGGCATTTAAAAACTCATGCACTGTTAAACAAATGTTAATCAAGAACTCCCCCAACAACACAATTGGTTGCATTTATAAAGTTCCTTGCAAGGAATGTAATATGTTTTACTTAGGCCAGACAGGTAAAGATCTTGCAACTAGAATTAAACAACACAAATACAGTGTTAGGACAGGCCAGGAATCCAATGCTCTGTTTGTTCATTTGAGGGATAACAAGCATTGCATTGACTGGGATAATGCCTCCTCAATATTACCATGTAAGTCAATTGACAGTAGGAACATCATAGAATCTAGTCTTATTAAACATACCGAAGCATTCAACATGAATTTGAGTAACGGCATGTACAAGCTGGACAATTTTGTAATTAAGAAGATTTGTGAACAGGTGAGAAGGCCGGGTCACTTGACCATCTGACCTGACCACCAACCGTTGTGTGCTATTTAAAGATTAGTAGGGTCATTACCTAATACCTGACCATTGTGGACCTGGTCTCACCCTCCTCTGTATATACACACCTTGATTTGTATTACTCTCTCTAGTCTGTACTCACCCCTGAAGATGTGAATTACACGAAAGCGCTTGGGAACATAGTGTTTTCTTCTTTCCTTGTGGTTATCAGCATATATATATATATATATATATATATCCTTACAATCCCAACAAAGTTAATAGCACTTAAAGATGATTCTTCCCTACATTTTTTTATGAGAGCCAGCCATTATAAAACTTACCTATAATGAATTAACGCATTTTGTATTTATGAGATTCCTGGCAGTCGGAGAGTTCACCATGGAATTCCATTTCAATCTGGAAGTCAAGGTCACGGTTATTTCGCTCATTGGGCTTCATTGTGAATGTGCCAAAGATTTCTTCTCCGTGTTTCACTGTCAGATAATCATCGAAGTAAAAGACCGTCTGTTTCCAATGTGTATACCGTGCCTCAGGAGCTGTGAAAGAATTGAAGTTTAAGATTAATTAATTGATAATGTTTATGCTAAAATAATTCAACACATTTAATGATGCATATTCCACCTGGCACTGAAACTACACCAGATACAATAATATGTATACATACAACTAAAGATGACCTTTCAGCCACTGAGGACCGAGAGATTATGCAGTACAAATTTGGGGGACCAACCAATGATTCTACCATTTTAAGGAACATCGAGGGGTCTTGGGGATTAATCCTCAGGCCCCGGATGACGTTCTTGAACATCCGACTAGCACTCCCTGGGTGATGTTCCAGAATGTCCGCCTATTTTCCCGCCATCTATTTAATTTTTGGAAGTTTGTTTTTTCCCCCTTGATATACCCCACGGGGACTGCCAGCAGCACCCTAACCCGGAGCTTAAGAGTTAAAAAACAAAAGTTTTCCCTTTCTTTCATTTGGGAGGGATATAATGAACCAAAAATTTAAGAAAGATGACCAGTACCAAAACTCGCAAATTATTACTTCTAAATTGCAAAAGCTGGAGGACCCCCTTCTGAATTTACTTTCAAGATACACTTCTGGAGATTAGATGAATGACAAATGCATGTTGTTTCCATATGTGGCATCCCAGGCGTAACCCATTTTTTTGTTGGAAGCACTATTTTTGTCCTAGCTCTATACGATGGTAGTTGATAAGATCTCCTGACTACACTGTAAATAAGGTTGAAAGCCCTTTGAAAATAGGGTAGAACATCAATTTGTAGCAGACAGGAAATTATGGGCTTGGCTTCGCATCGTCAGGTGCTCTCGTCCCGTCAGTGAGTGAGAGGAGCAGGCGGCCAATCACAGCGGCTAGCCTACAGCCCCTTCCCCTGTCTCGGCCAATGACAGTAAGCATCTGCTATCTACATCAGGGCCCCTCCAGCCAATGAGGTGGAATCCCTCTCCCTCAGTTCTCCTTTGTTGTGACGGGACCTACACTCTGATATCGATTAAAGTAAAAAAAGCCATAAGCGGGTGAGTTTTGTTGCTTCTAGTCAACATTGCAACAACCTAGTACATTACTTCATGTCGTGCTACCTACCATTTGCACGCATCAGTCCTTTAGCTTCAAGATGCAAAAAAATGAATGCTGTATCTCAATAAACGACAAAGTTACGCATGTTTGAAGTTGGAAAAACTTTAAACACGGTTTTCTCGGTTTCAAATTTGGGCGCGAATACCCCATACGATGTGGGGCGCCTCATGTGTTCTTTCTCTTTGTTTGAGAGAAATAAAGGGTACAAGGCCTTGCAATCAATGGGCAGTATTGCAGAAATCACAAATTAATACCCCCCCCAACCGATTTAACTTTTCAAATAAATATTTATGGAATAAGAGCAAAAAGATATATGGTTTCACATATATAATTATCTTGAGAATAAAACAAAAAATAAAAATGTGGAACCAAACACAAAAAACTACAAAATTTTGGGAAGCCCTTTACTGACTTATCCTTCAAAATGCTATATCTATAAATCAGAGAAGCTATGTGGCTTTCTTGGGTTATCTACTTTCATTCAAAATGAATCAAGTGGACAAAAAAATTACAAAAATAATTAAAAATATAAATTGTGTCCTTGGGCTTTATTAGCTAAATAAGATTAACATAGTACTCTCATGGGGTTTTGCAGTATTGCACTTCGCTTCTATATAATGAATTCCAACTCGGTGCAGTGTGCTGGGTATTCAAACATATGAGTGAGGCACAACTGGGGAGGGGGTGAAACCCCACAGACAAGTGAAGCTCTATAGCAGTGGTTCTGAATCTTAGAAAGAGTTTAAGGGGTGCACAAGGAGTCAATGGAAAAAGGCTGTCATGAAGGGCTTACTTTTAAAATAAGTATACACACAAATATATGTACCATCCATTTCATTAATGGGTACCTGCTTGTGCTTTTTGAGAATATTTTCAGTTTTGCACAATAGCTAGGTTGTACATGGATGAACCCTTAAGCCCCGGGCTAGGGTGCTGCTGGCAGTACACCCCCCCCCCCTCCCACAGGGTTAAATAAAAAAAATCAACTTTTCAAAAAAGGGGGGGGGGGGATAGGTGGCCGTTCTGGAACGTCACCCGGGGCCTAAGGGTCAATGAATAAAACTGCTAAACTTCCATGAATGTGTGTGTACAATGTAAAATATCAGCTTCTTATGAAGCATACACACACGTCTCCGAGTCAGCTGTGTGACTGCCCGGCTGAACTGTGTTGAGTTTCCCAGAGGATGTTTTGAGTGTAAAATGCGCTATTTTTGTGAATAAAATATGTGCTATGTATTTTATGATATGCTATGTATCTACCTTATTGTTTATCATAAACTTAAAAAGTACTTCTACACATTATGTCACTGATATAAATATAAACCCAAATAAATATGGGGGCACAATATGAAGATTTACCATGCAGATATGCTTCAGAATCAAGCATGGTAATCCAACTAGCCCCCTTAACCAGAATGTGGACTGGCATAAATGTCAGCCTAGACTCAAAGAATAATAAATTAACATCGACAAAACTTAGAACATAGAACCTAATACTTCTTAAATGACAATACCAAGAGCTGTAGTAGTTCCTGCTAACAATACCTGATGGCACAAAAGAGACTATACACTTAGATTTTGTAGCAAATAAATAAACCAAGGTGGAGTCAGTCTTTGGACATCTTCTGATGACATTTAGCTAAGAACTGAATAAAAGATAGCACAGCCATGATTGGTACAAAAAGTGCTGACTGATCCGACTCAAGATATTACAAGGCCTCTAGAGAAATGTAGTTGAAGGCAAGATTAATTTGTTTACCCATTTTGATTAACTCATCTAAATTACCAACTTAATGACAGCTATGATTTTTAATGATTGCTCAATGAATGGCAGTACAGTCTCTGCAACTGGACTTCAATCACTCCTCACAGTTGTTTAAATCAATCAATAGACTGCAGGGAGAAACCCTTGCCGTAGGTATTGACATCTCTATACATTTGACAACTTGGCATTCGTTCACCATTACTTGCAAAATTGCTATAAAATGACCTTTCCTTCGGTCCCTTCTTTTCTAGCTGCCTAAGTCAATGTAGTTGTCGAGCAGCTCCAAACTTTGCAGCAGCATAACATGAGCTTAAGGCCTATTCCTGTCATTTGAAATTTTAGAGCTGACATTAACAGACGAATGAATTGTTTGAGCATTTACATATTTATTTGGCAGCAAACTCCTCAGCTGTACTCCAACACGATCTGTCAGGAGTCCAGTATAAAGATGAAAGAATATCTAGCTTTAAATTCATTCATTTTCAAATCCTATACAAAAAACTTGGAACTCTGAAGCCAGGGGGATTTTACCGCTTATATTTGCTGGCTATATGGAATTTGTCAATCAAGGTCCAAAGATAAAAATAATCATCAAAGATTTTCATATACTGTACATCTTTGCCCTATTCCTCTTCACTTCTACTACTACGTACTGTATTAGGAAAGTTAATTCATATAGTAATAAAGATTACCTCTAAACTAAAGGAACTCATAAATAAAAACTGTTGAATGTATTATTCACCTGTTGAGAAACCTGTCCTCTTGTGACATTTAGTGAATTCAATATTGAAGTATGTGATGAGAGCGTGTACGTAGTCATTCCTTCGTACCTGTAAATTAGAGTATAAGAAGAGCATTTATGGACTACATGCTGAGGGAAAATTGGATTAAAGGTCTTTTACGTATTTAAGATATAACATTAAAGTATAGGGAATTCAAAATAAGCCGGGCATTGGGCAAATTGATAACTTTACGATTGTGCTGCACCTAGCTATGTTAATATGATATTGGCATTTAGTGTGGAGTGTTAAGGCATAAAAGCTTCAAATACGTCATAATTAAACTATTGCCCATTTTTTAAAACATCCAGGGCAGTAAGTCCAAAGAGGAATCCCAAATATTAGGCTAGTTTAAAGTGACACGAGAAATGGATTCATCAAAGTTGTTATTTGAGTTTAACAAATTCATTTGTCGGGTTACTTAAAAATAACCCGATGTTCAGGATTCCTTTTCGAACTTGCTGCACCAAATGTAAAAAAAAAAAGACGTATGTGATAGCTTAAAGTCGTCGTCGTCCCCCCCCCCCCGATTTAATGTAAGATGATAGGAACCATGAACAAACACATCCACTCGCCCCAAATTTGCTACCTTTCATTCTTACTGCGGTACTATAATAGAATTATTTGCCAAGCCATGTCCTGGTGTCCCTAAAACTGTTTTTGTGGCTGTGAGTGACATGGCTCTCCTTGCAAGCAGTTTTTTCAATATTTTAAGCCTGTAGAAAAGCATTAACCCATGAGTCATCAGTATGGTAACAGTATATTCTGTAACCCATCTCTTTCAGCACCTAAACAAATGCCACCATCTCCATTACCCTCCTGAGAAAGTTGACTTTAGAATAGGTAAACTGAGATTCAATATTATTGGCTGAGCTTTATAAATGGTGTAAAGGTCTGAGGTATGAGTCAGTGAATATAGCTATTACTGGTATAAATTTGCATCAAGAAGCAAAACTTACTTCTCAGGCCCTTTGGACTTTATTCCCAATGTCATCTATTAGTCGTTAATATGCATGCTTAATTGAGCTACTTAACTTTACCTGAAGGTGGAATGGAGCACTGAAGGCCAGATCCTCTTTCTTCACAGTGTATAGGTCCACTTCCTTCACGAGGCAAGAGTTTGTTACCACCTAAGACAGCAAAATAAATTTTTATAAGTACAGGACTGGTTTATGATACGTCATTATATAAAAAATAGATTTGTTTATTCATTTAATTACCGATAACAGTGAAATCCTACCTGTTTTGCTTCTACGACATCAACCAGAGGCTCTGTCATTGCCACCTCCCTGATGCAGGACATGTCAAATCCATAAACACTATCCCACCAATTGATTTTATCATCCTTGTATTGGCGATCCTGTTGAAATAAAAAGTGACATTAGCAGAAGAATAATTTTTTCACAAACCAGCCGATTCATGCGAAACTCTCAAGAAATATATGGTAGTCACAGGGCATAATTGTGAGTTCATACTTTAGTATCATAGTCATAACTAGATGTATCAGGCTATACACATTTAAATTTTCAAGGGAACAAAATAATGGTTCCACTTAATTCTCCATGATATGCTCTAAATTCTGAAAAATCAAGGTCAATTTATTTTTAATTGATTCAGTAATTTTATTAACATTATATTTTAAAAATTTAATGCACACACACACATACAAGCCCCCCCCCCCCCAAGTTCGTGGATGACACCCTGGATGTACCCAAGAATGTCTGTGGGTAGTTTTAAAGTTGTCGGCATTTTCGCGGCTGGGACAGGGAGCCATTCGTTCTAGAGACAGCAATTTCCTTTACCTGCATTGTAAATATGTGTGTGTGTAGACACACAAACAAAACACATACAAATAAATAATACAGTAATATCTCCGTTAGCCGGAATCCCTCAAACCAGGAACTCTCCGATAGCCAGAATTGAAATTTCTCGGGAAATTGTACCCAAAGCTGGAATTTTCCGGCATTGGGAAAGATTTCCCGAGGGGCACATTTTCCGGAAAATTCTAGAACATTTTCCCGATACCCAGAAAATTCCTGGGATGGGGTAGATTTTTTCCGGGTTTGAGAGATGAAAATCAAACGTATTTTCTGGAAATTCGAGATATTTTTTCCATTACCCGAAAAATTCCGGGGATGAAGGATAATTTTCCGGTTTCAAGAGATGATGTAATGGGCAATCTCTGGAACTTCCGAGAACATTTTTCCGTTACACGGAAAATTCCGGGGATGAGGGATTTTTTCCAACTTTGAGAGAGTTGTCTCGGTACCCGAATATCTCTCACTCCCGGAAGTGCTCTGCACCAATTGTTCTAGCTAACGGGGATATCACTGTAATTGGAAAATCCTCTTACAAATAATCAGAAACAAATTTATTTAAAATATACCCTCAAGTCCATGCTTTATTAATAGAGCACGGACTTGAGGGTAGACTGGCACACTTTTAATCAATTTGTGAGAGTATATATATATATATATATATATATATATATATATATATATATATATATATATATATATATATATATATATATATATATATATATATATATATATATATATATATATATATTATATACTGTATATATACATACATACATACATACATACATACATATATATACATACATACATACACACACACACAATACAGGTAAAAGAAATAATGTACCCCCCCATCTGCAAATATTATTCACGGATTTGGTGATTCGCGGCCATTTTGAGAACCTAACCCCCGCGAATTTGAGGGGGCCCCGTATATATACAGTATAGATGAAAAGTTGGATGACCCTTACCTCAATACCAGCAACAAATAATGTAGCACGGTCAGGGAACAGCATACCGTCAGGAGCCATCCACTTATCCCGGGCATAAAGCACTGTTTCCAGCATTGATTCATAAAAGAGACAGTAGCCCATCCACTCGCTAATAATAATATCAACCTTCTCTACGGGTAGTGTCACTTCCTCCACTTTGCCATGAATGATCTCCACAACTGGTTTTGAATGGAGGAAAAAATGCAAATAATAACTTAATAAATAAGGGATATATTACACAGAAAACAAGAGTAACACAACACATTCTTCATTACAAACAATTTCACTGTTTATACTATAAGTGGTATTATACAGTATATGTAATATAAGAACTTTACTGTAATAAATGACTGAAAATACAAAACAAAAACACACTGTAGAGGAAAAGATCATTACAAATGACATGGGCAACACCTCAACACAAAAGCCTTCAGTACAGTAAGCTAAAAAATTATTTTGCTGATTTGTAATCATAACAAATACTACCAATTTTTTATTTTTAAAAGGAAACTAAATTACTTTATTTTGCCACAAATTAATTTATCATTACGTAATTCCCCACCAAAAGATGCATCTTGGCATGAGAATATAGAGAAGTAACAAATGGCATCACAACACATGGACACTGCCAAGGTGAGTGCACTTGCACAAAAAGTTAACAATTTTTTCTTGTTTTAAAGTGAAAATGAAAATATATTGTCATCATGCGCACTTGGAGCACATAATCTCCAGTTTTCTGAATTTTTCACAGCGAGTCAAACTTCCCTAACACAAAAATTTACCATCGTTAAACATGGGTGATATAACTTTTATATTGCTAAACCACAACACTGCGAAGTGAATGATCATTAAACGAGGATAGCTGTATGTCATCCTTTTTAACTTCCCACATTTCACTGCCATACAACATTATATTTCTAATGCCAGTTGCATACCTTTCGTTTCACATGAAGGTCCTGTCACCATCATTAAAGATATGTTTTCCCTTTTTCAGACTTCACACACTAGTTTTCTTGCTCACTTTTCTCTCGTATGCTGCCTTATCCATGCATGTCTTTCCCAAAACACTGCAGTCTCTACATCTGAATACTTAAGGCTCAAGTACATATCAAACTTTCACCTTACCATTGTATGAAGCAATAGTGTATCACTAATGTCCTTCCCCAAATAATATTTTGGTTTTAAGACACTCCTTAAAAAATGGCAAAAAAATAAATTTGTTTGACTATCATTTAATTGTAGAAATCACACTAACTGTATAAAAATCTTAAATAATTTTCATATTCTAGTTTTGTAATACCAAGCAGTGCCTATTATGGACTTTAGCATTCTGTTATAACCATTAACCCAATTTACCTTTATCTAAATTGTTTGCCGCTACAATTTTTTTGGCGTGCTCTACGATGTTGGACATTTCAATGCCAATCACTCTAGTAGCACCAGCTTTGGCAGCAAACATAGAGAGGATTCCAGTTCCACAGCCTACATCCAGTACAGTCTAGGGAAACAAAGCTTATTAACCATTAATGTCAACATACCTTGTAAAAAACAGTTCTACATAATTCTCAATTTTAATTACAGACATGACTAACAATAGAGGATGCTTGAACATGAATGCAGGGAGTTGCACCTGGGAAGTATGTGACCTAATAACACTTTCAGTTTCAAAAGCATGCAACAAAATCCTTAAATGATGGAATTATATTCCAACATTCCCCTATTATTGTTAATTTATTCTAGAAGTGTGGGGGATTGACCCAAAGAAGGTTCCTTTAACTCGTAGTCCGGAAACTCGCTTAACTCGGTCCATTGTGGCTGCCATTTATCAGTAATATATATACAGCACAGGTACAACAAAGTATCAGCAGTATCGACCAAAATTAAACTAATATTGTTTCTACTACACTTAAAATATTATAAAAAACTAACTTATATACTGGAGGAGGCCAGCGTTCTTGATAAACTTAAAAACTCTATCCTTTGGAAATGAGAACCAAGGATAGATAGCACAGTCCTGTAGTTGCCATCTTTCACACACACACACACACACACAAAATCCATTAGTCTCTTCTACTAAAAGATTCAGAAAACTAATAAATTGCAGCAGAATTACTTCTTTGGTTATTAACAAAAAGACAAAACTTGGCCACAGGAAAAAAAATTTACTTGCAAAACCTATCAATCATTTATAGTGCAATCCTCAGCCCAACACTCCTGACCTGATGTATACAACCATTATATCACTTTTCCTCCTCCCACCCCAACACTTCAAGTTATTGTAGTCACTTCCAAAACCTTAACATCGCCAAGCATGCTTATAACTCTGCCTTTCTCATCTATTATATCTAACACATAGGTCAAAATATTCTTCCCACTTCTTTTACCTTTTCCCAAAATATGAGGTCTGACAATTAAGTTCGCAAACTTAATTGTCTGTTTTCATCAAACCTCTGGAAAAATAAAAAAACTTTCAAACATGAGTAAAAATTTTAAAGCAACAGATCATCATGTTTGTGGTTATAGAAAACATTCACGAGGATGTTCTTAACTTTCTTATACAGTAAAACCCCGATAAATCGGATTTCAATATATCGGAATTCACCTTTTTCGGACTCTGAGATGCTCCGGTCACCAGAAATACTATAAAAAAGAAAAAATTAAGTGGGGAAGATTAATAAAAAAAATCTTTATAAATGAACCACACTTACTGAATACTGTACAGTGGTCTAATCAGATTTGCTATAGGCTTACTGAGAACTTAAGACACTTGAGTAAGCAAGCAGGCTGGGGCTGACCAGGTGTTACTGTATTTGTCAAGTTTATTTATTGATTCAGTATTATATTGTTATATTATTGGCCTCTTATGGTTTATCATGATTCACATAACATCTTCAGTAATAAAGAAAAAATACAATACTGTACTGTACATAATTTGTAATAACGAAAATAAAAAGACAAGCTGTATCAGAAGGTTAGTTACTCAAGATGCATTCATATGAGAGCTTTCTACAGACTAGCTTACAACAGGGGTTACTATAATACACTGTATAGTACAGTAATATCCCCTTTAGCCGGAATCCCTCAATCCCGGAACTCTCCGATAGCCGGAATTGAAATTTTCTCGGAAAATTGTTCCCAAAACTGTAATTTTCTTTTCTGAGGGGCACATTTTCCTGGAAATTCCGAAAAAATTTCCCGATACCCAGAAAATTCCGGGGATGGGGGATTTTTTTTATGGGTTTGAGAGATGAAAATCAGGCGCATTTTCTGGAAATTCCGAGAAATTTCTTCCATTATCCAGAAAATTCCTGGGACGAGGGATATCTTCCCGTGTTTTAGAGATGATGTAATGGGTAATTTCTGGAACTTCCGAGAACATTTTTCCGTTACCCGGAAAATTCCAGGAATGAGGAATTTTTCCGACTTTGAGAGTCATCTCGTTACCCGGAAATCTCTCATTTCCGGAAGTGCTCTACACCAATTGTTCCGGCTAACAGGGGTATCACTGTATTTGATATGAAGATACCTTCTTAAAAATTTGATTTGCTACCTCTGAGTGTTATATGATGACTCAGTTTGGCTACTTGTACACTTAGACAAAAGATTAATGAATAAACCAGGGTATATGCAGATGCATAATACTGTACACTACAATATTACTTATTAAGTGATGATAAATACACTACAATAGCATTTATTAAATGGTGATAAATACACTGCAATAGTATTTAATAGATGATAAATACACAACTGTATTGTACTTTTATTTACTAAGTATTGAAGACAGACAATGTGGTAAGCCAATCAGCTGTTTGCTCTTTGTAAATAAACGAGTATGAAATGACTCGTGGTGTTCAGTATGGGATTCTTTTTTCAGGAAAGCCAATTCTTTTAGGATATATACCTGACACCAGATGATCCTAAATTATATGAGAATTGTGGTGAAATTGCATAAATAAGAATTAAAGGAAGCTTGGGGAAGAGCCACCCCCCCCCTTCTGCTCCCAGATAAACATTCATCTTCCACATACAATATACTTCTACACTTATTTTTATCATTATAGTAATGTACAGTATACAGTTTTCTCTTTATTCATAAGACAAAATCGGTGGTTACTTACATACCGGTACCGTATATACTCGTCTATAATTCTACCTCGTTTATAGGTCGACCCTGATTTTTTACCAAGAAATCATTAATTTATGATATGCCTCGTTTACAGGTCGACCCAAGTTTTTGAGGGTAATGGAACAGCAAAACCTTCACTAAATACGCTCTACGTCCTATAAACTGAGGGTCGCCGTGCCTGAAACACCAAGCGCCGAAGGCAAATTGTTTACCATAATTACGACACTTTACACTGAAACGCGGGTAGTTTCAGCAAAAATATTGTACAGTATATTTCCATTCAAGTCAATTAGGAGGGAATATTATTGTAATACAACAGTTTTTTTTTAACTGAAAACCATTCGAAAAGCAATTACGGTAACATCTTTTGAACAACGAAAGAAAGCGAAAGTCGATTGTTTTTGTCATGGTTTTATCCCACTTTCCACTGTAATACGTATGTCATTTCAGCAAAAATATTATATTTCCGTAAATGTATTATATCAAGCACAGTATTAATAGAATATCATTGTAATATAACAGTATTTTAACCGAAAACTATTAAAAACACGAGTAACATCTCTTGAACATCAGAAGGTTAGGTAAAGTCTTTTGTTTTCGTCATGTATTTTATCCTATTTTACATTGAAATACATCACGTTTAAGCAAAACTACTATTTATTTCCGAGAATATATTCATTCAGGCACAGTTAAGATAAAATATACTTGTGGTTAACAGTTTTTAACTGAAAAGGTTTTTATTACCGGTATTTTTTGTAGATCAATGAGTACTGTGATACCGTATATGGTAGAATAAGTTAGCCTGTGCTAAGAACTTCAACATAGACTACTGAAAGCACGTTGTAAGGTAAGTTAGCCTATTGTACGTTGGTGAGCTACATCTGCTGAAGGCATTGCACAGCTTTTCATTACTAATTCGTACATAATTTACGTTTCCATTGTTTACTGGTAGTAAATGGTAAATATTTTTCATGTCTAAAGCTAAAAGTTGCTCCTCGCCCTTCCCATCATGCACGGATTCAACCTAACAAAACTATTACCCATGTAGAGGTCGACCCCCAATTTTTTGCCAAAAAATTTGGTCTTAAAAACTCGAACTACACACGAGTATATACGGTATAACACTTTACAGTAAATAACAATCATCTCCTTGACAACAAGACTTATATGTCTGATTTTCAACCCAGAGTCGTTTCATATTTTTTATATTGTTGATGTAATATTCTTTTTAAACTTTGTGATACACTTAAAGACCTTAGTTGTTGAAGTGAAGTAATAAATGATTTTCTTTAAACAGTTCAGATATAGTGTTATCCCCACCCCCCTCCCCCACATATTCGCTTTTTTCGGACTGGTGTCTGCCCCATTTAGTCTGATTCATCGAGGTTCTCTGTAAGCTCATGAAATCAATAAATTTCTAAAAAGAAAAGAAAAACAGCTCACACGTGTAAAGCAAAATATTTAATATAAACAAATTTTTAATTCCTTACCTTCCCTTTAAAAAGGTGTCTATTATGATACATGGCATTACGGTAGGTTAAGGTGCGGACTTCATCTTTTAGCATTTCCTGCAAAACAGAATTTATTAATAAAACATCAAAATGGCTCAAGTGCTTTTGGGGGATATAGGTGCTACTTGGGTGTATAGAGGAACAAGACAAAACCAAATGGATATCCCTAAACCTTCTTTTGAAAGAGGAACACCATCACACAACGCTTGTAAAAACAAGAATATTGTTTGCCTTTGTTAGAACCAACCAAATTCATAAGATCATGATCAAAGAAAGTATATTTTGATATTTCTATTATAGTCTGAGCCCTTTACTGTCCCTTTCTGCACTCATCTTCTACTTCTCATTACCTCCATTCTTCTTCAGGGTTTTTGTAAACATCTTGATCCACCCACAAGGTGGAAGAAGAGTAAACACAATGATCACCATAAATGTGTGACTCAATATTTTGTAATTCACAAACTCATCAATAACACTTCATTCCTCCACAGACTTTCCCTCAGAGGGGCTGGCAAGACAGAAAAGCCTCCAATATGCCTAAATTATACAGTATATCACATTAACCTTTTCTTTTGTTAATATCACTTTCCTATTATATCCTCAGTATAGTACAGTACACTAATCTACCCCTTTCCCTAAATCTAACAAACCTGTACACTGTACCTTCACACATATTTCACTCCTTTCCCCCAAACGCCTTCTTAACCATCTTGAGGTCTTTCGAAGCAGAGTGGGTCACTGAGCGCTCCCGTGCTGGCACAACCTATCTCACCCCTCCCGTAAGCAGAAACGCAGGAACAGTGGACCAGCCCTATCAGCCAAGTTCCCCCCACTAGCCTCTTAGGCTGGCAGATACACCTATAAGGGTGAAATTTGGGTCTAGATTGCTCTACCCAATGTTTACTAAAATGGAAAAACCATTCCTGTTACTAACACAACCTGCGTCGAAAGACTATGAGGGGGTGAGATTGTCAGACAACCTTCCCATAACTCAAAACACAGCTTAAAGGTGGCATCACACCATTTTCTTAAGAATTGTCATTTGTCTTATTGCGCCCTGTAGCATACACATAATGAACCAGCGCACCAATCCTGCTACAGTAATCAACTACAAACTTCGGCATTCCTAATGTAAACAAAGATGTCATATATTTAGGAATATCAACATCACTAAAAATATGTACACATAAGCAATTTATCAAAACTGTGATAATAATGAATACCTTTAAAATATGATGTAGTTATTATATGTGGCTCAATAATTTATTTTGTTTAATTATTCTCATTATTGAGTATGGATCTTGGCTTGACCATGAAAGCTGGAGTAAACCCAATTTGGTGGAAATGATATATTTAGACTGTGCAATACACTCTTAGAAAGATGATAATGCATGGAATAAGCGAAAAAAATATGGGAGATGGCACAAAAAAATGACAGTGACACCACCTTTTGCAAATGACTCAGTAAATGGAAACATCTCACCACTGCATTCAAAATAAGGCAGACTAGGAATTTATGAGCTCTCTATATCATGTCATTCACAAAATCTATAATGACAATCCTATGTAATGATGTTATTGATATTGAAGGTTTATTTAGCCAGGAAAATACAGATAGAGTGGATAATAATAACAATATAAACTTGGCTGAGCCAGTTGAGAGGCTGTACATCAGTTAAATGGCATCATCAATGAGGCAGCTATTAGTAAATTAAGACCAATAACATTCCAGAACGTTTTTGGTAACCTATATGCCTAACCTATTATGTAGATCAGTGGTTCTTAACCTTTTTTGAGTCACGGGCCCCTTTGGGAATCTGGTGAAAGCTATGGACCCCCTCCCTAGAAAATGCACATAAGCACATAAACACAACTTTGCATGCAATGAATATACTTTATTTTATTGAAAATTCATTGCCTCATACAGTGTATGACATACACAAAGTATGAATAAAGTAAACAATCTTAACAAAGAATTATGTTTCACACTTTTTTATGCAAAAATTAATGGCCACTCCATACAAAAATGAAATACAATCATCTTGTGCAAATTAAACAGAACAAAACTTTAATTCTGCTCAAAAGTTCATTTCAATGAGAAGGTTGTTGTTGTTTGGCTTGAATATAAATGTTAAATTTTTATCTGACCTTCACGGACCCCCTGAAGCCCATCCATGGACCCCAGGTTAAGAACCCCTGATGTAGATGAATCAAAATTATTCATCAAGAACATAATAAACCCTCTCACACACAATAAGTTTTCGTTTCCGTGACCAAGACAAAAGTCATATGGGACCACTCACGTGAGGTCAGATCATCTTTGTTCTGTGGCAAATTTTCCCCACAAAATTATTATATATAATTTTTTTGGCATGATTTATACATCACTATCATTATTGTATTGGCTTTAACATACAGGGGCTGTAAGTGGAAAAAAAATTAAGACGAGAATAAGACAACAGTACTATATTTTTTCACTCCTTTAAAGAAAAATAGATATTTGTGTTCCCAGCAGCATATCTAGGTCATTTTCTCAAAAATTTACCAACGTATTATCATAGTTATAGAAGAGGAATTTTATGAGCTTTCCAACGGTGGCATTGGATTTTGATACAACTAATTGTAAGGAGGGCAACAAAGGAGATGAGACTATCATGACCTACAAGCACAGCTGAAGGGAAGGAACTGATGGACAGGAGAACTTCACCCATGCTTTGGTACTTTATGGAAGCTTCCCTCTGCAAAATCATGCAGTCATCTATGACGCACAAAAAATTCAACGCAATTATCTTGAAAACTTTATTGGCAATTTTTTTTACATTTGGAGACATAATTTGTCACCACTGCAAATAGTGCTACCCAATAATTTGCAAGACGGTTAATCAAACAACTACAGGAAAAACAGGTCCAATGATGAAATGGATCAAATATTAACATACCAGTAAAATATACAGCAAGTAAAGTATGGATAACAAGAAGGCTTCAATTTTATATGTTCCAATTTCAGAATTTTGTTTCCTGGCAAGAATATAATTACATACCAGGAAATAAAAGCTGAAAATCCAACCCCATGACTGTCTTGTACAACCATCAGTTACCAACATGAAAACCACTATCCTTCAAAAATATTACCTGTAGCTACACAAAACTTAATTCTTAACAATACATATAAATTACCAATGAAAACATACACATATCTCACCTCATGGATGCCAAAATGAGCATAAGAATCGAAGTAGTAGTCCTTTGAGGTCATTTCGTCAACTGGCATCCTCTCTACCCTTTTCTCCTTTTCACACTTGTTTTCCATTCTGATGATGTCTCCTGCTACAATCTGTGGATTTAACTTATTTGTTTAGTGCCAATAACTCATAAAAATCAAGTTAGCAAACTGAAATATATAAAATTCCTACTTTAAAACCACACAATCCCCCAAACCTATAGAACATTTGGTTTTAACATGCCTCACTACCCTATTCTTATTTGGCACCAGCCAAATATTACTCTATAACCATGGCTTACAATGTTTCTGAGCAGCAAGGTTCAGCCACACATTTTATGTATGGAAGAAATGACGAAGACTTCAGAGAGCTACCAAGCTCCTGGTGGCACAGTATCAAGTGAGACAATTTATATGACTTCAAATCTTTTTCCACACACTTCTTCCCACCAACTATTAAATCTTAAAAGTCTACTTTAGAATACCCTCATTCTGGGTAATATTTATATGGAAAACAGTATGCCAACCTGACATGAGGAGGGTGAAAATTCTTTGAAAACTTTTGAAGTAGTCAACAATATAAAGCATATTACTGCACTGTATGAGGAACAGTAATGTATACTGGGAGTACCTTGATATAGTTTACACAAGTCCCTAAAAATAAAGATTCTTACTACAGGTCCACAATCCCTTATCCACAATTCCAAAAGTTTTTCGTGGAGCATCACTCGTGTGCACGACATACCCAGAGTGACGCCAAACATGACCCAACACAGCCAAAGCTTGACCCACGCAGGTGTGAAGCGTCAGTTGTGTCAGCGGTGCTACCAGTCACACGCGCGTCTGCTGCTCTTTGATATTCTTTACGATTTTGAGTTCAATTTCACTGTGAAAATGTCAAGAGCTTCAGATACCCCTATGGGTAACAGTGAGAAGAATAAAAGGAAGCATCTCTCATTATCAATGGCACAGAAAGTGGAGTTATCACAGAAGCTTGATCGTGGTGTGGCTGTGCGGCATCTTACTAAAGAATATGGTGTGGGAACTACCACCCTATACGACAAAGAAACAGAAAGACGAGTTGCTGAAGTTTTACACAGACAGTGATGACCATAAACTAATGGACAATAGGAAAACATTGCATAGGGCAAAATTTGAAGATCCTGACCGTGAGCTGATTGAGTGGATTCGACAATGAAGAAGTGAACGTATGCCACCAACTGGTTTGTTGGTCATTATCAAACACGCTACACTATACCATGAAGAACTGAACATTGAAGGTTAGTTTGTACCTGTATAAGTTTGAAGTTTTACTGAATGTTTTCCTTACAAATAAACTGTACTAGAGTATTTATGGACTATGTTTATCCCAAAATTTCATTTACCAAATTATTACTGTACAAATGACATGTAATATTATTTATAGTCTTTATTTAACACACTCAGTGCGAATATTCATAAGGTTCATTGCAGAAATATTAATGTGCTTGCTTACTGGGTGCTGCCACAGACCCCGCTAGGGTGTTACCATAATATACGGTATATGTACTGTACTACCGTTCTGAAATCCGAACAATTCTGAATTCCAAAACACATCTGGCCCCAAGGGTTTCGGATAAGGGGTTGTGGACTTGTATTTTATAATCATGGTATTATTCTTTTGGTCATTCTAAAATCATTATACTGTAGTTCACCAAAATGCAATCCTGTGAAAGATCTTACCCCCAACATCCATAACATTAGAATACATCTTGATAAATATTTACATGCACACTCTCTTAACAACCAACACCAAGCTAGAGACTGTCAAGGGGCAATCTCACTGTCAGGCATTCACCTGCACTGGACACCCCCGGCACTAAGACTGAACCTCTCTTATGCCTCATCTTCAACAATGATGCCTGTTCATTGGGAATAATACTTTAAAGTTGATAACTCCACCATTAACATCAGTGTGGACAACATGGCTCCTGAATACAACACCCTCCAGAACACCCTGAACCATCCACAGCATTAGACTGCTGCCAATCATGTCAATTAACCATACGAAGTCCATGGTTTTACCGTACTCTTTCCAATCATGTTCTACCTACCTCCACCATAATGGGTTCTAATAATCCCCAGGTTCTGAATTCCACCAAACTCCACAGCACCAATATGCATGATAATTCTAGGGAGTAAAGTACATGTCAGTAGCACCCAAAAGTTCCAAGTATTGTCTCTCCATCCTCTGTTGTCTCAAGACCCTTGGATTTCCTGCATCTGAACCCAAAAATATTTACACAACCTTCACACTTTCTAAGTCACCTATGCTTCCCTACCTGACCTTCTTAACTGATGAGCAACAAACCCTTCTAGGGAGAGAGTGAAAAATTGGGCAACTAAAGAGGCTCTACATGCGATGGCCCTATCAACTCTGATTAATATCATCAACACAAAGCTGCTACCACATTGCAGCCACCTGAGATTACCCATCTGAAAAACTGTCATTTGACACAACCACCACATTAAGCCCATAAGATCATGCACTGATCACTACAAGGTCAGTCCTAGGACATTCCTACCGCTGGTAAAAAAAAAAAAAAATCAGCCAAACTTTGCGTTCATTCCAAGCCTCTACTTTTTGGGGACTGTAAATGCACCAAATTTTGTAATAAATGTCCTCTTCCCATGTCACTATACTGTACAGTATACTATACCACTTATATACTTTGTATAATTTCAGCTTATGGCTACTGTACTTTTCAAAAAACCATTTATTATTATTTTACACATATACTGTATGTACTGGTCAGTGTTAGTTTCTTGTCAAGATGAAATAAAATAAATAAAATCTACTTACCCTAACTTTGGAGAGCATGAAACCACAATTGTTTCAAGACTTATTTAAAAATCAAAAAGAGATTTTTATTTAATGATTCCTATTGTACCTGTACATTTTTATCTACAAAGGCTCCAGCTATTCACAAGATATTTCTAAACAGTAATCAAAATCAACTGATACAGTACTTACGTACTTTTCAGTAATTATAAAAACCTTTCAACTGTGGTTTCAATTTAGCCTTCCTCTCAGCTACTTTCATTCCCTATGATTATTTTAAGTACAGTAGTGTTAAAAAAGCCCACTTATTTTTTTGTACTGGATAATTTTTACTTCAATGCATAGGCTTAGAATGCAATTCTATCAAGGAACATGGAAAAACGAAATGAACTTAAGTAACATCCAAGTCCCAATAACTGAGAGCCATAGTCGTATATCAAAAAGTATTCCCTGAGAGGCTAGGCTAAATAATTGATGTTTAATGACAGTATACACAACTAATCAATCATGCAAATCTAAACTAACTTTAGATAATTATACTTTATGCATTTTGGCTAGAATGATTAAAGCTGTAACCATTATAAACACAGGCAACTGTACTTGGAAATTACATTTACTGTACTGTATACAGTGTACTGTATGTAGGATGAAATAATGTGATGATTAGTAATTTCTATTGACTATTCAGCGGGAGAATGAAACGCCGTCAGCCATTTTACGAGCTATATTCAGCTTCGGCTATCTTGTTTATATATCCCAGGGATCAGCTGATTGACCGTTCACTACACCCCCTAGTTGACTGCGCGCTGCGTAGTGTACGGTATTGCACAAGAGAACACGGCAGGTTGGGTTAGAGATTATGTGGTATATCTCGACTTTAGCAAAGCCTTCGACAGAGTTCCCCCACAAAAGACTAATAAGAAAAATGGAGGCTCATGGCATTAAAGGTGATATTCTAAAATGGATTAGGGCGTGATTACCGGACAGAAAACAGCGAGTGAGCAATAACGGCACGAAATCCCATTGGAGCAACGTCACTAGTGGAGTTCCGCAAGGCTCAGTACTTGGACCATTATTATTTATTATATACATAAACAACATAGATATCGGCGTAGACAGCAGCATAAGTAAATTTGCTGATAACACTAAAATAGGACGTGTAATTAAATCTGACGAGGACTCCGCAAAACTACAGGAAGATCTAAATTTTTCGAATGGTCTGAAAAATAGCAAATGAAATTCAATGTGGACAAATGTAAAGTACTCAGTATAGGATAAGTAAGCAGGGAAACCAGACACCAGATGAAGAACAATGTTATTGAAAAATCCGAATGCGAGAAAGATTTAGGAGTAATGATAAGTAGGAATATTAAGCCAAGTAAACAATATGTATTTGCTCGAAACAAGGCTAATAAAGTACTTGGGTTCATACAAAGGAGTGTTAGTTACAAGACTAGCGAGGTCATCTTAAAACTATATCTCGCGCTTGTGAGACCTCACTTGGATTACGCAGTTCAATTCTGGTCACCGTATTACAGAATTGATATAGAATCCTTGGAAGGAATTCAGAGGAGAATGACAAGACTAATCCCGGGCATTAGGAACCTTGAGTACAGAGACAGGTTAAAGCATCTTATTTGCACTCCCTCGAGAGATGTAGAGTGAGGGGCGATATGATAGAGGTGTATAAATGGAAGTCAGGGTTAAACATAAGAACATAAGAAAATAAGGAGTCTGCAATAGGCCGGTTGGCCTGTGCATGGCAGCTCCTGTCGAGAGTTACTACCACTCTCTATCATCCATGAATCTATCTAGCCTCCTTTTGAAACTTTCCAGAGTTCCCGCACTTACTACAAAGTTGCTAAGCTTGTTCCACTCGTCCACCACCCTATTTGTGAACCAGTTTCTTCCTATCTCCCTCCTAAACCTAAACTTATCCAACTTGAATCCGTTGCTCCGAGTCCTATCCTGCTCGGATATTATAAGAACTTTATCTATATCCCCTTTATTGATTCCTTTCACCCACTTAAATACTTCTATCATATCTCCCCGCACTCTTCGTCTTTCTAGGGAATGCAAGTTAAGTTTCTTTAACCTATCCTGATATGGAAGGTTTCTAAGTCCCGGAATCATTTTTGTCATTCTTCGCTGCACCGACTCTAGTGAATTTATATCCATTCTATAATAGGGGCACCAGAACTGAACCGCATAATCGAGGGGGACATTATAAAGGTACTCAAACTATCCAACCAGGAGCAAACTCGTAACAATGGTTTTAAATTAGACAAATTTAGATTTAGGCGCGAAATAGGTAAACATTGGTTTGGAAATAGAGTAGTGGACGACTGGAACAAGTTACAAAATATCATCATTAACTCGAATACACTGGATAGCTTCAAACATAGGTTGGATGGATATATGAGCAATAGGGGTTGGGTGTAAATGTGATTGCCCAGTATGGGCCAATAGGCCCGCTGCAGTTTCCTCCATTCTTATGTTTATGTCCACAAAAAACGTAATATTACACCATGACGCTTCAACAAGTTGCTTTTATTAGTACCTGATATCAAAATAATATTATTAGTAATTATTGACAATGACACACCGGCAATTTTTCATAGAAAGCAATTATAAATACACTGCAATTTCAGTTTTATGGTGGATACTGTCGTAGTTTGTATAAATGTGTTAAGTGGTTATTAATAATTTTAACCAAACCTTGGCTGATAAGAAAATTAAGCAGCAGAAGTGACGTTAGAAGACCTCACCAACCTAACCTAACTTCCCAGCTGTGGGGCTGTGCCCCTCGGCATATGGTGCAATTTTAATTTTTGGGGGATGTGAGAGCAGCTGACCGGCCCATGAGGCTCATAATGTACATTGAGCGTAGGCCTCGATCGGAGCATGGTGCAGGGGAGCGTTTTGAAATGTCAATATGATTGGCTATTTACGTCCAGGGATGAGACGTTACTGCCGCATTACCGCCAAGAAGACAAAATAGTGCATGCCTAAACACACCTAATTACCTATCAAACGAAGAATTTGTACAAGAAATGGTTATAATATCAGAACTCACTGCTGAAAATATAGAGAAGATAAGGTAATTATTGAGGACTAACCCACGGCCGAAATTCATAGAAAACGATTTAAAAAATGCAGCGATTTCACTGTTTTTTATAGTGGACACTGTAGTTTGTGCAAAAGTGTTAAAAAATCTAAAATAAACGTAACCAAACCTTAGTGGGAATGAAAACAGACCTCACCAAACAAACCTTACCTAACTTCCTTCTGATTTATGTCCATATAAGACCGATGACAACCTTCACACGTCATGCTGAAAATGAAACTGCCTCAAGGAAGAGACGTCTCCTCTCTAGAATGTGGCCTCATTACCGCTGAGACCACCAAACGAAGCATTTCCACAAGTAATGAATATCATATCAGAACTCACTGATGAAATTAAAGTAAGAAAATAAACAGAAAAACAAATAACTTGTCAGCGATTCCGAAGCCAAGGTATTATTTTACTTTAGGACATAGCGCCCGAAAGTTATAATCAGCTGAAACATTTAGATATCCCTATTCTGAGCAGTTTGAACCCCTTTTATACCATTCGGAAATTAAAAATACCGACAATTGAATTTAATTGATTTTACATACTTTTCAGTCTTCGTCTGTAAGGATATGTTATTGGCATGAAACCGAGTTAATTATGGATCATGCATGCGCAATATTGACTGACAGCATCCAGCCGTGACCAATGATGTATCGATATTATCTCGCTATCTTTTTTTACCAATCTCATTTGAAATTTTCAAAGGTAGCAGCCTGGGTACAGATTGGAAATTCAAAAACCAGTCTGACAATGGCTGTGACCGAGGTTGGTTGCCAATCGTGCTCCTACAATTATTGCAGAGTTTTACGAGAAAGACGATCATTCTATCCAATTCTTACGTATCCCTGGTCCTTCCACTTCTAACTAGATATTGGCATGCCCCAAAGTTTTAAACTACTGAAACGGTTAGGTTAGTTTAAGCTAGGCCTACTGGGGGTCCGAGGGCAGAGCCCCCTGCTTCGGGGTCAAGTTATGTTAGGTTAGATGACTCGTTTCGTTTTCTCCCCCACCCAAAAAACCCGATTGCCCTGGCTCTTATCATATCCGAGCAGGATAGGACTTGTAGCAACGGATTTAAGTTGGATAAGTTTAGGTTTAGGAGGGAGATAGGAAGGAACTGGTTCACAAATAGGGTGGTGGACGAGTGGAACAAGCTTAGCAACTTTATAGTAAGTGCTGGAACTCTGGAAAGTTTTAAAAGGGGGCTAGATAGATTCATGGATGAGAGAGTGGTAGTAACTCTCGACAGGAGCTGCCATGCACAGGCCAACCGGCCTATTGCAGACTCATTTTCTTGTTCTTAAATACACTAGAAAAACATATTTTTTACTTTCTAACAGTTGTGTGAACTACTATAAATTTACCAAAACTTTCTTAAAACGATAAAACCCAACCTATTAAAATGACCTTGGAATACTGTAGTACCGGTACTTTAGCCAAGTTTACTTGGATGGACGACTTTAAAATATATACACAGCCGCCAAGACAGTAACAAAAAATATAGGCGGATACTGTCTTACAACTTACTCCTTCGTAGTTGCTGGCCATGTGAGCAACAGCCAGCAGAATTGACAGACAACTCTCCTGAACAAAGGATGCACCATGCTGGATTCAAGAACTACATAATATGGAGTTTACCACCAATCTGTACAATTAAGAAAATTACCAGGCCTCTTGACCTAAGCATGTCCCAAGTTTCTTACTTGTACTCCTTGAACGAACATAACTAGAAAATATAATAAACGAGTATCGCATGATTTTCACACTAAAGATGACATGAATACACTTTCCAGACAGATTATTTTCTTATTTTGCGAACGTCTATTACCTCTTACACGTATATTTGTCAAGAACGTCCAACAACGTCTAGCACATACAGTAGAAAATACGAAAAATTTACCATACCAAAATGGTCTGCTTTGTTGTGGGTCGATGATCAGATTCACGTGGCGCCAACCAGATCAAATTCGAATGAGACATTTTGACTCATTGATTTTAATTAATGTTAACAAAACAAATCGTAACACTATGTAGTTATCATATCTGCGGAGTGATACCATTAGTCAATAATTATATCAGAGACCCAACTAGAAATGATTACCGGCAAACTTACTTCCATTTGTTCAGCCATGATGCGCAGAAGAGTCGGTAGCAGCGCGGCGTATGAGGAGCTCCCCAAGACCCTCCACCCACACAAACCAGGACTCTCCTCCGGCCTAATAAAACTTACCTTTTCCTATTTCCATCTAAGGCAAATCAACGATAAAATACATTAAACTGCCTTGTACTAACTAGCACAGCAAGCTACGTACCACTTCTTGTATGTTTAAATCATTCATGGTCTCTGTAATGGACATGTTGATGTTAAAATTAAGAATCCAGCATACCGTTTAGGGCCTGGGAGATTTGAGGGGGAGCAGACTTGACAATGGAGCATCGACTTGCGTGGAAGCTGAAAAAACAATGTGCATTTATAATATATTGTCAGCTTAGATTAATATTCTAAAAATGTGTATTATCTTTATTAAATGTAATCTATTAATTAATAATTTCCCTTTATGGAATAGCTGTGCAGTTGTCCAAATAGTTTCCTATAAGTACGTTAATTCAAACTTGCTGGAATGCTAATGAACATTGAAAATAATACACCTAGTTTCAAATAATCTCAGTTTCGTATAAATGACATTAAAAATTGATCATTTTATTATTTTCCCTTCCTTTAGTGTACATCTGCATGGCTGATCATTTAGCGAACATGCTTGCTGTTATTCAACGCACGTGTTCGCCACATGGGCCCTTGTCACGTGTAAACAAAACTGGACTAGACCAATGACAGTAATATATATGTTCCTGGTATCACTTTACTACTACATAAAATGCCGGTGTCTTTTCAGTCATAATTTGCATGTTTCTCGTCTGTTAATCTAAAGAGAAAAAATATATATCCGGAAATGGATACTTCATGTGTTAAGGGCGTAGCCATAATTTTGCCAGGGCTTGTTGATGAACGAAGCAGGTGGCATATTTTTGTTTAGTTAATTAATAATATCGCCCCGGGGTCGGCAATCAAGTACAATTTAAGGGGTGTCAAATCTGAAATTTTGTCAAGTTTAAATATCAATCAGTACAATCCTCATAAAATAGAGGTTTGCTGACCACCACAGTTCTCCAATCTGTTGGCAAATACTAGGCATGCATCGGCTCCTAAATGTACCCGAACCCGCTCCAGTGTTGGTCAAGTCTTGTCTTGAAAGAGCTCACACTCGGTGCCATCACAACACTCTCTGGTAGATTGTTCCAAGAGTTTACAACCCTCACTCCGAAAAAGTTTGCCCTCACAGTTTTCTGGACTTGCGGCTTCTTCAATCTTGAGCTGTGACCCCTTGTGGGGCGAGCGTCCGCCAGCTCCTAGTAAGGACACTCAACTGAGTAGTGCCCCCTGAGATGCTTATACACCTCAACTAGGTTCCAGCTTGCCCGTCTGTAGTATAAGCTAGGTGAGTTCAGGCGCTCCAATCTCTCAGGGTAGCTGAGGTGCCGAAGTGCAGGCACCAGTTTGGTGGCTCTCCTTTGAACATTTTCAACCAACTGACAGTCCCTAGCATATCTCGGGGACCAGATGGGGTGACAGTACTCCAGATGGGGAAGCACTTCACTCCTGAAGATCGTCACGAGGGACGGACCGTCTAGATATCTGAACGACCTTCTTATAAGACCCAATAATTTATTTGCCTGATTTACCTTCTTCTCACAATGGCCCGAGAACTTCAGCTCATTGTCAACATACACACCTAGGTCCTTCTCACATAGTCTCAGCTAGTGCAGTTTCTTCATCCCGTTGGGACATATGATATGCCTCCTTACCGTTGGTATGCCCCAGGTGCATCATCTTACACTTCGTGACATTGAATCTCAGCAGCCATTTGTTCGACCATTCCTGGAGCCCACAGAGGTCCTTCTGCAGCTCTTCACAGTCCGCTTGGTTCTTAATTTCCCGAAATAACTTGGCGTCATCGGCAAACATTTGTATGGAGAGTACAACGTCAGGCATGTCATTTATGAAACAAACAAACAACAGCGGGCCCAATACACTGCCCTGTGGTACCCCACTTCTGGCAGGTACAGATGACGATTTCGTGCCATTAATCACCACACACTGCTTGCAGTGGGGTACGGGATATTGGTTCACACTCAGGATGGGATGGAGAAAGGAAACTCACAATGTGCTCTCTGTATACATATTGTATTGGATATACAATGCAGCTTGGTGCTGGGTAGGCAGCATGGTTACAAGCATTGAGTAGAGAGAGCTGGTTGGTAAGGGTGCCCAGAGAGCACACAGCTTGAGGGACGCCAAGGTCGCCGGTGGGAGCAGGAGCCGCCAGGCTGGAGCGGAGGAGGTGTTGCTTGCTGGTGGCCTTAGGTAGAAAAAGAGAGGTAGGTCACCACGAGATGAGGTCTTATATAGCGGAGGTAGGCATGGCTTAATAGTTGACCTCAGTCATGTAAGGCGGCACTGGTTGCTGACCTAGACCACGAGGCATACACTGGGGAATTCGAGGGTCGGCTATTCAGCAACAAACGGCGTTTGTAGGGGAGGAATCCACTACAATACTCCCCCTTCCCTCCAGGCGGTGTAGGAGACTTGTTGTCTGCAGGGTTGCATCCCACATGTGAGGCAGAACGGGCGGTGCAGGAGACTTGTTGTCGGCTGGGTTGTATGCCACATGTGAGACATAACGGCGAGGGCGTGGACGAGCCGGTCGCTAGGGGAGACAACTTTGTCTAGATACATGAGATCTGTGGGGGAAGAGAGGGAGAAGAGAGGGAGAAGGAGGGTTGTGGAGGCGATGAATGCTGTGCTTCTCTCGCGGCAGGTAGAGAGTCCTCAGATGCACCTGCTGGGGCGTGTGGGTCTGGGTCAGGAGCAGGGGCCGCGTCAGGAGCAGGGTTTATGACAGCAGCAGGGTGCATGACTGCAGCAGGGTCCACGACAGCAGCAGGGTGCAGGACAGTAGCAGGGAGTACCTGAGGGTGAAAAAAGGGGTGCGTGGGGTCGCATCAGGAGGAGGGTCCAGGACATTAGCAGGGGGTACTGCTGGGCCGGGGGCGGCGTCTGAGACAGGATGGGTGTGTTGGGGTCGGTAGGACGTGGTGCTTGGGGCAGGAAGAGGAGCGGCTGTCTGCTTAGAGTAGCAGAGCTGCTCTAGGGTGTCTAACCTGCGGTGTTGAGACAGTAGCTGTAGAGCCGATGAGAGCTGCCTCTGTGTGAGTAAGCCAGTCTTCCATGTTGTTTGAAGACTGGGAGAGTGATCGGTTTCTCCTCCATCCTGTGTGAGTGCGTCACTGCGGGGTCACCATTTGTGGGGTACGGGATATTGGTTCACACTCAGGATGGGATGGAGAAAGGAAACTCATAATGTGCTCTCTGTATACATATTGTATTGGATATACAATGCAGCTTGGTGCTGGGTAGGCAGCACGGTTACAAGCGCTGACTAGAGAGAGCTGGTTGGTGAGGGTGCCCAGAGGAGAGCACGCAGCTTGAGGGACGTCAAGGTCGCCGGCGGGAGCAGGAGCCGCCAGGCTGGAGCGGAGGAAGAGGTGTTGCTTGCTGGTGGCTGTGGGTAGAAAAAGAGAGGGAGGACACCACGAGGTGAGGTCTTATATAGCGGAGGTAGGCGTGGCTTAATAGTTGACCTCAGTCATGTAAGGCGGCGCTGGTTGCTGACCTAGACCACAAGGCATACACTGGGGAATTCGAGGGTCGGCTAGTCAGCGACAAATGGCGTTTGTAGGGGAGGAATCCACTAAAACGTCTCTGTTACTTTTCTTTTTCTTTTATCCTCTTCACCAATTGAGTGGCTCGTTAGCAGCTTGGTCAATCGGTCACGTCTCTGTTATGCACTGTTGGCAAGTACTGGGCATGCACCGGCACCTGAATGTACCTGAACCTGTTCCAGTGTTGGTCAAGTCTGGTCTAGAAAGAGCTCGCACTCGGTGCCGTCACAACACTTTCTGGTAGATTGATCCAAGAGTTCACAATTTTCACTCCAAAAATGTTTGCCCTTACAGTTTTCTGGACCTGCGGCTTCTTCAATCTTGAGCTGTGACCCCTTATGGGGCGAGCGTCCGCTAACTCCAAGCAAGGACACTCAGCTAAGTAGTGCTCCTTGAGATGCTTATACACCTCAATTAGGTCGCCCCTTGCCCGTCTGTAGTATAAGCTAGGCGAGTTCAGGCGCTCAAATCTCTCAGGGTAGTTGAGGTGCCGAAGTGCAGGCACCAGTCTGGTGGCCCTCCTTTGAGCATTTTCAACCAACTGACAGTCCCTAGCATATCTCGAGGACCAGATGGGATGACAGAACTCCAGATAGGGAAGCACTTCACTCTTGAAGATCGTTACGAGGGACGGACTGTCTAGATATCTGAACGACCTTCTTATAAGACAAAATAATTTATTTGCCTGATTTACTTTCTTCGCTCAATGGCTCGAGAACTTCAGCTCATTGTCAACATACACACCTAGGTCCTTCTCACATTCAGTCTCAAATTGTGCAGTTTTTTCATCCCGTTGGGACATATGATATGCCTCCTTACCGATGGTATGCCCCAGGTGCATCCTCTTACACTTCATGACATTGAATCTCAGCAGCCATTTCTTCGACCATTCTTGGAGCTCACAGAGATCCTTCTGCAGCTCTTCACAGTCCGCATGGTTCTTGATTTCCTGAAATAACTTGGTGTCATCGGCAAACATTTGTATGGAGGAGTGTACAACGTCAGGCATGTCATTTATGAAACAAACAAACAACAGTGGACCCAATACACTGCCCAGTGGTACCCCACTTGTGACAGGTACAGGTGATGATTTCGTGCCATTTATCACCACACACACTGCTTGCGGTCATGTAGAAAGTCTTCTATCCACACTAGGACATTTCCCTGAATTCCGTAACTTTCCAGTTTGATTTTCAGCCTTTCGTGGGGTACACTATCGAAAGCCTTGGACAAATCTAGGTATATATTGTCGATATTACCACCCCGTTCCAGAATATGGGTCCAAATATCCAATACCTTGAGCAATTGTGTTAAGCAGGAGCGCCTCGGCATAAAACTATGTTGGCAATCCTTTACCAGGTAGTTTCGTAGTAGATGTTCCATTGCTGCATCTCTGATAATACTCTCAAATAATTTACATATTATGCTGGTCAGGCTCACCGGTCTATAGTTATTCGTGGAGTGACGATCGCCCTTCTTGAAGATAGGACCCACATAAGCCACCTTCCAATCACTGGGGACCTTTTGTTCATCCAGGCATTTATAAAACAGGATCTTCAGGGGCTCGGCAAGCTTATTGCACCATGTGATGCACCATGTCAGGGCCGGGATTCTTATGGACCTTTAGCTTTGACAGTTTATTTCTAATATCCTCTTCTGTGAACACAATGTGGGTTAGTGCTGTGTCGAACCGTCTGTCCTCAAACGCAGGAAGGTTAATCGCATCCTCTCTTGTGAAGACCGAGGAAACAAAGCTGTTCAATGCTTCAGCTTTATCCTGGTCAGAATCTGCGTAACTACCATCTTCAAGCCTACTCGCATTTTTAATTTTGACTATCCATAGCGGTAAAACGCCTTTGGGTTTGACTTGACCTCGCTTGCATCCAGCCTCTGGAACTCCTTTTCAGCTCTACCCTTGTTTGGTTTCTTGCTCTTGCATACATCCTCCTGTACAGGGTATTTCTTTATTATTATTATTAATATTATTATCAGTGTTGTTGTTATTATTAATATTGTTATTATTATTTTATTTTTTATTTTTTATTAAAAATTTTATTTAATTTGAACTAATTATTATTATTAGTAGTGTTATTACATTTTCGCCCCCCAGGCCCCACTGTGGGTCAGTGACCTGTGCCCAGGTGGGCTAATCCTGTATACAGTAATACCCTGATTTACGCGGTCAGTTGAACCCATGGGGTACCGCGGAAAGTGAAAACCGCGTAAAGTGAACAACAGAACATATGGGATTAATTCCAATAGAGACTGGCCCGACCCCCAAACTCCACTTTTTCAGACACAATACCTACGTTGTAGTAAAAATTACATCTTAATTTTATGATGGTATCCACACACAATTAATAATTAAGAGAAATATCAATAATATTAGTTTTGTTAACACTTACATTAGTAGAAAAGATGGCTGGGCACACAGGGATGGGGGGTTGGTTCCGAGGCAGAGGGCAGATTATTGGCCCTCACCTGTATCACTTGTATCAATTGTATCACTATCCACCACATAGGCTTGCAGGGCCTCTTTGTCAAACCCCTCAAAGTCCATATAAGTCCATATCCTCACTATCACTGACTTAGGCCGGCTGTGGTGGGAGGCCGGTGAAGAACTCGGTAATGTTTTGATGACTGGGCGACCTTGTGCGCATCCTGCTCATGCCGCTTCTCGCGTATATGAGTAGATGCACCGTGGAAAGTGAAAGTTCGGTTCTGGCGAGGCACCGCGTAAATGAGAAATCGCGGAAAGTGAAACTGCGTAAAGTGGGGTAATACTGTATAATAATAATAATAATAATAATAATAATAATAATAATAATAATAATAATAATAATAAAAAAAAAAAAAAAAAAAAACTTTACTAACAGAACTAATTACAGGTACATAGCAAGTTCATTATTTTTTAACAATGGAGCTTCCTGTTGCCAGTAAAGATTCTTTAAAGTTCTAATATCCTTTCATTAATGCCTATTTTTTCAAAGATCTATATAAATTTATTGTGCTTCACCTTATCAAAAAAAAATTTCAAAATAAAGTATATAAGGCCTCACTCAAAACTCAAAAACCAAATATAACTTCTCTAGTTCCTTTTCCCCTTTCTAAATCCATTTTGTTCTTCAGGTAACTAGCTTTCTATTCTAAATGTTATTCTACTTAAAATTATGTTTAATAAAACTTGGCAGGGATGACTTATTAAGCTTATTATTCTAAATTGGGTGCTCTCTAAGGCTCCTGGCTTTGTGTGTCACTGGTGGAGAAAATCTGTTCCAGAGGACACACAGCAAAGTAAAAAAAATTAGAAGGCGAGTGAAAATTCAGAAAAACTAAGAAAGTCAAGGATGAAGATGCAAAGTGAATCACCAGAGAGTTCTGAAAGTTTGTAAAGATAAACTGAACAACTTCTGTACAGGGGGTCACCGACTTAAGAATGTCTGACTTAAGAATCCCCGTCGATTAAACTTTAAATTTACAGTACAGTTCAGTATTTATTTTACCCGATGACTTATTTTTTACTTTCATTTACTGTACTGTAATTTGTCATTCTATTTTTTATTTTCTCTTAATCGAAGTGATTATCTATGTATATAAGGACTTAGGCTATGATACAGTGGGATTTTAAGCATTGTTCTGTAAGTACAGTATGTACAGTTGCCAGCAAAACTCCTCCCACAACTTGATACACAGGGCTGTGGGAGAACTTTTGCTGGCAACTGTACTTAGCATGTGTTCCAACTTACGTACATTTCCGACTTAAGAACATCCTCAGGAATGGAACCCGTTCATAACCCGGGGACCCCCTGTACACTGGCACTGGAGATTTAATATCTTTGGAGTAAGCTGCAAAAAAAAAAAATGGTGGAAACCAGGAAAAGAAATTTTGACATTATTTTCATGCATATTTATGGCTGAACCAGATTTAGAAGTACTGTACTGTGTCAATACTTCCACTGAGGAACTAAAGAGAACCACCGGAACAATTCATCATTTCATATAATGAAGTAACAAAAACTGCAGAGGAGTTACATAATATTATTGTATAAGCATATTGATAACGGTCACTTCAACATGATACTGAAAGTAAATTGTCTTAATCAATAATAAATCTGACTAGCAATTAGGTGTGAACCTCACATGTGTCACCTACAAGACTATAGAACCCATCAAAAATGAGAGTATTAAGGACTATATATGATCCTGAATAATCAATTACTGTATCAGTAACAAGCAGTTTTGTTTTATGGGAGGCTGATCCACAACTTTAATTGATCGATTAATTTCATTATAATTATCATGATAAAAACTTTAGCACTTTTTGTTGTCTATATTATCTATAATAATCAAGAATTTTTAATGCTTTTATCAGGATTTTTTCTTGTCATTTATTTTGTATAACAAAATCTTCTGCACTAATATTTTTTTATGAAAATGTTTTTTTTGCTTTCATTATTATTATTAAATAGGGTCTTGTATGTGTGATAATTAAATCTTGGGCCAGAACTGAAAATCATTTGTGGAGTAGCTATTTTTTTTTTTTAAAGAGAAGATTATTTTTACACAATGTAGGTAAAGAATGAACTTCACAGTACTGCAATCTCTAAGTAAACACAAGATAGTTGTCAGGTTAAGAAATAATTTCGAAATAACAAAATTTATTTAACATTTTCGCCTCATAAAACCAAAGAGGAATGTAGAATTACTGTTAACTGATAATATCAAAACATATAAAGTAACAGTTCCTTTGATTTTAAACAAGTCAACAAAAAAAAGCTCCATCATAAAAAGCAAAACAATAATAAACAACACCATTTGTAATACAGTATTGTACAACAAATCAGTGTCATCTTATTTGATATACAATTATTTATACAGTATATAGATCTTTATTTTGTACAAAAGGGGAGGATATTTTTCCATCTTTTTTTTGTTTTTTTGTTTTTTTCTTGCAAGATCAGCACAGGAATGGAAACCCAAGCACATTTTCTAGGAGAAGGTGCAGGGCCCTCAACTAGCAATGAAAAGATTATAAAACTTTTAACGTTTACTTCTTCATTATTGAGTTTTCTAGTTCCACATCCTGGGTCTTCTTTGTTCTTAATGCCCGCTGCTGCTTTAACCACGCTGTAATTTTGTTCTTGAGGTCAGTGTCAGGAAAGACTTCTTCCATAGTGAGTGGCTGGCGATTGAAAGGATCCGTCTGGTCTGACAAAAGGTGTCGTGCAATGGTCTGCCGGTCACATGTTAACTATAAAAGAAAATATTTGTCACACATAAAGAGTATAATTAGAGGGAGGCCGTGTCATGTTACTCAAAAAAAGAAATTACAATAGTTAGCACATTACAAGTGTGTTGTGTGTGTATACAGAGGAAGGGTTATGTTGACTGTATAGGTGAGGGTTACAGTACTGTACATTAATCATAATACTGTAGGTTTATACAGTCAACCCTCGCTTTACGAGGTCCCACTTTACGCGTTTCCACGTTTTACATGGTACCCTGCCGAACACGGAATGCTCACTTTCCGTGGTGTGTGTACCCTTTTACGCGGAGAGCGGCGCGAGGAGGGTGCGCACAAGGTCGCCCAGTCATCAAAACATTACCGAGTTCTTCACCCGCCACCCACCACAGCCGGCCCAAGTCAGTGATAGTGATAATGATAGTGAGGATATGGACTTATATGGACTTTGAGGGGTTTGACAAAGAGGCCCCGCCCCGCAAGCCTCTGTGGTGGATAGTGATACAATTGATACAAGTAATACAGGTGAGGGCCAATAATCTGCCCTCTGCCTCGGAACCAACCCCCCATCCCCGTGTGCCCAGCCATCTTTTCTACTAATGTAAGTGTTAAAAAACCTAATATTATTGATACAGTATTTCTCTTAATTATTAATTGTGTGTGCATACCATCATAAAATTAAGAAGTTATTTTTACTACAACGTAGGTATTGTGTCTGTAAAAGTGGAGTTTGGGGGTCGGCCCGGTCTCAATTTCAATTAATCCCATATGTTATGTTGTTCACTTTACGCGTTTCTCACTTTACGCGGGCCGCCGTGGGTTCAATTGACCGCGTAAAGTGAGGGTTCACTGTCTAGTGGAGGAGCGCCAGATTCCCATTTCGTTATACTGTACTGTGTATACCTGTACACGATTATAAGCTGCCCCCAAATGTTTGTCACAGGGTGAATTTTGGACATTTTTCATGCAAAAAATGTTTGACCTAAATTCTAAGCTGCACTCCATAATTTAGCCATCACTTTAATCCTTCTGTTGAGGCTAAGGGAGAATAATTTTACAGTTGTATGCAGAAAAAACACAAGAAGATAAAAACTTGCCTACTGAGAATGTTATTTAGTAAATAAATATAAATTCTTCATAAAGCAATCAAGGTACAGGTATCCCTCATTATCCAAATGTTCACTATCTGAAAATTTTATTATTACAACACTATTTCACAATCTGAAAGTGATCTTCATTTGTCTGAAAGATGGTCAGATAAAATATTCAAATCAGCCCATCCCTCCTCACCACATGGTGAGCACTGACAACTCTCCAATAAGCTAATGTACTAAATGTGCACTATACTTTACTGTATTTAGTTTAGCAATTACCATACAGAAGTTAGGTACTAAATTAAAGTAGTTTTTTTTAGGTACTTGTATAATATTGAGATTTTCTTCTTGTTGGGGAACTGAACTCCATTTCCCACATTTGTTCCATTACCCTGTATTTAATGTTCACTATTTGAATGGTTTTCAAGGAAACTAACCCATTCAGAGAACAAGGGATACCTATACTGTACTGTATTTAGCAATTACAAACAGCATATGGTAATAACAAATAACACCATTAATAACCAAAAACTTCAATGTTCCAAGATAAGGGACAGTAAACTTGAACGAGATAGTTTGGGCAGGAGACACAAAAACAGTGCCAATTGTCATCAGCAGAAAATAAATACACTACAGTGTATTACTTTTTATGGTTGTATATTAATTTATTTATGAACTATTAATGGTACAGCTAAAATGGATAAAGATAATACAATAATTGAGGCACAAACTTAAAATTAATAGGATATATATTTTAACAAAACATGGATGTAAAATTGGCGCAGAGCATTTCCGGGAATGAGAGATTTCTGCGTAACGAGACAACTCTTTCAAAGTCGGAAAAAAAGCCATCATCCCTGGAATTTTCCGTGGTGACGGAAAAATTTTCTCGAAAGTTCCAGAAATTGCTCATTACATCATCTCTCGAACCTGGAAAAATATCGCCCATCCCTGGAATTTTCTGGGTACCGGAAAATTTTCTTGTAATTTTCGGAAAATGCGGCTAATTTTCATCTCTCAAACCCGGGAAAAAAATCCCCCATCCACGGAATTTTCCGGATAATGGGCCCCTCAGAAAATCGTTCTCAAAGCCGAAATTTTCCGGAAAATTACGGCTCTGGGAAAGATTTTCCGAGAAAATTTCAATTCAGGCTATAGGAGAGTTCCGGGTTTGAGGGATTCCGGCTAACGGAGATATTACTACAGTACAGTAATCATTCCATATACGTAACGGAATAAAGAATGCAGGCTGATTCCACAAAAGGGTCATTCTGCTAAATAGAATACAGTTATCCCTCTGGCAATGAAGTGAATATATTCATGAAATCCACTTTGTCCTCAGATATTTTTTTGTCATACAGTAGTTAAATTTAAATGTGAACAGATTTCAGTCAAGTGAACCACACAGTTCAGTCAGCCAGCTGGCTCAGACGCACGTGGCTGCCCTGTGTGTATGCCTTGACTTTATATCGGACCCCGGAGGAGGAAGCATGGTGTCAGCTGGTGTGACAATTAGTGTCAATGTAGTTACAGTAGCCCACTGCCTCCACACATACACACCCAAACTCTTCATTTTTTCTTATTTCATACTATTTATTTCTGAGTCACATTACAATAATGAAATGAATTTTCCATAAGTTTTATATATTAGTTTCATTAATTACATGTAACAATGGCAATGGGCACAGCCATCTCACAGTTGACTGGTAATGTCTTATGGGGAGTTTTGTTATTACACCAAACTCTTAAACAATGTGGCCCTTACCCCTCTGCGGATTGCACTACTGGTTGCATGGGGAGTAAGGGTAGTTGTGTACATGTGTTTGACACTTCCACTACTTGCCACGAGGGTTCTTTACGGTGGCGCGGGAGAGTTCCACTGCATCAGAGAGACAGAATACTCACCCATGCTCTTCATATTTCTTATTTTATAATTTTATATTATATTTTCTTTATTTCTAAAGTCACAGTTATAGTTTCAATATATGTAACAGAGGCAACATGCATTACCATCTCAAAGGCCACGCCTAACTGGTTTGTCAGCCAGGTGACTCCTGGCGTTGGTCTCAGAAAACGGAGGTCGTTAACAATTATTCTACTCTGTATAAACATTGTGGCTTAGAAATAAAGAAAATATAATTTAAACTACAGCCACTCCTCGACTTACGACCTACTCGACTTACAACCACCTGGACATACGACCGCCCGAGTTGTACCCAATTTTTTTCAAATTACGTATTTTCGAGATCCCGACATTAGCGATTGCGCTGTGTACTGACAAAATTTTCGTTTGTAATTCCCTCTAAAATGGCTGGCATGCTTAAAAGTGAGAGTTTTGTGGTGCTGAGAAGAAAAAGAGACACCCATTTTAAATTTTCTATGTATTATCTTTGCATTTTCGACTTACGACCTGGATTTGGGTCCCTAACCCCATCGCAAGTCAAGGAGTGGCTGTATAAAATAAGAAAAATGAAGAACATAGGTGTGTATGTGGGAGAAGTGAACGTGTATCTAAGGAAGCGGTTCTAGCTGACTTGCCAGCCTGGCCGCCTTGGACAGTATATTGTTACTTGTAATGAAACAATAAAAGTTGTGAAAAAATCATTACAGTTCTCTAATGTAGCTTAGAAATATGGAAAATATAATATAAAACTATAAATAAAAAAAATAAAGAGCATATGTGGTAAGTAAATGTGTAATGGAGTGGTCTTTTCTTCGTTTTTTGGCAATTTTGGCTTCCCGTAGGTGAACATCACTGTTTTGGGTCATCACAGCATTTTCATTAACCTAACCCCTGAATTGTTTAAGGGTTTACTGTACTTATAATGGTTACTTTACATGATATTAATGCTCTTTACACTATTCGAAAGTCATTCTCGGGTACTGAGCGATTAGACAGTAAGTAGACTGTTGGAAACCACTCGTAAAAGTACTTTATTTTTTTTATTTATTTATTTTTTTATTTATTGGGCACTCCCCTACATCCTTGTGTAAGGTGAAGCGCAGAAGCGTTTACAGCGCCCAACAGGGAAGCATGCTAAGTTCATGCTTGCCTTTATGTCTCATGAGTTAAGGGCGTAGAAGCTTGAAGAGTCAAGGGCGTAGAAGCCTGAAGAGTCAGTGGTTTATGTCATCAAGTTATTGGAAGCTCCAACAACTCCCTGAATACGAATTCGCAACTTTCGACTTACAACAGGTACCTACTTTACTGCTAGGTGAACAGGGACTAATGGGGGCTAGGAAGTAAGTCCAAACAACTTCCACTGGCCCGGGAATCGAACCCGTGACATCTCGCTTGCGAGGCAAGAACGGTACCGCTTCTACCACCGGTCCCCTTGTAAAAGTACTGAGAGTGGGTTGTCAGCCACCAGACAATCTTCGCAACTAGCAAAAATGCCCAACGAGGCCATGAACCCAACATTAACATTCCCAACCATTCACATGTTATGATTTTGCATGTACTGTACAGCACATATATACAGTATACAGTAAGTCCTTGCTTAACGTCGTGGTTCCGTTCCTGAACACCGTGACGTTAACGGAAACAACTTTAACGGAATAAATTTTCCCCATAATAAACAGATAAAATACATGAGTTACATTCCCAGCCTCCCTTTGCCCCATAAAATACATTACATATACAGTACATAAATTCAATGGAATATTTATAGAAAATAAATATTATACATCCAAAAAGATAAATAAACTAAATAATTTTGTATTGTACTCACTGATGGGCGGAGGTGGAGTGAGTGTGTGGTGGGTAGTGGAGAGGAGGAGGATGGGACAGGAGGAGGGTGGGACAGGAGGAGGGTGGGACAGGAGGAGGGTGGCGAGTCACTGAGACATGGAGGGTAGCTCCTCCTCCCGCTCTGACTGGGTGAGAGGGTGATGCGCCGTACAAAGTAGTCTGCGACGACGTTATACCGAATCAGCGGGACGTTGTCCGAATCATGGGTATCTAAAGAGTAGCGACGTTATAACGAAACAACGTTGTTGGGGGCAACATTAAACGAGGACTTACTCTACAGTAATAGTGTGCTCTTAATACCACTAGGTACAACAGTATCTAAATTACTTTCTTTTCTCTTGTCATCAGCTAATGAACATGGTGTTCCATTTACTCAAATTAAATTTTTCTGGGCTTACATCATGAAACAAAGGAGTTTGATCGTGAAATATTGAAAGTTGGGAGATATTTTCAGTGCCGTGAAATAACAAAAGCGATGTTTTGAATTGTGTCATATAAAGAGTTTACTGTATACCTAAGCAGTACCTTTATCTTTTCTTTGCAAAGAATGTTTCATTCAGTACATGTCATATGGATGTAAATTTCAAATACTGGCATTCTTTGTTTTGTCCATCATCCCACTAGTCATGCTTCTCTGCACACTTGTAGGGCATACACTTAAATAGCTAAGGAAGAAACTTAAAAGATCTCATTGTAATATTGTTTAGCAGTAATGTTTTGTCTCTGCCAGTGTTCTAAGTTACAGTAGGGTCGGGATAGACAGTGGTCCCTCGGTTAATGAGCACAATCCGTTCTAGAAGGTTGCTCGTTAACCGAAAAACTCGTTAACCGAAACCATTGTTTCAATGGGTTTTTGGGTAATTGGTTCCAGCTCACCGAAAATTGCCTAAATTCAAAAAAAAAGGTAGAAAAGTACACTTACTTTGAGGTATGTATGTAGAAGGCTCCTGGATGATGATGATGATGGGAATTAGAATGGGGGTGGAGGAGAAGGGAGAAGAGAAGGCATTGGGGTGGAAGAGAAGTCACCCCATGGCGCCATTTCACCCATAAAATTTGAGTTCTCTTGGTGTAATTCAAGATTATTTTCTTTAAATCAACACTGCACTGCATTATATATTGGCAATATGTAAAATAAATTTCAAAATGAACAATAATTTGCTTGCAAACACAGAAAAAAGGCGTTTAGTTGAAGAGTGTCTCAAGCAAGATGTTACCTCCACTGAAAAGACAGAGAGACTGGTGCCTGTTTGGTGTGTTGCCAGGCTGGATGGCGCGCATAAATCTAGTTTCCTTACCTTCAATTATGTTCAATAATTGTTAAAATGACTAAAAAATTTAATATTAAACTGTTAAAATTATTGAATAGTATAAACTTCTTGATATTTACTAAAATAGTAAGGAATTTAAGCCCTAGAACCGATTACTGTATTGGCGGACTAATACTACAGCTGGTGGACCGCCAAATGCAAGCAAAACATGTTGAGGTCGGCTCGTAAAAAACTTGTTAATCGAGAGATTGCTCGTTAACTGAAGTTAAGAATCTTATGGAAGGTAACCCGTTAACCGAGGCGCTCGTTAACCGAGGGATCACTGTATAGCAACTTTATATAAAGATTTTTTTATATCGCGGCTACCAAAATTATCGACATTTTCCTATACTGTGTATAGCGATAATTTTTTTTATTTCGCGAGGGAAATCGTGCAGGAAATATTTCAATTTTATCACTACTACCAAAATTTTCGAAATTGTCCAATATACAGTAGACTCGCAACTTACACGAGGGTTAAGGGTTAATTCCCGGGACCTCATGTAAAGTCAGAAACACTCCTAAATCGCCCTTAAATCACTATACTGTATATATATACGTACATATACACTAGAACTAAAAAATTACTACTGTAATGTGATACGTACAGGTGATTAATTTTTATCTCTTGTGCAAAACATATGACGTTATATTCAAATTATTCGCTGTCTTGCAAGGATTCCAGCAATGTAAATTATATTCTCCTAACTTTAGTCTGTGATATTATATAAGATATAAACTTTAAGCCTAAAACCACCCAACCCTGGCTGGGAAGATGGGGGGGAGGGAAGTGAGGTGATAAGTTTTACAGTTGATGCCAAGGTCTAGTGCATATTTATTTATCTGTCCTTAAAAGTGACTAAGTTTTTCTCTTATAAAATGTCACTGAACTGACCTGGGAGAATATAATTAACATTGTTGGAATTCTTTTAAGATAGTGATTATTTTGAATATATACATGCTATAGTTCGCAATAGACATACAAATTTTAGTTCTAATTAGTAATTTTATTGCAAAGGGCTAAAATTTTTATCTCATGTGCAAAATATATGATGTCTGAATTCAAATTATCTGCTGTCTTGCAAGGATTCCAGCAATGCAATTTATATTTTGCTAACTTTAGACTGTGCCACTTTATGTCAAGTTTAGTCATTTTTATTGGCCTCCAGAACCTAACCCTATTTTCCCCATTGATTACTTGTAATTATATATCACGATTTAGTATATAGCGAACATCCTTGGACCCTTTCTCGCGATATATCCCGACCCTACTGTACAATTATAGTGCCCCAATGTACACTTGGAAAAAACTACCGTTACAATTCCTGCGCGAAACAAACTGACACTACATATGAATTGTATCAAAAAGGCCCCTGAGGCATTCCTCGCATTGGTAGCCCTGTGCGTGTATTGGTCCGGCCACACATGCTTTTAACAAGTGATCGGCACTCTGAAACGAATCAGAGTTATTGCTGCCCTACTAACACAATTTGAAACTTGATCGGAACTCTATGCCTCATTTCTCCATGTCGAATACACATTGTGAGCGGTGTTGTAACAGCCTAATATTGTGATTTACGTAATTAGTGGTACCAACATTTCCTGATATCTTACATAAAGAATGTGTATGTTATGTGAACTGTGGAGCTATTCAGATGTTTCGGAACAGCATGGTATATTTTACAATACGAATAAAGAATGACATAATGTAGCATTAGCCCAAGGTGAAGTGGCAATGCAAATACAGATTCGAAATTCGGTTGCAAAATAATCTTATATCTTTATTATATCCACTAATTCTGGCAAACATATAGGTAATGCTTTCCTATATGGCAACTCATCCACTTCCACGGTTACTGTAGTCCACAGTGTGTGGAACATTTAATATAACATACAGTTTATCTAGATATACTGACATTTTCCAGTCATACTGTAACAAAGTAATTCAATATTGTTGATGAAATAGTTAATTTTGGCCTACCAAATTAAGTACGAAATGTTTCACACTCAGGCCTACCAACCATCGCGAGACAACAGGAATGTTCAGTTGGAAAATCATCGGATCCCACCTGTACGGTAGTTTTTTACTGAGTGTAAATTGGTTCTAGCCATAATCATGGCTCTGATTTTTCATGCCATGGTTTGAGTTGTCCATAGATGATGGCCACTCCCAGTTCACTGACTTTGTCACCATTGAAGATGGGTGTGTTCCTGCACTGCCATGAAAGATAGCATTGAATATTAAAACAAAAGTTATCATTACAACTTTGTTATTATTTTTAGATACCATTAACTTCTTAGGTTATATTTATCATAAAAATATAACTTTTATGACTGTGCTTATATACTGTACAGTACAGAAGTTTATCACACATTCTACCTAGGAATCACCTCTCCATGCTTGATCCCTATACCATGAATCATCAAAACCTACTGTACTCCACAGATTTTAAAATGGTATTCACTTAGGTCATCATAAATAGTCAAGTGTGTAAATATTGAGGTCCGTCTGAAGTGAGAAGAAATAAATATCTTCATTCCTCTAACTGAATACAGTCTCACAACTGTAAAGCATTCTTAAAGTTATATCTACAAAGTAACACTCCTACTTACACAGTACAGGTACACAATGTTAAAATTTGAAATGAATTACTGTATGGAAGTAGATAAAACAGTAATTTTGAGTAAATTACATAAGCATAATTGCAGTGTTACAAACCTTTGATGATGGAAGTATAACTGGATCAGTCATTAAATGTGACATGATTGGATCAAGGAATTCCTCTGGTGCATCAGCTGCGATGTCTTCCTCTTCAGCAAGAGCCTTACTAGCTTCATTCACCATTTCTGCAACTAAATGTAATTCCTCCGCCAGTGGTGCACGTCCAATACGATCTAAATAACATAAAAGTTTGAGATCAATACTACAGTATGATGTTATTTAATATATATAATATAACCACTGTGAAACACATTGTACAGTGCTGTATATCACTCCTGATTCTCCATGCACACATTATTTTACAAGTTTTATTTACAACCTCCACACTATCTTTATGATATTTACTAATGTAAAAAAGTTTTTGAATGATATTCAATACGTGCAGAATTTCATCTTTCAAGTTAACTTCATATAAACATTCAGTAGTGACACAATACAGTACATTCTCTGCAATGCAGTACAGTATGGGTAGTATTTTTCCTGCTTGTAGCACTTAATGATTTTTTCCTTCACAAGTCATGTAAAAATTTCTAACCTGCAATTTCTCGAGAATCTGATAAAACTACACAGTCCTAACACTGATGGCAATGCTGTCAGAAAAGCGATACTGTACTGTATACCCACATTTTACTTACTGTTAGTCATTACTGATGAGTCAAAAGGGTCAATTTATATATACAGTACAGGTATAAATTCTCTGCAAGACTTTCACAATAAAAGATCCATAAATAAATATTTTTACAAAACTGTATAATGATGGGGACTCATTTTTTTTATGACAACCATAAGAAATATTGATATCTAAGTCTATAAAATCAGTTCTAATTAAGTTAGAAACAATTTTTTCCCCAACAATCCTGAATATTTTATCTTAAAGTTTGGTTTGAATAAAAAAAAAATCGATAAGATATGGGCATGAATGGAGCTGTGTCGCAGCCAAGACTGGAATTTTCCATCTTGCACTAGGGAAAGTTTTCTCCGAGTCTAAACGACGCATCTCTCACAGAGCTGTATTTATCTACGTAAACACCTCTCTACATGTACTGTATGTACAATATATTGAAAATAAACTAAATAATGTATACTACTACTGTACTGTACTCACCAGCAGATGCTGTCATCTTGAGCCTACAGTAGGCATACACTGTCCAGCCTGCTGAATGTAAAACAAGTGTAGACACTTTTTTACATCTTAACACTTAAGATGGAAGTGGGGTAGGGGATTGGTAGGTCTTATGTTACTGACCTTTTGATGCAATGTCACGTAACCCACTGTCTGGGTGGGGGATTAGTGGGTCTCATGACCGGAAGATGTCTTGAATAAAGACGATAGCTAAGGTGCTCCTGTGTTGCTCACTTACTAAATGTACAGTACAGTATAGTATATGTAACTGTAATCACTTTTTACATCTAAACATTGCACAACACAAATTGTATGCAAAAACAGCAGCTAGTTAGGGAACAACCTTCTCCAATGGCAGCAGAATGTTTTCTGGTTGAAATTGGGGGAGTGAAGGGGCTGAAAGGGCAAAAAAGGGGGATTGGCATGAGCACCAGAACAAACAGTACCTCCAACATGTAAACATATATCACAAGTTCCATGATTCAGTAGTTATGTGTGGGGTCCCAGAACAAAGTACTGTAATAGTAAAACTCGCGAGGCCACTGTCCACATTCTGATTTTTAGAGGTTCAACTGTACAATGTGAATGTTAGTGATGTCCTCTCACTGCAAGGTAAAAAAACACACACACACACACAAAACTGATTTTATAGCCTCCGGTATCAACATTTATTGCGTTTTTTCACAAAAGAATTGAGTCCCCATCATCGTACGTATTGTGCTGACACATTTTTTTAAAGGAGATTTTATTGAAATAGCCCCATAGAGAAATTATTCAGGACCATTATGATACCAAATTCATTACCCCAAGACAATTAGAAAAGAAGTTGTGAATGAAAGTTTATACACTTTTTCACTAGACATAAATATATTTGCTCGCAGCCTCATGCCTCAAAAATACCTTCATTTGACGGCCTGTATTATAAAGAATTTTGTTTATATTTAAATATATTTATCTAATCAAACTTTCAGATAAAATATATACTCATGATTATTTGGGTAGAAAAATGGTGTCTAACTTAATTAGAACTGATTTTATAGACTCCGTTATAAACATCATTTTTTTAATAAAAAAAAACGAGTCCCCCAGCATTACAATGATGGGGAAATGTTTTGTTTAAGGATATTTTATTGAAACAGCCCTGTAGAGAACATATTCATGATCATTATGGCATCAAATTCATTTCTCTAACATACTCATTTAAGCACAAAAGTTGTGAATATAAGTTTACACACTTTTTCACAACCCATGATTTAAATGTAATGAGTGTTTGTCCATTTGAGTTGAGATGGTGAGATGAGTAGTTTAGACTCTCGGAAAACTTTCCCCAGCATCTAGAAACATTCTGGGGGTGTAGGATACTGTCTCTACATGTGAGATGCGTATTTTAGACTCAGAAACTATTCCCAGTGCCCGGAGAAATTCTGGGGTTGTGGGATTTTTTCAGGTTTGAAAGATTCGTCTCATTATCCAGAATTTTCTCATTCCTGGAAGAGCTCTGCACCAATTATTCTGGCTAATAGGGATATTACTGCAGTACTGTAGTATATGTATAACCGAAGATGACATACGAATAAATAAATCTGGGTGGTAAAAACTGCAATATGTACAGTATAAGCGTGTATACAAATAACATGGACTCACTGTATAAGAAGTAGAGTGACTTTGGAGATTATTGTTTTTTGTTTTTGCTTTAAACAAAAGCGTATTATATTGCAAGGAATACAGGAAGTATTTCTGTATGAAAAATCAGCCCCAGTACAGTACTCCCCAAAATTCTTATCCAAGAATACTGTACATTCTCCACTTCAATAAATTGTTTCTTGTGGGAGAAACAGTGCGGTATATTGCAGCTTTGTACATCACAAGGGATTTTGGGGACAGAGCCCTTGTGATAAATGAGGATTATCTGTAATATTAACTGGTGAAGAACTGTAATAATACATATGTACAGGTGAGGAGAAGGAAAAAAATCCACAGGTGAGGAAATAGACTAATATTTACTGCAGAAGAACTGGAATAATTTTAATGTAAAGACATGAAGTACTGTACAGTAGTTGAATGTTATTCATGGGCAGTAAAATAAAATAACACCTAACATATAACTCTGCAATGCATGTAAAATATATCATCAAGTCTTCACCATTAAATGTTGATAGAATAAAGAGCAAAGAATAACAAAAGAAGTAATACTTACAGAGTACATCATAAGCTTTGATAAACAGCTCAGGAGTGTAAGATCTTCCATCACCTGACACAGCAAGGCAAAATTCTGCACTGTTAAACAGGTGGGTATATATCGTGCATATATCAGAGACTGTCTCACCAGGACGGAACTTGTAGTCCTCCATGTCACGAACCTGTGTGCGGATCATGAACTTATTTATCTAGTGTTGCTGAACAATGATGTAGGTCAAATGTGCGTAAATCTAAAAAAAACACCCAACATAATCATTACGATTGTAATCTATCAAGATTGGTGTCTATTAGGACTGGGCTTGCCCTAAATCTAAAGGACAGATTAGTTTAAATTGGGCTTTATTATAACTGGGGCCTATTTAACCAGTCATGCTAATACTGGTAATCATTTCCTTAACCTGACTTGTATTTCAAGATGCATAAACAACATTTTTCATGAAACTTCAGATTTTAAATATCTTCTTCCACTTATTTTACACTCATTCCTTTTTTCACTGATAATTTAAGCATTCTTTTAATTAGTATAATCTGCTCACTGTACTCTTGCATACTGTTCATCATTATTTTGCCTTCCTGTCTCAACCATATGCCTTAGAGAAAAGGTACTAGAAGCATCAGTTGCAACTCAAGGATGAGGGATAATGAATCAGGACATCACACCAGTTGTGGGCGACCTACTCGTCATTCCACACCTGGTGATATACCATGCCGGCATGACCAGCAAAATTCCAGCTAACATCACTGCATGGGCATCCGCAGGATTTTTTTCATGGGGTGCAAAAATCCAAGACAAGACCTGACATTGTTCATTCAAAGCAGATACAGTACAGTATATACATCCATATACGTGTACTGTAAAAGTATGATCAAATATTGTCAAGTTGCTTGCGAGTACTGTTTGATCAGCAATATCACTTATCACTGTCATCACCAAATTATTAATCACTAAACTTATCATAGGGTTGACCTTAAGCATTAAAAACTAATGAAAATAATTATTTCATATCATTAACCCTTAAGCCCCGGGTTAGGGTGCTGCTGGCAGTAAACCCCCCCTCCCCCCGGGATAAATTGAGAAAAAAAATCAACGTTTCCAAAAATAATAAGAAGGATTAATCCTGATAATCTAGGGAGGGCCAATGGCAACTTGCTCAGAATATTGCCAGCGTAATTTCAATGGTTAAATAAATACTACAGGCGGTGCTTATCAGCTCGAAAATGATAATCCCATCTTCAATGAAAGTTTTCTTTCAATCTAACATTTTCTGGCAATACACGCTGAGCATGCACAATCCAGACAATTTTGAAAAGAATTGAAGCAAAGTTTGTTGTGATACTGCCACGACAGTAACCACAGTACGTATACAGTATTACCCCGCTTTACACTGTTTCACTTTCCGCGGTACAGTACCTTGCCAGAACCAGACTTTCACTTTCCGCGGTGCATCTACTCATCAGGTAAATAAAATACTGTATCAGGTAACTCACATTTTACAAGCATTTGATTTAAGCGTTTTTGGAATAACCCGATTATTCAATTAATACCAAAAGGTAATTTACGCGCACCTATTTTCAAAATATCGCACTCAAGAATGTTTAAATTTGCCGCGCTTTTTCACCTGGTCGCCTGGCAGTGGAGTAGCATGTGATGCCTGGTGAGGTGCTTGTAAGTTATTACTATAAAGTCGCAGTCATATCAACATCAACGATTTTAATATTATTATTAATAATAATTACTATAATAATGTAATAATAAAGATTATTACTACTAATGATGAAGATAATAATGACAATGAAATATTCTGTACAACAACTATGACGACGTCCAGGAAGCTTCCAGCTTCCACTTTCTCAGTTCACACCACCACTTCTTTTTCTCTGTGCTCTCATGTGCATTGTGTGTTTATCACGTACCTTTTAGTGTTAAATGCTGTTTTCCCCATTGAGCATGTCTGGAAAATGTCCATCTGCCTCCTTTGGGGCACCTAAAGCAAAAAAGGCACGAAAAACAATCGCAATGGACGTGAAATTAAATGTGATCACCGGCCTTCACAGAGGAGAGCGTGTGTCGGAGGTTGGCCGCGTGCTTGGTTTAAGTGAGAGCACTGTTCGTATCCTGTGTGGTATATGATGGTTCCCCTAACCTGTACCATTTACATGTATTCTTTCTTATGGAAAATTATATTCAATTTACGCATTTTTTAATTAAGCGGTGGTTTTCAAGAACGTAACCCCCACGCAAAACGAGAGGTGGGTGTATACTGAAAATTTCAAGTTTAACCTAGTTCGTATCGGCGGGCGTTTGTAAGTCGGACGTTCCTAAGCCGGGGACCTCATGTACAATATGCATTTAATATGATCTAAATACAATAATAAAAGGTAAAACACAACACCCTAAAGAAAATCCTACCCAGGGTGTCAATGGCATCAAGTGGAAGTAAAATGAACTCTAAATGAACCCGAATACTAAATGAACTCCAGAATATTGTGCTTTATTTGTTTGCAGACTTTGGCTAGCTAGGGTATGATGAACCTGCTGTAATGTTCATTTTTATGGTTGTGTTAATACATGTGCTCCTGTATAATAGTTAAATATTTATAACGCTATTTGTTTATGTACTCTTACACAATACTTAAAAAAAATCTTTTAAAATCTTAAAATATACTAAATGTAATAATTATCATGTCCTTGGGAGTTTTGCCTGGGGACTGTGCCATTTTTTCTTACATTCAGCAACCACTGGATCTTTTCTCACATTTCCACCAGAACCTCGTTTTGCAAGTGACATCCTTGGTATACATACACTCATTGTAGCAGATTTTTGAAGCACGCTCATAACTCTCAATAATTTCCATGGCAATGAGTGAAAAAAAAAAAATATCCCCAATAGTACCGAGCTCTGAGCTTTCCACTATATTTGTTTTACTCTTATTTTTATTCATGAATAATGATTTTAACAAATACTACTGTATACAGTACTGTATAATCTTTAAAATTATGTCATATTATATTAGACAAATGTGCAGTTATCCAAATATCACACTATGGTAGTTACAAAAAAAAAAAAAAAAAAAAAAAAAAAGTAAAGTTATTTAACTTTATGCAAAGTATTTCTAAAAATTGCTAATTTAACTAACTGTAAAATAATGCATAGTAAGTTCTGATGACAGGTGGTCAATGCTTCATCATGACCTAACACCAGGTATACACGGTTCCTCTGTGATGTTAACATCGTGATGGTCTTACCCAAGTCGGTCAGCCAGGCCTAGCCGCCAGTTGTTGCTCTTGCCAATGACATTGTACAGTAATTGTCACACACAGGAATTGTCAAATGTATTGGCTTACCCCAAATGACCGTTGAGGGAATATTAAGGAACAAACGGTACACTTAAATTTTTTTAATACCATACACATACAGTGCAGTACTGTATATTGTGAACAAGGATTGCAGAAAAAATAAAACATTTAATTTTTCAGGGGGGTGTCAAGTGCACCCCCCTGAAGACACCCATGCCTGTCAAACTGAAATGTGTGAAGGGAGAAGGCATAAAAGAAGCTCAATGTGCTACTGTTGTATGGAATGTAACCCAAAAGGGAAGTTATTCCAAATGAAATAACAGGATACTGTATGTCGAACAAAACTTACAAAATCTCCAGTGCTAATTTCAATTCCGGGTCTTGGAGAGGTCCGGCTAATAGGGAGTCTAGCTAACAGACATTACTTATATATATCAGAAACTGTGTTACACACAGGTAAATCAATGTCAACAATAATCACCTACGAGTGCCGGGTATCGAACCCGTGTCACAACTGTTGTTTTGTTTTGTTTTTCCCCCTTGGGAGAAGGTGTCCCATCATATTTCGTAAAATTTCATAATTCGTAAGGCCTAGAGCCATTATTATTTCGAATTATGGGAGATTTATTGTATATACACGCTCAGAGCATTTACCTTAAGGTTCCGCTGCTTGGGACCAACAAGGGCAGAGAGGAAGTGGTTGAGCATTCCAGCCATGCGGTCCACAAGGGTGCTGTGAGTGAACATGTGTGGGATCTGCCAACACAAATAAGAAATGCTAGAGGAACAATAATAACTGTACAATACCACACACAATGAAATAGTTCTGCTACAGCCAAGCTCAAAGAATTATTGATAACACAAAATTCTGATTATTTAATTTATTTGAGTCAATTACATTAGTATTTGTAAAAGTTATACTATACAACTCTGACATGTGGATAAAAGAATGCATTTATATGTCTCTTCTGCAATGATGCAGAACAACACCAAAACATGTTCAAGACATAAAATTTAGAAACCCAGGCTGAGAGATTTAAACAGTACTGAATTTTAATAGTCAAATACTGTAGTGAACTTTATAATTGCAAAAAGAACAGAAAACTTGTTTTACCTCCTTGGTGAGCAGTAGCAATGTCTTAATGGTGTGGGCTCCAAGCATGTTGTGGAAACGAGCTAAGAGTGACATATGTGTGAAATTGCGTCCACTTTCTTCCCGTTGGGAGGCAGGTAAACTCAACCACTCTGCACTGTTCCTGTAACATACACATCTTTAGAGGATGAACATATGCAGAGGACAGAGATATAGTAACAGAAGACAGCATCTAAGCAATGTAAATGATTCTGCCTCGCCTAACTATCTTGCTGTTGGAACAAGGCATAAGTTTAACAAGCAAACCCAGATACATAAAGATTATTACCAAAATATAGATTATTTGATAATAAAAGAAAGGTAAAAAAAAATAGTCTCTCAAATACAAATAATAAATTCCTATATCAATTTGTTTCATGGTATGGGTCAATCATCAAGTGATTGACAATATTCCAAATTAGATAGAAGAGGGGTGGTGGAGGTCATATATTAAAGGACCAATTTAAACATCCACAGTTATGAAACATTCACCTACAATAAAAAATAAACTATTAATCATTAGTGTTACAAAGACTAAAATAATATTCACTGTTCAAAGTTAAGTCCTATGATCACTAAGAAGAACTGTAACTTGGAGTAGTGTTGACAAGAAACTGAAATTAATAGGGGACTGACCAAGTACCGCATCAACAGACTTATGGGTTGACACCTCAGGGTTCTATGGACCTCCAATTTGTGAGTGTAGCTATATTTCAGAAATCCAGTTAAAAATAAAAATTTAAGAAATAACATTACTGCCAACTCAAAAAATAAACTCTAAACATGAGGGCACATGGAGGACTCAAGTTATCATAAGGCTAAAATGAGCTAAGAGCCCACCATCCTCTGTGCTAACACACATATGCTCTGTAACCTCTGCAGGTTGGAAAATTGGCTTCAATCTCAAACTGCCTTCAGTTCTATGCATATCAACCCAAAAGATGAAGGGAGGGATCGACTGTATATAACCCAATCTATGCTTGTTATAAAATATTATTTCATGATCAATAACCCATTTGTTATTCTAGCAAAGGATGAGGTAACTCATGTACAGTGATCCCTCGGTTAACGAGCGCCTCGGTTAACGAGATTTTGGTTAACGATTTACCTTCCATAAGATTCTTAACTTCGGTTAACAAGCAATCCCTCGATTAACGAGTTTCTTACGAGCCGACCTGAACATGTTTTCGCTTGCATTTGGCGGTCCACCAGCCATAGTATTAGTCAACCAATACAGTAATCGGTTTTAGGGCTTAAATTCCTTACTATTTTAGTAAATATCAAGAAGTTTATACTAATCAATAATTTTAAATGTTTAATATGAACTTTTTTAGTCATTTTAACAATTATTGAACATAAGTGAAGGTAAATAAACTAGTTTCTGGCACGCCATCCAGCCTGTTAACACACCAAACAGGAGTTAGTCTCTCTCTCTTTTCAGTGGAGGTAACATCTTGCTTGAGTCTCTCTTCAACTAAACGCTTTTTTCTGTGTTTCCAAGCAAATTATTGGTCATTTTGAAATTTATTTTACATATTGACAATATATAATGCAGTTCAGTGTTGATTTAAAGAAAATAATCTTGAATTACACCAAGAGAACTAAAATTTTATGGGTGAAATGGCACCATGGGGTGACTTCTCTTCCACCCCAATGCCTTCTCTTCTCCCTTCTCATCCACCTCCATTCTAATTCCCATCATCATCATCCAGGAGCCTTCTACATACACACCTCAAAGTAAGTGTACTTTTCTACCTTTTTTGTTGAATTTACGCAATTTTCGGTGAGCTGGAACCAATTACCCAAAAACCCATTGAAACAGTGGTTTCGGTTAACGAGCAACCTGCTGGAACGGATTGTGCTCGTTAATCGAGGGACCACTGTACTGTATAATCAAGCCAAGTAATACCGTACAAAGGAATGAAGATCCACAAACTAATGCAATTTGCCCCCTTTACTCTGGGACCAGGTTTAAGAAAAACTAGATTCACAGGTCCATGAGAGTTATCAAGTCCAGCAGCATGGTAGTTTTGTCTAAATACCAGGTGATGAATGCCTGATCCACTTCATCAGTTACAAATGCATAGTTACCTCTCTCTCTGACTTTCTCGAAGCTGTGACATGTAAGACATTCCTTCATCAAGCAAGAAAGTGGCATCATTCATCAACAGGTTGACAAACCGGAGGAAGAGTGGAGGCTTGGCCGACTCCATGTTGGCTAAAGATTCTTCAGCTAATTCTTTAAATTTTTTTCTATGTCTGGGTGACTCCCACAAGAACTTAATCACTTCATACCTGGTGAAAGATAAAATACTGATCATGAGATGGCAGACATTAGGAATCATACTAAAACACTTTCTGTCTTATATTTTCTCCAATTCTTGCATGCACTTTTCCACTAAATGATTAAAGCAACACACATTCTTTTCACTCACTGTCATTATGCATTTCTATCTGACTGTTTTACAAGATATTTTCTCTATTCATTATTCATTCATTTTCACAATACAAGTTACTGTAGTCATTGTTTATTGTAAGGCCTCCATTCCCAAAAACCTTTGTATTGTGAGAAACAACCACAGGTGAAATTAATCTTTCCATAAGAAACAATGTATTAAGGGGATAATGCATTCCTGCTTAGGAATTTGGGGAGTACTTGGGCTGACTTTATGCATGGAAGCACTTTTAAATTGACTAAAAACCAGGAAATACATAAAAAAAAAAAAAAATACCTACACAGTACAACATAAAATGCAATCAAGTCATTTGCATGTTCATTCTCTCACAGCCATTTGTCACTTGACCATTACACCACCACCCCATAACAGCCAGCCACCACCACCATCTATATACCCAATTACAGCCCTCAATATATTTAAGGAAGAAACTTGTAATAAATGTATTAATGCAAAATGAGAATGAAAAGTTGTGGTACTGAGTAATTCATTGAGGCCAGTGCATGTTTTCTCTCTCATGGCTGTGCATCAACTGATAAATCTCTGTTAATTTAATTACTATGTCAAGTAGCTATCATTAATTGGCCTTTGCATATTCTTTACTTGTGGCCATTTAGTTTTTTGATGCTACTGACTTTTATCTTTGCACTTTTAAAGTGTAAGGCAGCATAATATTAAGATCAACTTGTGTGTACCTGTATGAGCTATTGGATAACTTGGGATTTAACCTTTGATAGCCCTGGTGACCATGAATTTTGATTAAATTATAAAGTTTTAGAGTGGCCAGAAACTGATTAGACAACACAATACAGTACCATAGGTTAAATATTATAAACAAAAAGAATTTATTAGAAAAGTTGGCCTTTACCTTCATTCTTTCACGATGGTTAGCTACTCCATGATGGTTAGCTACGCCACCATGGTTAGCCACTCCATCACAGTTAGCTACTCCACCATGGTAAGCTACTCCACCACGGTAAGCTACTCCACCACGGTAAGCTACTCCACCACGGTAAGCTACTCCACCACGGTAAGCTACTCCACCACGGTAAGCTACTCCACCACGGGAAGCTACTCCACCACAGTTAGGTACTCCACCGCGGCTAGCTACTTCGCCATGGTAAGCTACTCTACCGAGTTTTATAAAAAGAATTACCAATCCATCGCCCTACATATAATTTATTTATTACTGTACTAAGAAAAAACAAAAACAAAAAAGCACTTGAGCCCTCTAATTTGCCCCTCATTTATTTGGACGGTGGTAATTCAAAATTTTTTGGAGATTGTCGAATTACTTAGCAATTTTCAACATTGAGTCTCTAATGTCCGAATTACACTAAAGTTGTTGAAGTTACCCATAAATCTGACAAGTTAAAACTTGTGGTCCCACACAGAGGAACCATCTCAGGCATATCCCTAAAAGGATGCTGTCTAAACATCCCGTGCAGGTGAGAGTCAAAGTAAGGTGAGTAAATATATGATTTACATAGTCATACAGTACAACAATAATTTTTTTTTTTTGCATAACCCTATGTACTGTACCATCCAATTTTGTGTGGAAATATATAGTTTTTCTATAGAGCTAACAACATTTTACAGTATAAGGTTGGGTAATAAAAACAAATTGAGCCCCAAATACTGAGACACATGTCAGTTGAACAGTGCCTTCACTGAACTGCAGCAGGTCAGACATCAGAGAATGGTGCAATCCAAACACTCCCAATTCCAGCCATAACCAACAGAGAAATGCCTAGCTAAACATTCCATAGAATTATATAGACAAATATCTCATGAGTTTGTACTGAAAATTACTATATTTTACAGCTGAAAGTACTACTGTATTTAGGAAAAACTTTTGTGTGTTGTTTTCCTCCTGTAGCCATAATTTTCTTAAAATAATATACTGTATAGAGTACTAGTAAATGTAAATAATAAATACAAATAATATCAATAAATAAGTTACAAAAAATACTGTATTGACAAACCAGTAAATAAAAGCCAAATGAAAGTTTAACCACAGCAACGAAGACCAGCAAGGGCGCTAACTCCACTGATTCCTTAGCCATGCTCCCCCCCCACACCATGCCATCCTCTCTCTCCCCCACTGAGCCAGCTAACTCGAGTGCAAAGAAATGTATACAGTCAACCCTCGCTTTATGAGGTCCCACTATACGCATTTCCACGTTTACGCGGTACCCTGCCGAACTCGGAATGCTCACTTTCCGAGGTGTGTGTACCCTTTTACGTGGAGAGCGGCGCGAGCAGGGTGAGCACAAGGTCGCCCAGTCATCAAAACATTACCGAGTTCTTCACCCGCCACCCACCACAGCCGGCCCGAGTCAGTGATAGTGATAATGATAGTGAGGATATGGACTTATATGGACTTTGAGGGGTTTGACAAAGAGGCCCTGCAAGCCTCTGTGGTGGATAGTGATACAATTGATACAAGTGATACAGGTGAGGGCCAATAATCTGCCCTCTGCCTCGGAACCAACCCCCCATCCCCGTGTGTCCAGCCATCTTTTCTACTAATGTAAGTGTTAAAAAACCTAATATTATTGATATTTCTCTTAATTATTAATTGTGTGTGCATAGCATCATAAAATTAAGAAGTTTTTTTTACTACAACGTAGGTATTGTGTCTGAAAAAGTGGAGTTTGGGGGTCGGCCCGGTCTCTATTTCAATTAATCCCATATGTTATGTTGTTCACTTTACGCGTTTCTCACTTTACGCAGGCTGCCGTGGGTTCAATTAACCGCGTAAAGTGAGGGTTCACTGTATTCCCTTAATATGTTTGCCCTTATGACAACTATTTCTTTTACCTTTTTTTACACAATATGTATGTACGATGGTGCGTGCATGTAACCGAGTACAAATAAATGGAGAAAGTTACATATATCTACCTGAATAAACAAGTTAAAAACAATCATAACACCTCACGGCTTGGCTCAGTAGCCTGGTGGTTACAGTGACAAGTTTAACCTGGCTACAATGCCACCAGCCATGTTTTGAAATGTAAATGTGAAAAGAAAGTTATGTGTAAATCTTCATTTGTATCAGGTATTTGTAGATTTAAAAATGAATGTTGCAGGTATGGCACTTAATAGATTGTAATGCTTGTAAGAGTTCAGAAATGGTTACTACTTAGCTAACTCTGAAGAGTTGGGTGTCTGCCGTACAGATGTTAATCATCTCAGGTTATCATCATCAGTGCAGTAGTTATAAATTGAGCTTTTATATTTACAATAATTATGTTTTAAATTTATAAAAAAATACAGGGTGTCCATAAATGATTACCCTGATTAAAACATGAACGAATACTGTTTTTAGGGTAATAATTTATGGACACCCTGTAATAATAATGTGATTAAGTAAGTAATAACAGGGTGTCTACTGGCCAGACAAAACAAAATTCCCCAAATTTTCCAGGTTTTCCAGATGCAAATTTCTTACCCAACTGGAATAATTTTTTTTACACAGGATTAATCTTGGTAATAATATTCATGCTCTAGAACGGTTATATACGCACTGAATCTACACACCATGGTTCAGTTAGTTGAACTTTGGGCTCTTAAGACACAGAGTCAATCCCATGGTCTGGCAGGGTTAAAGGAACATGTTTCTGTAGTAATGTGCACTTAGCTTGCCACCAGCCAAGACCATGTTCTGTTCTGGGCCAAGCTAATCTCCTTAGCCCCCCCTCCCCCTTACAAACTGTAGGAAAAGGCATAAAGGATGTTAGCTTTCCATCATATACCTATACAGTACTACTGTACTTACATTGGTCTTCTATAGTTGAACTTCTCCTCAAAAGAAACGCTCTGACCAGTCATTTCAATGCTGACAAAAACATGTATGAGGGCCGTAACAAGCTGTGAAGCTGCAGGGTGGTTGGTGAACATCTGCTCTCGATAACCAGCTAGTAATCCACCACTGGAATTACCACTTTCTGGAAGGAGAATTTCTAAGCATTCAGCAAGATGGGCTCGGAGGTGGGGGTTATACATCCGTTTAGGGGAGCCCATGAACACTACTACGAAGGACATAAGATGAGGCAGCACTAGGCTGCCCCCCGTTGAATCTAAGAGGGTTACACTGTATCTCGGAATGGCAATGATAGTTTCCGTAAGAGTCTCCACGAGAAATTCAGGAATACACTGCAAGAAAGGGTGTGTGTCTGTATCTTCAGGAAGGGGCATCTTAATTTCCAGCAGAGTAGTAGGTGGACTAAGTTGATCTAGGGGGCAGAGTGCCATCTGTACAAGCCACTCAGCAGAGGCCGCCAGAAATTGCAACAAACTTTCAACCATATGGGGTTCAAATACAGCAGTTTTGATGGAGAAATATTTGGAGGTAAGTGACTCCAAGAGTGAGCTCATCATCTCTGTGGGAGGAGACCCCTGAGCAGAGGTCTCTTCAGCATCACGCTGGAGACGGCCCAGCTCCTGGGACAACTTCTGAAGCTTTTGCAGAACCACCTGCAAGAAAATAGAGAAAACCAATAGAGTTCTATTCAAATTTTCTTTTCTAAACTTCTTAAGAAAAATTTTGGAGGTAACTCTGTAACATTGAACCCTTAAATGATGGGATTGCCAGGAGATGATGTGTTTCTTTTATTCCCTACAACAGAGATCATCTATAAAATCAAGCCATATCCTCACCATAATTCTTAAGTTTGGCATGTGATTTCCCCTCAAATGAATAAATGCGACTCATGGCAACTGTAATGGTCGCTCCCTTCCTCCCAAACCTCACTAGTAGCAACTTTATCATCCTGGAAGAAGCATCAGAGTTCCCTTAACACCCACAAAGAATGATAAAATTTTTTGGAAAGAAATTAAGAGTAAAACTGGAAAACTTGATTATTCGATGAGTGAATTTGGAAGTGATAGCTTGTCTGTAAACAGCAGTAGTGGTGACAGTGACAGATCATCTCCCCAACATCTGTCATCTGCCTCGCGTGATTCATCTATCAGTAGCTCTGCATTCCTTACTGGCCTAGCCTCAAAGCAAGTGTGAGTCTTCATCATTATAATTTTTTATTACCGGTATTTGTAATACTTTCATCACAATCATCTTGACACCCTGCTATTGAAATTATTAATTTTAGCATCATTGAACACTGTACGTATTGATATTTTTATAGAAGAGGGGTATGGCTTATGGCCAGGTTAGCGTGGAAACACTGTACTATAGTCACACCTCTCCGTAAGGGAAAAGCAAATCTGAATGAACCACTGTATACAGATAAGTTTTTTTTCCCTTTTTAAAGAGAATTCTTATAATTCTATTTTTTTTTAAATCCAAAACCTCCCCATCAGGGAAGACAATTTATGTGAAGAACCCTCCACCATTTAAGGGTTAAAAAACAACTCATAGTGGTACAAGTACCTGTACTTGCTAATAGGATTATATTCACTAATACAACAGGACTCAATATATTTTAGAACCTTAACGTCAAACCTAAGTTGTGTGGAATTTCCCTGGGGTAAAAATCCAGTATTGTACTGTAATTAGAAATCCCCAAAACAGAACAATGTATCACCTGTATGCCAAGGTACAGTGCTCGGTGTGTCAAGAAGAAGCAGGTACTGATAAAAGAATATTTCTTGGAATAGGAGCGTGAAGAATTCTCTTGGTATGGAACCAGTGGAGTCTGCTTCCCAAGGTCTCCTGTGTAGGCTCCAGGAACTTCATTATTGCTACCAACTCTTGGAGCAGCACAATATGTGGGATCAACCTGAAATAGACCACTTATATTACCATAGCATGGCATTACAAGATGTTGGAGGCTGGGAAGTCGAAATACCTGAGGTAGCTATGTTTTCATCAGAAATCAATATCTGGTCCTAATAACTGGTGATTCTTTACCTACAAAAAATTATTAAAGAATAAAGATGTTAAAGTGAATAGATTAAGGTGAGTGGGAGGACAATTTGTTTCACCTCTTAACCCCTTCAATAATGGATGCCACTTTTAATATTATGTTTCGCAAGCACCAAACGATCTCATTCAGCACAGAGAGACCTCTCGTACCCAAAGGGTTAAATCCAGCCACCCTGCTGCATGAGTAGCATCTGGAACAGTAAATTAATATATCTTTTTATTATTCAACAAAGCAGTGAAACTTGCCTTCAGTATTTTGGCAGTCTTAAGGTCTTGTGTAAATGGCTGTGCCAACTGCAACATCACTGCCCCAAGATTAATCATGAAACCATCAGGAACAAAAAGAACATCTTGTAGACGCATATCACCTTGAATGTGCCACGTGCCAGCACGACCACTGTTTGCTTCCAAGCACGATTCTATCCAAGTCAACAATCCAGCCTTGGCTTCTGGTGATACCTATAACCAAACAACATTTAATCACATTAAATTTATACGGGAAAGTCACACTGCTCCCAATTAAGCAAATACAAGTACAGTAGTCCCATTGCAATGTGAGGAATTTTGATATGAGAAGCCAGTTTTCCCATTAGCAATAATGTATTAAGGAGGGGATGAGTTCCTGGGTGGAATTTTGGTGGTACTTGGGCTATTTTTCATACAGAAATACTTATAAATTATCAAGAAACATAAAATACAAAGATACATAAAATACCGTATAATATAAATTCATAAAAAACATGAAATATGCACAAATATATATCTAATACAATATAAAATACAAATAAGAGGCATTTGCATGATCTCCCTCTCATGGCCATTTGTCAACTTACTACCTATGCCACCTGCCACCACCATCTACGTATACTCATTTTTACCACTCTTATGACATTAAAAGAATAAGCTTGTAATAAGTGTTAGAATAATCTGAAAACTTGTGATCAAATTATATACAAACGACAAACACCAGTTAACTATGGCTTATTTAATGTAAAAGAACCCTGTAGTGATATATTGATAGGCATGTGTGTGTTTTTCCTTTCATGGCTGTTTCAACTTATGTGTGTCTGTTCATCTAAAAGGTTCTCCTGCACAGGTTGAATTATTTTTACAGCAGCAATGGGAAAACTGAGATAAGTTGAAACTGTTGTGTGACTGCTAAAAGGAATCTGAATACTGTACTGAATTAATTTTAGAATATATTTGGTGACAAATGTTTGATAAATTCTATAAGAATGACTAGCTCTCAAAATGGAAAAAAAAGGATAAAAGTGGACAAATTATTCAATCAAAAGGCAATCAGCTCATTAACTATAATCAACCCATTTTTTCTCAATTTCTACAAAAAAATTTCAGTCCAATTTCTCATACAAACCTTAAGTAGGGAGAAGAATATTTTGTAAAGCCTTAAATTTATAGCATTCTGGGCCAGCCATATGCTGTTCTCTGTGTCCTTGAGAGCCTGGGCCTGGTTCAGCTGTGATGATGGCTTCTCAAAGAATTCAAATGGCGCTGTACTGTGCTTAGGAAGGCATGATATGGATAACAGACTGCCTAAGGGTGTATTCTGGAACAGTCGACCTGACCTGTCTTGGTTCACCTCTGTGGAAACAACAAGGCGTTCAGGTACGGTTTTTCATCATTCAGATGTGGTTAGCAACACTGCTTGTTTTTAGTCATGCGTTGTGTACAAATTTATTTAGGGATTGACCTTCTCACTAAGTAATATCAAGATTAATAAGCAGACAATGGAACTGGTCCATTGCGAACACTGCTACTGACCTTAAACACATGTAGGTACAGTATAGAGATGATTAATAATTGAAATGCTTGTTGAAAATTAGTCATACACCAGCCTGCCTTAACCCCATAGTCCATAATACTGTACAAATACATCATCTATGTTCTAACTTGGACATTTCAAAAGATAAAACCAACACAATGAACTAGGGAAATCATCTGTAAGTTGGGTAACCTACCCCAAAATGAACCTAATTAAATCTAAGCAAAGCTGTGGCTATACAGTGGTCCCTCGGTTAACGAACGCCTCGGTTAACGAAATTTCGGTTAACGAATTACCTTCCATAAGAATCTTCACTTCGGTTAACGAAAAAATTTCGGTTAACGAATTCCTTACGAATTTTTCCCAACATGCTTTTGTCTGCTTTCGGCTGCTCACCACCTGTAGTATTATTCCACCAATACAGTAATCGGTTTTAGGGCTTAAATTCGTTACCATTTGAGTAAATATCAAGAAGGTTGTACTATTCAATAATTTTCCAAGTCTTATATTAAATTTTTTAGTAATTTTAACAATTATTTAACATAATTAAAGTACAGGGAACTAGTTTTTAGCGTGCCAAACAGCCACATGACTCACCCAGAATGGCGTCAGTTTGTGTCCCTGCTCAGAAATCCCATTGAAACGATGGCTTCGGTCAACGAAATTTTTGGTTAACGAACGACCTTCTGGAACGAATTGTGTTCGTTAACCGAGGGACCACTGTACTGTGATATACAATTGATAAGAGTGTCCCAAGAATTCCAACAGTACAGAAAGATCTCAATACTTATGGTTTACATTGCTTACTTTTGGGGATTTTGGTGAGAAGAGTTGCAAGATATGGTGATGCAGCATAAAAGTCCAGTATGTTCACCAGCTGGTAATTTACTGTCATAAGGGAACACTGTTCAAGCTGTTTGGCCACTTCAGTAATAAGCTGATCAAATAGTGGTGGAGGTGTCATTCCCTGTTCAACCAAGTGATGTATGAGTTTACAGGTAAGGTCATCCACAGCAGCTTCTTGGCCCAAACCTCTCAAGAGAATTTGGAGAAACTGGCGGTCTGGGTGCTGACCACGGTACAGCTCAGGCTGTTCTAAAGCTGTGGCCAGATTGGTGATAACAGCTCCTTGAACCTGTAATGGCAGAGGTGTCACTGTTGAGAAAATTGATTAAAATAAGAGATATGAGGAAAAGGGCAGACAACAGTGCCCATGACTGTATAGTACCATTGGCGTCTCAGTGCTTCTGTGAGGTAATGTCTTCCTTGGCAAAGCAAGATAAATGGGCTTGAAAAAGTCCTCATAATATTACTAAGATAGTGTACTGTTACTAAGTAAAAGTATGCCATTATATAAAAGAAAAAAAAAAAAAAAAAAAAAAACACTGCTATAGCTACTTTAGTAAAAGAATAAGGACCTCCCATGAAATGAACTTATGCAGGAAAAGCAAAGTTGTGTTACTACAATACTATAACAAACACGACAGTGCAGTATTTCATTATTAAATTTTGCTCTAGTATTAATCTCAAGTTTTATATACAGCAAAACCTTACAGTGGTGCATAAAGTGCTGGAAAATATTACTTAAGTGAAAGTGTTGTTACTGGGGAAAAGTTACTCAAATTAAAGTAAAAAGTAGCCTCATTAGCCGCTTGGGCTATCACGTACTGGTTCCAGAATGTAACTGCACCTGCACCAGTGTTAGTTAAGTCTGGTCTTGCATGAGTTTACACTGAGTGTTGTCACAATGCTCTCTGGCAGATTGTCCCAAGAGTTCACAACCCTCACTCCAATAAAGATTTTTGAGCTTGTGGCTTCATCAACCTTAAGCTGCAACCCCGAGTGGGGCAGGCATCCATCAGCTTCATGTATGAACACGTGACTGAATAATGTCCTCTGAGGTGTTTATATACTACAGTAAGATCTTGCATTTCGCGAGTTAATACAGTATTACCCCGCTTTACACGGTTTCACTCTCCACGATTTCTCATTTACGCGGTACCTCGCCAGAACCAGACTTTCACTTTCCGCGGTGAAGTATAATTTTTTTTTTAATTAGCTCATAAAATTCATACAAATTACCCAGCCAGAATATAATTTACATTGCTGGAATTCTTACAATATGATGATCATTTTGAATATAAACATCATGGATTTTGCATTAGACATACAAATTTTAGATCTAATGTAATAATTTGATTTACACAAAGCAAATATTTTATCTTTTGTGCAAAATATATGAAGTTTACATTCAAAATATTCCCTGACCTGCAAGGAATCCAGAAATGTCAATTATATTATCCTAACTTTAGTCTGAGGTATTATTTATTACTAAACGTTAAAATCTAGTGTTTTCACCCAAACATTTCTCTGGTAGGGAGGGAAGGTGGGGGTGGGGGGAGGGTTGGGACCGACCGACCCAGCTGGCGTGAGTGTGAGGAGGGGGGGGAGGCAAGGTGGGGTACTTTGATTGACAGATAGTGTCCTTGAAGAATATTTCTTTGTTTATTTACTGAAGATATTTGTTTTAGCTCATAAAATTCATACAAATTACCCGGCCAGAATATAATTTACATTGCTGGAATTCTTACAATATGATGATCATTTTGAATATAAACATCATGGATTTTGCATTAGACATACAAATTTTAGATCTAATGTAATAATTTGGTTTACACAAAGCAAATATTTTATCTTTTGTGCAAAATATATGAAGTTTACATTCAAAATATTCCCTGACCTGCAAGGAATCCAGAAATGTCAATTATATTATCCTAACTTTAGTCTGAGGTATTATTTATTACTAAACGTTAAAATCTAGTGTTTTCACCCAAACATTTCTCAGAGAGGTAGGAGCTAGTGAGCTGGGAAGAGGGGGGGGGGGATTTGAGTCCATTATTTGAATGGACATTAACCTGGCGACTGTATTTCTCTTAAATATTAATTGTGTGAGCATACCATCATAAAATTAAGATGTTATTTTTACTACAACATAGGTATTGTGTCGGAAAAAGTGGAGTTTGGGGGTCGGGCCAGTCTCTATTGGAATTAATCCCATATGTTCTGTTGTTCACTTTACGCGGTTTTCACTTTCCGCGGTACCCTGTGGGTTCAATTGACCGCGTAAATCGGGGTACTACTGTAGACTGGAAAAATTGCGCCAAATTCAAATTCGCCAAATGCAAATACATAAACTAATGGGAAAAATAACAATATAGACTGGCCACTCTACATCAACCTCTGATTTTCCCATTTATAGCCTCCAAATGATATAAATTCTGCCTTTATTGACTTGATTGTGCTTTCCGGAAACTAGTTTTTAGGCCTTCCTCACGTAATTTAATCACATGCTGCTTATGCTACATCAACTACCTGGCAAACTGAACTCCCTTATGATAGTCCTGCTTCTACATTTCCTTATTTGGCCGCTTAGGTGGGTCTGTCCCATCCCCACCAGCACCAGTAGGACCCCCAGTAGAGGTAGAGTCCATTATCTTGACTCGGCAAGTGGTAGCACCACCCAAAAAAGCACACAATAACAGCCCGGGTGGTCTCTAGGATGGAGCGGGCTACAACGCGATAGTTGCGTTCTTGTAAATCTCTTTTACGTTCACCACCGGCAATTCGATCACCAGAACGCTTCTTGGAAACATTCTTCTTACCTTGTCTTTCCGTATTCATTGCTAACACAACAAAATTGGAGCAAACAGCGAAAATCACGGAGTAATTGACATAAACCGCGCGATTCAACTGATCATGTGATGTAAACAGAGAGCGCTGATGCAAACCGTAATTAGTCCTCACTGCGAAACATTCTTTTTACTTATTCTTTTCTTACAGTATTTATGGGTAACAGCTAAATTTGAAAAAAAAATATTTTTTTACAGAGTACCTCTCAAAAAACACTTCACAAACAAAAGACACGAATCAATTGAACATGTGATGTCAAACGTGAACTGTAAACATTCCATAACCCCGTGCTAAGCTTTAAACGTTGAGGATGGAACCAAAACATTGAGGATGGAATAGCACTATAGCCAACATTCGCATGCAAAAGTTCGTGTTTTACAAACAGCGTTCCCCTATTCATCAACCGCGTTATAATCAATTCGCATTGACAAAACACGCGTTGTAGCAGAAATTACTCTAACTGGTATGAGGGCTATGGCGTCATTCAAGACGGTGGCCAGCATTCAGCTGGCTGGATCTCGCAAAACTCACGATATTTTACGCCAAATATAAGACTTGGTAGTGCTCGCGAAATTAAAAAATGTGAAATATGAGATCTTACTATACTGTAATAGTACTGTTTATGGTAGGAGGGGTTAACAGGAGCAAGTTTAATGATAAAAAAAAGTTTCATAAGCTTAAGGTCAAAGACAACAGAGAGCAAGAGGTGAAAAATCATAAATCAAAGACACTTTCATATACGGTACAGTATATGAATGAAAATTAAAGGAGACCATTGTGTACTTAGAAAAAAATTATCAAGGTAATCTTGTTACTATATTTATACAGTGTAGATGCAAAATTTACTGAAAATCAAAATTAATAAAAAAAATACTAGGAATATAAGACTGATTCTGAAATCTCATTCTCTGTGTCAGAGCCTGTATCAAGTCAGCTCATCTAATAAGCACACTAAGCCTTTAGGCTGGGCCCTGAGCACCATGCCACTGGTGGTTGGGTGAAGAGCTGTATGATTAGTTGTATCTAATGAAAAGCCGTCTCCTATTAAAGATGCTTTCATGCCAAGTGGTTACCCTTTAGAAACCCAGTACAAAGGAGATGGAAAATACAAGTTTTACTTACTGGGTGTATTTAGTTTTTGATCCCGGTCATAACTTTCGAGCTCTAGTGCCCGGAGTTAGAGGTAAAGACTTCCTGGCTATATGGAGGAATTATGTCTAAGCTTAAATACACATTTTTACAATTCACAGGTATCCCACAGTAACTACACTGTACTGTGCTCCTGGTAAATTAAGTCTATAAACAGTATATCATCCAGGACAAAAGAGAAAACATCTGTGCCAAACAAAAAAAAATTAAAGATATAGAAATCATGAAAATAAATTGAATTAGGTGTTTGCAGGTTGGCAAGCATTCCCACCTGTTTGAGTACATGGGCTAGAGGTCTTTCTCGCGCAGCCCAGCATCGCCAGTACACCTCACTCAGGTACATCACCACTTCCACTCTCCCAGCCTCCTCTCTTCCCTCATCTCCTGGGCCAACCAGGTGAGCGTCTGGAGTCTCCAGAAGCAATCGCTCAAACAGCAGAAATTGGAGAGTGTCAATGGTGAGCATGTCAGAGTCTGCAAGCAGCACCCGAGGGAAGGCATGAGGCCCCGGTCTGGTGGTCACCAACAACATATCCTCAAGGAAGGCTGTTGTTTTCTCCTCACAACCATTATCTGGACTGTAATGTATGGTTCTTTTTACTTTCACAACAACAACTATTAACCCTTAAAGCCCAGACGATGTAAGACCTGCCAGACACCCACGTGGGCATATTTCAGCCAAAAAACATATGTTGAACCGCCACATTCATTGTTACTTGTAATAAAATTATAAAAGTTGTCAAAAAAATCATTTCAATCTGTACTCTAATGTAGCTTACAAAAAAATAAAATACAATATATATATATATATAGAACAAGGAAATGAAGAGCATGGGTGTATATATGTGAGAAGTGATTGTGTGTTGAGGCAGTTATAGCCAAGGCCTTGGCTATAATTATGTGGCCAACTCACCAGCCCAACTGCCTCGTAAATTGTTTTTTGTAATGAAACTATAAAAGTTGTGGAAAAATCATTACAGTACTTTAATGTGGCTTAGAAATATGGAAAATCTAGTATAAAACTGTAAAATTAGAAAAACGATGAGCATATTTGGGAAGTGAGTGTGTGTTGAGGCGGTAGGTTACTAGGCTATTACTGCGTGGCTGTGATCCCTCCTGATGTATTGTCACGGTACATACACAGCTAGAGCAGCAGTCACACATGGGTGAGTTAGCTGGTCGAGTGCCTGAACTGTGTCCGTCACTCAGAGAATGGTTTGGCTGTGGAAGGAGTTATTATTTTTTCCACAAAATGTGTGCTATTGTTTTTTTTATGATATGCTATGTATCGATTTTATTGTTAATCATAGCAATAGATATGGCAGCTATAAATTACTGAACAGAGCTTGAAGGATGTACATCCACCACGATAGTTGGCAGGTAACTGACCATGAGGCACAAATCTGAGACAAAGATTACGGGTGAGTTGCGTTGCCAATTATACAAATATCCATTACAAAGTATTTTGTCCCAACTGAACATTCAAAATATGCCGTGAAAATTAAGAATGTTGAGGAACGTCACTTAGGGTCGCAATAGCTGAATGTAGAGGAACATCACCCGGGCTTTAATGGTTAAACAAAATTCAATTGATAATAAAAAAAACAAAATGATTAAAGAGAAATATAATTCATTTTACATGTCTGTCAGACAGGCCAGAAACGTATCCCAATGAAACCCACGTTAAAAGGCTCACGATTAATGTGTGTTGCAAGCCTTTTAACATGGGATTCATTGGGATACATTCCTAGCCTGTTTGACACAGACATTTAACAAAGAAAAAATGATCCTACACTAAACAAATACAGTACTGTAAATTCATAAAACTTAACAACTCACCACATTAATAATAACAAGCCTGATCAGCATCACATGTTCCCTTCGAGGCTAAAGGACTCTTGCTAGGAGGGGTGGATCCAGGAATATCAAATGGGGGGGTCCATGAAGTTGTGGGTGAGAGAACATGGCAAGCACAGCAAGCCCACCCAGCTGGGGGGCTTTGGGAGGTTTGCTGTACACCCCCCCCCGGATTTTTTTTAAATCTGACGAATATCATGGACATTTTGAGGCCATTTTGAGACTATGTGCACTTAATATCAGGAGAAATTCTGAGGTCAATAGTAATTACTTTTTAATCTACAAAAATGCCTGAATACAATACTGCATTAAAGAAACAGTAATGGAATTTTCTGATGAAAAGGGGGGTCCACACCCCCATGAACCCCCCTGGATCAACCCCTGGCTAGCCATTTTCAAAGTTACTGCGATCCACTAATCGCTTCACAGTCACCAAAACAGGGCAAAATCTGAACGATAATGTTTTCCTCTCACCAATAACAAGAAAGTATCATAGCATTCATAAGGTTATGCAAAGATTAATAATGATAATGTTGTTATATTAGTCAGGGTAGATGCAATCATGTTGAAACAAAATGTGGGAGTGTAATTTACATGGTGGCCGTGAGGCGGCATGCAGGTAGGTGAAGCTGCAAGCAACACTTTAATGCAGGGACGAATATATAATACCATAGCTAACGGTATGGACAAACCTCATCACACTGTCTCTCACAATGGCCAAGAAATTGCACTTGTCATGTTGTCTCTTACTCAAGGGTATATAACAATAAGTTTCTCGAAAATCATTCAAATCTTGACCATCAAGAGACAAAGTGACGAGACATATTTTGTCCGCACAATTAACTTTGGTTAAAGCAAAACACTCCCCTTAACCACCCGTGGACTGCCCACATTGTACGCCCAAGCCAAGAACATGTTACCCAGTATCTGAGCAGAAAAAAAAGGGTAAATTCTGAAAGCCAAGATACAGTACAGCTAGACCCCGACTTACGACGGGGTTAGGGACCCAAATCCAGGTCGTAAGTCCGACATAGATAAAAAATAAATTAAAATAATAATAATAATAATAAAAAATCTACAATGAAATACAGTACAGTAAAAGTAATAAATAATGAGGAATGGATACAGTACAGTGAAAGTAATAAATAATAAGGAATGGATACAGTGTGACTGAGCACTTACCTTTAATGTAGTCAGCTGAATGCAAATGGGGCCCCCATAATTTTCTAATTATACATGGAGACTACATTAACTGGAAACGTTTCGGCATAGAAAATGCGTGCGTCATTTGGGGAAAAAATAAATAAAAAAAATAATAAAAAATCTGCAGTGGTCGTAAGTCAGGGTCTAGCTGTATATCGCATTTCTACCCTTTTACTTGATGGGCCTTTCATAAAATTTAGACATACACATTCTATAGCCTTCCACCTATTCTATATTAAAGAATGGAATATTCGAAACCTGTTGCTGCACCTAAATTCACTTAGTTGTACCAAATTTAAATTCTGTACCATACCATACCTTCCAGGAATGTCATGGAGAGGTTCTGGGTCAGTGTCTTGGTGCTGCTTGCTGAACTGTTCTGCATCCTTCACTGAGCAGAACAATGCAGCAAAAGGATTATTCTGTAGTTTCTCCGACATCTTATGAATCTGTGGAATATATTTTACTGTACATTAGTTATTCTTATTTGTTTCCCCCAAATTTAGTAAACTGCAGAAACAATTTCCTTCCTTGTCTATATTGATGTAATATGCCTCTACTGTACATTCTTACTTTCATATTTTCAATTAAAATGAAGTTATTGGACTTCACTTTATAATTGTACTTAACTTCTGAGCTGATATATCATGCACTAGTCTGGATTTGTAAGTGATTTACAAATTCTAAAACTTTCTGATATCCTGGTTAGTGGTGTAAAGAGGTTGAATCTCTTCAGTCTGGCACCTCAGGACCAGATCAGAGAATTTTCTGAACCACAGGTGGTCAATAAATTACTGTACCAAAAATGATACAAGTTTGTGTACATGCAGCCTAAGGAACGCTGGCTGTGCTGTCTGGCCTTAACACTCGCCATAGCAACACAGCCCATCTGGGGCATCCCCACGCCACTCCCCCTTTCCTTGCTCAGCATGCTAACTCCTGCACATGAAGAAATATGTACAGTATTCCCTTTATTTTTTTTCACCTTATGATAATTATTTTTTATTATATTTGTTTACACATTTTGTACAAAGGATTGTGTGACTCTTCCTAGCCCCTGTGTTGCCAACCAGTGTTAAGGACATATTTATGCATGATGCAGTTTGTAAGAGTAGAATTACTTTTTATTTGTTTTTTAAATGTTCCCGCATATGCCCGTGTAGGGGGGTGGGGGGTGCCGACCATAGCCCGAAGCCCAGAGGTTAATATGCCGGGGGTCCTGGGGGCTAGGAAGTTAGGTTCGCTATGTCAGGTTCAGTTAGGTTCTGTGCATTGTCGATTCCATTTTTGGTTTTAGTAACGCGCAAATAACGTCTCCAGAAATTTTGGTTAAATTCTATCAAGTTTTTCTACTGTTAACTGTGATCTCCACTTTACCCCAGAATATTTACCAGAACTGGGAATGTACTGGCTCCAGAATGGGTAAAGGTGGAGGAGACGGTTCGCACCAGAACTCGTTTATAGTATACTGTACATTCATATTTTCCACTGATATACTTTGTATGATATTAGGTAATAAAATTGATACGTTTTATTTTCATTATAATATTTTTTCTATTTATGATCATAAATCATCTGTATTGGGCAGGGTATGAGGGATGAGGAAAATTTGGGGGTAAAAACACAGCAAAAATTGACCATACGACACTCAAAAAAATTCTCAATGCGCTTTGCACGAGAAGAAACAAAATTTTTACCATAAATATTCTGCCAAAAATTCTGGTCTGTTGTCATCCGATTGTAAATAAATATATTCAGATTCTGGTTGTACTTAAATGGTCCAAAAATGACGGAGCGTCAGATCAGGGATTTTGCTACATTTATTATAGGCTTGAATACCCTTTTTTTTAGCCACCACCATCCATATACAGTAATATGTTCTTAGACCTATTCATTTTATAATTGATGTTGATCATATTGTTGGAATTGAAACCAAATTATGGGTTTTATTCATTTCCAATACCTTTTGAGTCACATAGGATTCAAAGAGATCTTTATGTTTATATACTTGTACTGTACTACTGTACTTACTGTTCTACCTCAAAGAGGAGGACTGAAGGAGAACCCATATCATTTTTCGATGGTGTTGTATGAAGTTGATTTTGGCATCGTATCACAAGTTATCTGTGCTTGTGGAGGATGAAAACCATCTCATAGAGAACACCTGTCAACATTGACTAGTTGGCAAGACATGCAAGAGTTCAAAATGCGGCAGAGCAGTGAAGATGAAATGTGTGTTTCAGTGCTCTCATAGCCACAAAAAATGTAAAATTACACCATGCTGCTTCTAGATAGTTGCAGCCCATTGGTACCAAATATCAAAGTAAGTTCTTTGTGCTTAATATGCCGGGGGTACACCCACCGGCTCGGAAGTTAGGTGATCCTGGAGCAGATGGCTAACACCATAATGTATTGTTTAATTTCATTAATATTTTTCTAAAGATGTTCTTTGGATGATAGTAAGTAATAAAAGTGATACGGCAATGCACAAAACCTAATGGAACCTGACCTAACCCTATCTAACTTTCGAGCTGGGGGACCCCTCTGGACCCTTGCCATATTATACAGAAAGTACTTACAGTATTTTGATATCTGATACCAATGTAAGCAACTTTGTTGAGGCATCATTGTGTAATTTGACATCTTTTGTGGTCATGAGAGTACTCTCAGACCAAGTGGGTCAGTTATAAACAAACAGACAAAAACACACACACACACAGTATAGTCTGCATTTACACGGTCAATTGAACCCGTGGAGGTACGCGTAAACCAAAAAACGCGTAAATGAAATAACAGAACATATGGGATTAATTGAAATAGAGACTGGGCCAACCCCCAAACTCCACTTTTTCCGACACAATACCAACGTTGTAGTAAAAATAACATCTTAATTTTATGATGGTATGCACACACAATTCATAATTAAGAGAAATATCAATTATATTAGGTTTTTTAACACTTACGTTAGTAGAAAAGCTGGGTCGGCACACGTGGATGGCGGCTGGTTCCGAGGCAGAGGGCAGATTAGTTGCCCTCCGGTGAATCACTTTCACTACTCGCAGAGGTTTGCAAGGTCTCCCAGACAAACCTCTCAAAGTCCATATCCTCACTGTCAATATCACTATCACTGACTTGGGTTGGCTGTGGTTGTGGTGGGTTGCGGGCGAGGAAGTCCTCAATACTACATTGACGACTAGCATTGATGTTGTCGAGATAGATCTGGATGTACGGCTCCATAACTTTCGTCACATGGTTATTAGACGCTTCATACCGATGCTTGTCTGGGTCGTTGTCAAGGATGAGCTTAATTTTCTCCCCCAACTCGATGATTTCATTCACACAATCATGGCTTGGTCCAGCTAATTCAATGTTTTTCTCTGGTGGTGGGGGTCCAGCGGAAGCCATTGTGAGTTGTGAGGGGAATAGTGGGCACAAGAGAGAACTGTATACGCGGACTGAGAACAATGAGACAGGCCCTGCTAGGTCAGCGACTTCTACCCACTGGTGGCAGGGCACGTCATGTTACATTAGACCAATCACAGCTAGCGGCGGAGGGAATGCGTGGGTGGTTGGATGCGTGACCCAATCACAGTCCGACACGCCATATGACATCAGCGATAACATAAGAGCGGCCTAATGCGCACCACTCACCGCGCCGCTTCCAGTGTATGGTCGAGAATGGACTGCTTGAATAAAAAATGGCGTGGAGCGTCTGGACCTCCAGCCGCACTCCGCGTAAATGACCAAATTTACCGAATAATTAAAGAATTTACATTCTGGCAAGGCACAGCGTAAATGACAAAATGAGTAAACAAAATCCACGTAAATGCAGACTATACTGTGTGTATATATATATATATATATATATATATATATATATATAATAAAATGAAAAATCTGTCGCTTATTTTAACACTCTTAGGGTTTTCGGACACAAAAAACAACCAAACCTAACCTAAACTTAAATTCCGACGAAAATATCATACAAGAAAAATGTCACCCACACACAACGCTTCCGTGACGCCTGCTGGTCCACCACTCCACGACCCCCTGACGGAGACACGATGATCCTCCCCATACTGGCCAGATAGTATGTAAATAACATTGAATATGTGTTAAAGGAATATCCTTCCTTCCTTAGGCTTTAGTAAGCCCCTTTATAATACTTATACTGTATATACTTGTCACACTTGCCATATGCTTCCGGTGTTATTGTACAGGACTACCTAGTGACAGCACTAGGATCCCGCTTCCTCTATCAAGGAATAAACAACTAAAATTGAAATTGAATTGAAAAATGTCTTAGAGTTGTCTAAACATTCGAAAAAACATTTCTAACGCCAAGTGATAGAACGGTACACTAATATAAAAAGACCATCAAATGTTGAATTAACAAAATCTCCAAAACTTCCAATTAGTGACACAATGAAAATAATGAATTGTTCCCACATATAACAATGAATATATAAACCAGCCTTTCCTTAACCTATTGCTGTAAATATTACATAAGCTTTAATTTCGAATATATAAGACCTCAATACATGATTTACTAACTTACATTAGAAAAATATTGGCACATACGCAAATATACGTTGTAAATGATGTCCAAAGAGTAGAAGAGGTTCAGTAGCTGCGTGAGATTTTCATTTTCCCAAATGGCTTGTTGTTGTGCGTGACGTGTCGTCTGTTCTCAGCTGATTCTCGTTGCGTCCAACACAAAAACGATCTTAATTTATCTAAATACAAATACTCTGCAAAGGAGAGATATCAAAATTTTAAGGGTGAGTTTAACTCACTACAATTAAATAGTAATAATAAATCAAATTTAAGAAAAAGATCTATCATCACAAGAACCATTATTCCATAAAGGTACAGCGGTTTTATATACAGACTTTGAAGCCCACTATCCTAGCTTTGAGGCGGCCACACTCTGGCCACTTTCCTCCAAACATGTTTTGAAAACACGATCCGGCGCATCTGCCCAGCGCAACGAAAACAACAACAAAAAGTCTCGACAAGGTTCGCCAGGGATCCCGTCATTACAGTTGATGCCTTGCAGGATTGTGCTATAGTTCTTCAATTGATGAAGCAAATGGGGCGTCTGCAAAAGTTAAAGAAAAGTCAAATGGGTGCGACGTGAAGTTTCTTTAAAAGTGGCGGCGGCTGGCTGGTCAAAGAAGACCCTGGATAATGATTTAATAATACTGTTATGCCTAGGCCGAAAATGAGTTCCAGAGGCAGGTTGCAAGCGAGGTCAAGTCAAACCCAAAGGCGTTTTACCGCTATGCAAAGTCGAAATTAAAAACGCGAATATGAATATTGGACCTGAGGCTTGAAGATGGTAGTAACGCAGATTCTGACCAAGGCAAAGCTGAGGCATTGAACAGTTTCTTTTCCTCGGCGTTCACAAGAGAGGATACGATTAATCATCCTGCGTTTGAGGACGGACCCACATTGTGTTCACAGAAGAGGTTATAAAAAATAAACTGTCAAAGCTAAGGGTCCATAAGAGTCCCGGCCCTGACATGATGCATTCCAGGGTGCGAAGAGAGTTGTGCAACGAACTTGCTGAGCCCCTGAAGATCGTGTTCTGTAAATGCCTAGATGAGCAAAAGGTCCCCAGTGATTGAAAAATGGCTTATGTGAGTTCTATCTTCAAGAAGGGCGATCGTCACTCCGCAAATAACTGTAGACCGGTGAGCCTGACCAGCATAATATGTAAATTATTTGAGACCATTATAAGAGATGCCATGATAGAACATCTACTACGAAACAACCCTGTAAAGGATTATCAACACGGTTCTTTGCCGGGGCGCTCCTGCTTAACACAATTACTCAAGGTACTGGATATTTGGACCCAAATTCTGGAACAGGGTGGTAATATCGACAATAAATACCTAGATTTTGCGACGGCTTTCGACAGTGTACCCCATGAAAGGCTGAAAATTAAGGGATTCGGGGAAATGTCCCAGCGTGGATCGGAGACTTTCTCCATGACTGCAAGTAGTGTGTGGTGAATAATGGCACGAAATCATCATGTGTACCATTCACAAGCGAGGTACCATACGGCAGTGTATTGGGCCCGCTGTTCTTTGTTTGCTTCATAAATGACATGCCCAACGCTGTACATTCCTCCTTACAAATGTTTGTGGATGACGCCAAGCTATTTCGGGGAATTAAGAACCAAGCAGACTGTGAAGAGCTGCAGAAGGATCTCTGTGAGCTTCAAGAGTGGTCGAAGAAATGGCTGCTAAGGTTCAATGTCACGAGGTGTAAGAGGCTGTACCTGGGACGTACCAACGGTAAGGAGGCGTATCATATGTCCCAACGGGACGAAGAAACTGCATTAATTGACTGAATGTGAAAAGGACCAAGGTGCGTACTGTATGTCGACAATGAGCTGAAGTCCTCGGGCCGTTGTGTGAAGATGAATCAGGCAACTAAATTATTAGGTCTTATAAGAAGGTCGTTCAGATATCCCTCTCAACGATCTTCAAGAGTGAAGTGCATCCCCATCTGGAGTACTGTCCCCTGTCTGGTCCCCGAGATATACTAAGGACTGTCAGTTGATTGAAAATGTCCAAAGGGCCACCAGACTGGTGCCAGCACTACGACACCTCACCTACCCTGAGAGATTAGAGAGCCTGAAATTGCCTAGCTTATACGACAGACGGGCAAGGGGGGACCTAATTGAGGTGTATAAACATCTCAAAGGGCACGACTCAGTCGAGTGCCCTTACCTGGAGCTGGCGGACGCTCACCCCACAAGGGGTCACAGCTCAAGGTTGAAGAAGCCGCATGCCCAGAAAACTGTGAGGGGTAACTTTTTCGGAGTGAAAGTTGTGAACTCTTGGAACAATCTACCAGAAAGTGTTGTGTCGGCACCGAGTGTGAGCTCTTTCAAGACTAAACTTGACCAAAAGTGGAGCAGGTTCAGGTACATTCAGGAGACGGTGCATGCCCAGTACTTGCCAACAGTGCATAACAGAGACATCACCAATCGCCCAAGCGGCGAACGAGCCGATCATTTGGTGAAGAGGGTAAAAGTAAAAGTATAATATTTGTAAACTAGGTGTTTTGATTATTTTCTATCCCAAGCAACAGTTATTTTGACAAGTTTAGGAAGATTTTTGTATATGTATTGATGTATTACTTATATACGAATATTCTAGAATGTATTGCATTATTTGTGTTATGATTTACTTATTACTGTAAGCCTAGGATGTTCGAGAGGCGTCTGATGATGAGGTACAGTATATAAGCGGCAGCGTGCAGCCGAGTCCCCGCAAGGTGGATAGCCCACCTGCTATCAAATCTCCTCCTTCATTTCCCACTTCCTAACTTACCTTCCTCCTACACCGTCTTCCATCTTCAGAGCAAATGGCCTTCTTCTCTCCATCTCATCATCATCACTGTCAGTCGATCGTTTCTGCTCAGATTGTCAAGATCAAGCTTAGTAGGACAACTGAAGATAATTGTTGTGCAAGTATTGTGGAATTGTTGTGATCAATATAAAGTGAAAAGACTAAGGAATTGTACACTGGTAGTGTGCTGACTATATTCATAAGTGAGAAGTCCAGCTGTGAAGCCATTACCCTGTGAACACTGTTGTGATGAATTAGTGACTATTACTTTTATCCTCTTCACCACTGATCGGCTTGTTAGTACTGGTGGAAATCTACCTGCCAGTTGTTTGTCTGTACTCTACCGATCGTCGGAGAATTATCGGAGACTGGCGGGACAGCCAGTGGTAATTCGACGACACTTTTGAGATATCTACTGCTTCTGTACATACAACCGTGACCGCTGGTAACCAGTGGTGAAAGCTGGGTAAGCAGTGAAAGGAGGGCTGTAATAACACTAAAGAAGTTTTAAGGTGACAAATAAATAGAAATATGTCACCGTTTATATGCTATATTTTACAATTTTATTGTTTCACGATTTATTTCAATTTTTATTTAAAATTATATGAAACTCATTTGAGCACTAATCTGGTCAGCAAAGTTCCCCGCCAAACCGTTGTCCATTTCTCGCAATAGCCGAAATCCCAAGATCAAATCCAGAGCCTCCAGGAATACAAGTGTCATGGTCACATTGACTGCTAATCTGTTGTAAATCTGATGATTCTTATTATACTTCACGCCTGCAAAACATGTGGATACCGGTTAGGTATCCCGAGGAAGAAACGCATTTTTCCCTCCCCAAAGGTTTACACCAAGGATCCCACCACTGCCGCCATTTATAAGAGCAGGCAACAAGCTGCCACCATTTATAAGAGCTTTGGACTCTTATAACAACTTTTACTTTAATACTCTGACCTGAGGTAGCGTGACACGAGAGGAAGGCCTATGGGTACATGTAATTATAGTATCAAGCATTAGGAAGAGAACAATGGTGAATACTATAGGTGAATAATAGACCCAACATACAAATACAATGTTTATTAAAAGACAAAAGGGTTATAGAAAAGACGTTATATGCACCAAAATAGGAACTCCTGGTACCATGCCCTCAGGCTCAATTTACTTACACCACGACTGGGTGTACACACACAATAACAGACATAAACTCTCACAGCACCTTAGCACCATTAAAACCAGTGGCACTTGCCAATACAACACTCAACACCCCAGGGGTAATACTCAAGTGGCCGCCATGGGAGTCTCATCACCACGTGGCACCTTCCAACAAACTCCGATGATTCCGGTGGAATCACACAGCCACCAAAATAGCAACTACTGAGCTATTGACTCATCCACCAATGATGGGGGCTGGTAGTTGTTGTGGGGCTTGATGATCCGGGGTCACTACGTGGGCAAAGCGTTAGGGGAAGCCTGGACAGCTATGGGGCCCATAGGTGGTGGTGGTGGTGGAGCTTCTGACAGTCGGGATTTACGGAGATAACAGATTCTACTGGTCTACAGACATCTCCCCAGACTAGTGGATGCGTCATCCACGCTACAGACAGCCTAGGCTCCGAAGGGACCTGTGGAGGGAGGATCGTGGCGCTTACTGACCGTTTGAAAACGAACCGCCAACCTCCACCCCACGCCAGGTCACGGATTCCACCTACTTAACATTGTAATAATAATAATAATAATAATAATAAAGAACTATAAAGAAATACACAAATTAAAAAACAAAATCAATTGTGAGAAATGCTACATGTACAGTATGTTGTGTTGTCAAGTAAGAGAAACAATTGAGACCCTGCAATTGTGTGTAAATGAGGCAGAAAGTCAGATCAGCAACCTAGGACTTGGTCACAATTTTCGTGATGCCATATAGCAGCAGGATCTACCATTAGACAACACATTATGCTTCCACTATCTTCCCAGGCGGTAGTACATGGAGAACAAGTTAAAAATAGTTTCAACAATTTTTCAAAAGACATAAATAACAAGAATTAAAATTTAAGAGAAGCCAAAAGAAAATTGCAAAGTAACCAAAGTAAACTGAGGTTTTCAAGAAAAAGGTGTGAAGAAGGTGTGACAAGGAACTAAAAGTACTAACAATCAAAATCCACAAAACAATCGGAAATTGTGTTTGTTACCTGAAAGTGTATATGTTGGGCTCAGAAAACGAAAAGCGACCACAACGCGTTGTGGTTGTTTGGAAAATAACCAGAAGCGAGATTTTTGGCATAGGTTAGGTTGGGTTAGTGTAAAATCCAAACGCAAAATTTCGCTTTCTGGTTATTTTGAAAATAATCACACACATATATATATATATATATATATATATATATATATATATATATATATATATATATATATATATATATATATATATATATATATATATATATATATATATATATATATATATATATATATATATATATGCAAACTTCTGTGCGATTTAATTGTAATTCCAATTAAAGATATTAAAATTCGCCTTAATCTTAATTAATACACCGTACAACATACTCTATATTATAGAGTAGTTTAGGTTATATTTACGGTTGACCAATATAGTACATTTATGATACATTTTTATACGTATACGTATTGTTATCATTCTTCTTATAGGTAATAGGTCAGTGTGATGTTTAAATTGTATTAGCAACAGAAAATGGCACTTGCTGTGGAAGGAAATTAATCGCATTGGAAAACACATCTGTTATGTTACGTCGGTTAGAAAACGAATGACAGGAATGAAATGAGAGCTTAACTTTTTAGGGTGTTACAGACGTGTTTTGTCATTGGCAGAAGAATATAAGTTATTAACTACAGCCGTCAGCGTGATGTTTGGTGAGACACTGACACAAACACATTCCATTCATCACCCTGTCTTTAATGGCAGACTTGCGGCATGAATAACCTTCAAAAGATGGGCAAAAGGGAATGAATCGCGTCCACTTCATTCTGAAACGCAAGAAGTAATTTATTAAGTATCATACTTTGTCTTTGTCGAATAACTAAGACGCTAGCCTTTCATACTGCTCTCAATCAAGTGATTACAACATAATCTTTGCTGGATTATTAGAAAATTTTCCTAATACATTCTTACTTATATGTTTAGGTGCAGAACAATAATGAGGAATTTATCTACACACAATGGCTACAGACAGATAAGGTTACGTTAACAGCATTGGGGTCTCATTGGTCAATGTTTTCTTTGCCTTTTCCAAAACTATCTACTCTACTTCCCCCTCATCATAAGTTATCTGGGTGTAATGTTTTAAAAACAAATATCAACTAACCTCTTAATGATATTGGTCCCGAAAGGCAGGTCGTAGCAGGAGGAGGTGACTCTGGCTGCCTCCTGCTTCTCCTCCTCCGTCTTCATGGCCACGCCCTTCCACTTCAACAAGCCCCTCTCTTCGTCAGTACCTTAAAGGAAAGATGCAGCTGAGAGTGAGAACATCTTTGCAAGTGTATAAATCATATGCTATGTATTTATGAAAATATCAAATTTAAATTACTTACGTTTGATATATCTTTTACACACAAAACTTCTTCAGCAAGATAATGTATACTTAGGGAGTTTTATACATTAACGTTGTGGGGTACGGGTTGTTTGTTCACACTCAGGATGGGATGGAGGAAGGAAACTCACAATGTGCTCTCTGTATACATATTGTATTGGATGTACAGTGCAGCTTGGTGCTGGGAAGTGGCAGCGTGGTTACAAGCGTGATGTAGAGAGAGCTGGTTGGTGAGGGTGCTCAGAGGAGGACAGCTTGTTGGTCGCCATGCTCGCCGGCGGGAGCGAGGGCCGCCAGGCAGCGGCGGAGGAGGTGGTGTTGCTTGCTGCGGCTGTAGCTAGAAGAAGAGGTAGGTCACCACGAGGTCAGGTCTTATATAGCGGAGGTAAGCGTGGATTAATAGTTGACCTCCGCTCCGTGGGCGGCGCTGGTTGACCTAGACCACGAGGCATACACTGTGGAATTCGCGGGGTCGGCTACTCAGCGACAAACAGCGTTTGTAGGGGAGAAATCCACTACAGTACTCCCTCCTTCCCTCCAGGCGGTGTAGGAGACTTTTTGTCTGCAGGGTTGCATGCCACATGCGGGGCAGAACGGGCGGTGCATGCCACATGCGAGGCAGAACGGGCGGTGCATGCCACATGTGAGCCATAACGGCGATGGCGTGGATGAGCCGGCCGCTAGAGGAGACAACTGTCTAGAAACACAATATCTGTGGGAGTAGAGAGGGAGAAAAAGGGTGTGTGGAGGCGATGAATGTTGTGCTTCCCTCACGGCAGGTACAGAGTCGTCAGCTGCGCCTGCTGGGGTGTGTGGGCCTGGGTCAGGAGCAGGGGCTGCGTCAGCAGAAGCGGATGAGGGCTCGTGACAGCAGCTGGGTCCACGACAGCAGCAGGGTGCAGGACAGTAGCAGGGAGTACCTGAGGGAGAAAAGAGGGGTGTGTGGGTCCGCACTCAGGCGCATGGGCCATGTCGGGAACAGGGGCTGCACCAGGAGGAGCGGCAGGGGGTACTGCTGGGCTGGGGGCGGCGTCTGAGGCAGGACGGTTGTGCTGGGGTCGGTAGGACGTGGTGCTTGGGGCAGGAAGAGGAGCGGCTGTCTGCTTAGAGTCGCAGAGCTGCTCTAGGGTGTCTAACCTGCGGTGTAGAGACAGTAGCTGTAGAGCCGATGAGAACTGCTTCTGTGTGGATAAGCCAGTCTTCCATGTTGCTTGAAGACTGAGAGAGTGATCAGTTTCTCCTCCATCCTGTGTGAGTGCGAATCTCCGGGGGTCACCATTTGTGGGGTATGGGTTGTCTGGGTTCACACTCAGGATGGGATGGAGGAAGGAAACTCACAATGTGCTCTCTGTATACATATTGTATTGGATGTACAGTGCAGCTTGGTGCTGGGAAGTGGCAGCGTGGTTACAAGCGTGATGTAGAGAGAGCTGGTTGGTGAGGGTGCTCAGAGGAGGACAGCTTGTGGGTCGCCATGCTTGCCGGCGGGAGCGAGGGCCGCCAGGCAGCGGCGGAGGAGGTGGTGTTGCTTGCTGCGGCTGTAGCTAGAAGAAGAGATAGGTCACCATGAGGTCAGGTCTTATATAGCGGAGGTAGGCGTGGCTTAATAGTTGACCTCCGCTCCGTGGGCGGCGCTGGTTGACCTAGACCACGAGGCATACACTAGGGAATTCGCGGGGTCCGCTCCTCAGCGACAAACAGCGTTTGTAGGGGAGAAATCCACTACAACGTCACCTGCAGTCGCTAAACTATAATTTCTTTTAGGCTGTGTTTTTCAGTCCAATGCTTTCCTTTTATTTGTTCAATCGACTGACAACTCATTTCTCTCATTTTAAATGTAACGGAATTCCCTCGTCGCATATATAACCGCAAATAATTTTTCTTCCTGGTCTACAGTAGGCTCGTAAGTGTAAACGTGATCATAATTATAAATATAAATGACTCGTAATTTCACATGTCTGTATTTACTTTTACTTTTAAGATAAATGTGCGAAACAAAAACTGAGATTTATATGATAAACTTACAGGCAAAACAAGAAGATTATTAGTAAATCCACAAAAGATGCAGATCAGCTCTCCAGTAACACAAAGACCAAGAGAACTCCGTAGTTGGATCATACTCCATATATTCATTACGTAGGGATGTGACTGAAGTCACACTCCTAACTTTACTTTACACCGTTTAACTTTTAAAGCTTCATGTCTCGAAAAAAATAATTAACCATTTCTAAGTAATGGCTAATGCAGTCAATGGCAAATACATGTTTTCTCTTATTCTTCCTCCATTTCATTCCTTCCTTTCTAATGAGTCAAAAGCAACAAATACAATACATTACTAAAGGGGCATCTCAGCCGTCCACTTGGGTCACTTGTACTGGGCCTCAGGACTCGAGGCCTATCAGGTTAGGGTACATTTGACCAGTTAATCGTATTATCTACGAACTCACTCACCTGAGATGGTGTTGTCGAGAACCAGGCCCAAGAAGCCGCCCAGGAACATGGGAGTCTGGAGGAGGACGAGGAGCGTCTGGTCAAGTAGCGGCGCCCCCGTCTGTATGTATGACGGGTTTGCCTCCAGCCACTGTGGACGACATTATTCATGTTACCTTTTTGTGTGGTAAGGTGCTGACACTGCTGACAACTAAGGCTTAATTATTTGGTATTAACTATGTATCTACTGCCGACACTGAAGCCCACATACAGTGCTGATAGTGGAGCTTAACCCGTAGTTACTGACTGAGTATCTGGGAACGCATAAAATAATCGTATGAAGTAAATAACTAAAAGTCTTACTCTTTGATAGAACTTGTTTATATGCTAAGCATATATTATTTTAGCCAAGCCGTGTTAATGTGGCGAGCTGAAGAAGACGACACGGTGATGTGATACCTGCGTTTTGTCGACATCAAGTATATACTGTAGACCTTGGGTAGGAATAAGCTACCGGTGGTACGAGTTGTGTTCATGAATACAGCTCAAAGATTTAACGATAAGTTGCTGATAGTCTTGTAATGTTGGTCACGTTTCTTATACAATGTTGATCAAGGTCTAAGGATGTACCATGGTGCTGAAGACAGATAGGTGGAGTTGTATTGATGACCGCTTTGATGGTGGTGACGGTGGGAGTATCATTACCCAAAATAATGACGACTAAGAATATGACCAGATATTTACACACTTTACTCGACTTATGCAATACAAACTAATTAAAGAACTTATAACTCAGTGGTTAATACTATATGTTGCACTCATCATGTACCAGTTAAAATACGGTTAAATATCATTAATTGTAAGTTACATACGAGACATGAACCACAAATGTAACAAGTGATGATAGCGATTATATTCAAGCATTTTTTACCATACATACATACATACATACATACATACATACATACATACATACATACATACATACATACATACCACCATACATACACCATCTGTGAGGTAATTACTACACCACGTGAGGCCCCTCATAACACCATCTGTGAGGTAATTACTACACCACGTGAGGTCCCTCATAACACCATCTGTGAGGTAATTACTACACCACGTGAGGTCCCTCATAACACCATCTGCGAGGGAATTACTACACCACGCCAGGTCCCTCATAACACCATCTGAGGGAACTACTACACCACGTGAGTTCCTCCTAACACCATCTGGGAGGGAGTTACTACACTACGAGTTTGCTGTTCAACACCTACATTAATCTGTATGTTCACTGTATGTTCCTTTACCTTTCTCTAATGAAGGCTTTTGTTAAACCACCATTGTATGTAATAAGTCATTTATGTCCAATGTATATTTTCAGCCTTCGGGCTGCAGAATTTTTTCAATAAACCGTTAATTATTATTATTATTATTATTATTATTATTATTATTATTATTATTATTATTATTATACATACCTCCATCACATTAATTAGATTTAGGTATATACTACTAACGTAACAGGAAAATAACAGTCAATACCCCAGGAATATATATACCCGTCAATATACCATAACTACACCATTTCAAATCCCAACAATACACATTAATATAGGAATGCAGTGGCCGATCGAGTATAGCATGGAACTTCCTATCCTGTAATGCAGTACCTAGGGATTACAGAAATTATCGACCTCAGCATCACACTAGGAAAGAAAGTGATGCTTATAGAACACATAGACGGAACTGTGATGAAAGATCGTGGAATGATATCTTTTGTAATGGTGTTGTACTTTGACATTTAAGTTAAGAGATCATTTTGTAATCAGTAAATTGCTGAACGGTTGACATTTTCTTGACTGTATTAATTTTAACACTTATTTATTCTATTTTTATTTATGGTGTGATCCAAATACCAGCGAATTGTTGTCATGGTTGGCACGCTTAGCCTAATGTTTGGCACGATTTATTTATTGGTTAGCACGCTTTATCTATTGGTTGGCACGCTTTATCTATTGGTTGGCACGCTTTATCTATTGGTTAGCACGCTTTATCTATTGGTTGGCACGCTTTATCTATTGGTTGGCACGCTTTATCTATTGGTTGGCACGCTTTATCTATTGGGTGGCACGCTTTATCTATTGGTTAGCACGCTTTATCTATTGGTTGGCACGCTTTACCTAATGGTTGGTACGCTTTACCTAATTAGCCTTTAAACATATTTGGAGGGAAAATCTCTCACTCTTTTCACTATACAGTAGGTTAGACATGACGTCACGTTCAGCTATAATGTGCCTGCTGCAGGGTGTGAGCTGAAGGTTAATTGAACACTATTTACTGGCATTATATGAGTTACTAGACAAGTGTTAGCTTCATAGCCTCTCTGTAATAATTGACGACTTCTCTCATAACTAATGTGCACATCTATGCTCCGTGAGTCTTGTTGAAACCGAAATGATGATTGATGCTATGGAGAAGGCCTCTCAATCTGTCCAGTAAAAGAAATTTAAATGTTTTGGATATTTTCATGGCAACTGTTGTGTTCAGATGAATGATTATCTCACCCTGGGTAGTGAGAGACCAAGGAATATAATTTCTTGGGTAGTGTGACACCAAGGAATTGAGAGACCAAGGTATGTCTCACCTTGGGTACTGAGAGACCAAAGAAGATGGAGAAACCGAGGACGAAGAGGTTTCTGGAGGAAGTAAGGTCGACGTAATGGAGGGTGGAGATGCCTACGGCAGTGATTATGGAGAACTTGATGTAGAAGACACCGGCGATGACGGGTCCAGGGATGGTCACAAAGATGGCTCCTATCTTGGCCACCACACCACACACCAACATTATCAACGCGCTGTACTGGATCATGCGACGACTGGCCACCTGTGTCATACAAATATGGTTACTACAATGTTCACCCTCTCCCCTCCCCCCCACTCACACATAGTAGTAAACAATTGATCAGCAGTGTTGTTTGAGGATTGGTAAGACAGGGTGTTGAGGAGACGTCGACGTAACTTATAATATTGAATGTCGACTGATCAAACGGCAACACAAATGAATCAAAGTAACACGTTGACGAAACTTACTATAATGAAAAGTAAACACAACTTATCTTAATAAGTCATCAAGGTTACTTCGCTTTAATGAGTTTCTAAGGTGATATGCCTCTATAATCTCTCGAAATGACTGACCTTAGTAATGGAGAGGATGCCAATATTGCCGGAGTAAGAGGTGGTGCCACTCCCGGAGCCACAGAGTCCCGCCAGCATGCAACCCAAGCCTTCCACGCCAATCCCTCGGTTGATGGCATGTGTGGGTGGTATCGGCGCTTCTGTACACACATACATACGCATGTATTGTACAACAGTATATCCAGAAGAGGAAATATTACTCATAGTGCACATAAAGTAGTTCTCGCAGTGAACATGAAGTAGTACTGGCAGGGCACATGAGATAGTACTTGCAGTACACATGATGTAGTACTCGCAGTGCACATGAAGTAGTACTCGTAATGCGCATAATTGGGGTTAATAATATCAATAGTAATGTTAGAAGCAATGAAGCAAACAGTGCTAAAAGTAAGAGCGTTGACACAATAGTCGCACTGACATAGAACACAGTACCAATACTCATATACCCACACCCTCCTCTCTAAAACGTAAAAAGTCTTATGAGGGATTTAAAGTTGGCGTGACAATGATTATGATTCCTGTGTGTAAATAGACATTTATGTGTCTCTGGACTAATATGAAACATGTATACAATGTCTGTGCCTATTTAGTTAGGTTCAAGGGTTCAGTGATTGTATGACACTTATTTTTATGCGCCCCCACATACACAGTATATCGTGCCATCTTAAGACAGTCCTAATGTGATGTGACCCTTTATATAATTTTGTTTACTGTATAAGTCGTTGCAGCTTTAAACCTTTGTTGTACTGTTTTTACAGCTTCGAAGACTAAATTTTTTAAGTTGATTGAATACATTTGATAAGATTGCAAATGATGATTTCTATGCATTTGTAATATAATTTTTATTAAATTAATTAAAGTAATATTTAATCGAATACCGGTATTTCAGTATTCCGCCACCCATATTGGTTGAGATTATCCAAACATTTAGTGCAGATTAGTTAAAACATACACACAGGTCGCTAATTGATAAAGACCCTCCTGGAAATAAGCAGCTGCCAACTTTGTCGGCCATCTTTGGCCAAGGCAGTTTTTCCACTGGTTAGATCATGGTGTAGTTTTTATTGTTTTTGAGTGCAGGTGTTATGGCGAAAGACCACCTTCAGAAAGACACAGCCACAAATGATGAGTATTATGTAAAGGAACTACTTAAAAAATCGAGAAGAAAAAAAAAGCACTTTGATAAATGTCTAGCGTCTGTAAGGCAAAGCCATTGCACAGTCTGTATCAATAATAAAGAAAAAAGCTCAACACACACACACACATATATATATATATATATATATATATATATATATATATATATATATATATATATATATATATATATATATATATATATATATATATATATATATATATATATATTTTGCCTTTATACACCTGACGTGGCTATTTCAGATCTAAAGTTTTCTCGACTGACAGCTGCCGTTCCTAATGGCTCAGGATGGGCAGCCTGTCATGTTGGGATTACAGTACATTGCCAAATTTGTGACCGAAAAAAAATGCATTAATGTTACAAGGAATTTTGTAAAAAAAAAAAAGACACGACTATGCTTTACAGTAAATTGTGCGCAATTCTCTACGTGACTTTTATCACGGTCGCTCTCACTGACTTATTCAAGCACTGACGGGAGACTGTTACACTGTGTTACAGTATTGTGGGATGAAGGAACACGGATTTATGTCAACTTAGTGGTAGAAGCGGTACCGTTCTTGCTCGCAAGCGAGATGTCACGGGTTCGATTCCCGGGCCGGTGGAAGTTGTTTGGACTTACTTCCTAGCCCCTATTAGTCCCTGTTCACCTAGCAGTAAAGTAGGTACCTGTTGTAAAGTCGAAAGTTGCGAATTCGTATTCAGGGAGTTGTTGGAGCTTCCAATGACTTGATGACACAAACCACTGACTCTTAAGGCTTCCACGCCCTTGACTCTTCAGGCTTCTACGCCCTTAACTCATGAGACATAAAGGCAAGCATGAACTTAGCATGCTTCCCTGTTGGGCGCTGTAAACGCTTCTGCGCTTCACCTTACACGAGGATGTAGGGGAGTGCCCAATAAAAAAATAAAAAAATTCACGCCTAGGTGGCCATTGGGCCGGCCATCCTCGATTTCCAGAAGCAACCATTATTTATATTCATATGAGGCACAGAATGATCTTCTGTGTCGTGTATAGGATGACCCTACATAAATAATTTATGACCTTACGTGTAGAGTATGGGACCTACCTGCCACTCTGGCACAGGCGTAGTAGTCACCAACACTCTCGATGATGGAGGAAATGACTGCTGCCAGCATCCCCACAGTGCCGGCCACGCTGACGCTGGGCAGACCCCACTGACCTGCGCAACACAACTCGTGTTAGGCTTGTTCCCTCACTATTTTTTTTTTAGCTTTTTGGACATGTTATTATTCAGGGAGAGATATTATAGTATCTATAACGAGATTCTATACTAGTTATACATCCTACACTAGTTATGTAGCGCTGCTGGAAGACATAATCCGTGTCTTCAGTGAGTACTCTAACTTTTTCTCGAGAGCAAGTTGAGGGTTAACTGCCGAATCTCATGTCTACATTTCTGTAAGAGTTCAGTTAAACAATAATCAGCAAATTAAAAGAGCGTCTCAAAGGTTAAAATGCACGAAGTCACCGACAGACAACAGTGGGGTCCCCTCTCTACTTCCCGGTAGAGTAACCTGAACAAATATTATCTCTGGGTTCTAACTATATGATTAATTGGAGTGATATATAAAATATTCTTAATAAATACAATGATTCGTGTGTACATGGAGAAGATAAAGTTGGTTAAGTGTTAATGGTGTTAAACAGTAAAAGAAAAAAGTGTTATGGATTTAAGAAATGATACTGGGAGCGAAGTGACATTGTTGGGAAAACTACCCGAATTTTTCACTATGAGTGTAAGAGGTGATGGAGGTGGACGTGGTGAAGGTAAGACTACACTTTGTTGATTAAAAAGAATAACTAGAGTATTTCACTATATGACTGATATAAGAAATAATAATGCATAAGAGACAAGTAATATACTGTAATGCATTGATAATAAAAAAGTATGATAGTGATAGCAATACAGGAAACCATTGCTTAACTGTTCAGTATACCATGAAGTCAAAGGATGGTTGTGGAAAAATTAAGCTTAATCCCCAGTTTATATTTTGACATTTACAGTATAGGACACATATATATATACATTAAGTAAAGGCGAGAATAGAGAGTGTTAAAAAGTATAAGAGTGAACAGCGTACCAGGGTATGGGACACGGAACCAAGGGGTGGAGGAGAGCAGGTCACTGTTGTCTGTGCGGGCAGCTGACCCCTTTGGCAACATATCGTAGGAAGTCAACACAGCACACAGTCCCCACGAGATTGTAATGGCTATCAGCAACTGCGAGGGTTAACTGGTGGTCAATATACAATCAACATACATACAGTATAGTCAGCATACATAGGCGGTCAACATATACATATAGTCAGCATACAAAGGTGGTCAACATATACTTATAGTCAGCATACATAGGTGGTCAACATACACCGATAATCAGAATACATTGATGGGATTTAAGAACAGAGTTGGAGGCAGACACGAAGCGATGGTCAGAGGAGCCAAGAGGAGAGGATTGTGAGAGAGTCAGAGTTTGAATTATAAGTTAGACAGATCTAACAGTTGTCCAGTGTGTCCAGCAATATCAGGGACCCGTGTGAGAATGTTGACCAGTTGTGTAAGATTAAGTGAGGTGACAAAGTGTTACCCCACACCATCTTGGCCAGTGTCGGCAAAATACGTCAACCATTCTGTGTTGTGGATGTTGATCACCCAACACTATGAGTTCAGCTGTGAGATCAGGTTGAATGTTATGTACAGTATGTTGTTAGTGAGATTGTCAAATAGACTGAGCCCCAGAGGAATGTTGGAAGAGCGATAGTCACTAAAGAAATATCTGAAAATATTGATAGTGAAGAGTGTGGAAATCAAAGTGGGGAGAAAAGTTCGAGTACGTTTTAAGGAGTCCCAAATTTTGCATCACGCAGAGACCGAGACCACCACCACCTCAGAGATTTGAAGAAAAAAAATAGATTGTAACCAGGAGAGTTGACGTGGAGGATGGAGAAGTTTGTATTTCTGTTAGTAACAATAAATCAAATTTAACTGATTAATTATAAGTGGAAGTGATTAGGGTTAATATTAGTGCTCCGACCAGTACAGTAATAACATACTGTAAGTGCTCTCTTTTTTTAGATGTGTTTCTAGAGCTGATATCGTTTCATCTATCACTGCAGATCTGAATGGGGAGGTAGGAACTTGGTTAAATTCAATAATAATAAAACACAGTATTTACCAATTACACTTTCCAAAATAGAAAATCTCCCACCAATCACATTCCAGGACGCAATCATTATGCCAAATTCTAAAATAGATATGTTAGGCCTCAATGTTCGGTGGATTTGGCATCCTGTGTATACCGCCAGCAAGGCCGTGGGCTCGTAACACTCGTCTTGCCCGCGGTGCCCACCATTTCTGTGTGGATGTTGGTCACACTAGAATAACCCGTTATAGTATTATCATTCTTTCCCCACACAACCAAATTGTGGAATGCTCTGCCTTCTTCTTTGTTTCCATACTCATACAATCTGCCTCACTTCAAAAAGCCGGTTTTCCGGCATCTTCGTGGTGTAGATTAATTTAGTACATTTCTCTTCTATTTTTAATTTCTTTTTACTCTTATTTTTTCGCCCCCCAGGCCCCGTTGTAGGGCGATGCCCTGTGCCCGGGTGGGCTATTCTCCGTAAAACCCCCAAAACAATACAAAAACGAGACTACAATGATTCTACCATTAATCATAAGGAGTTTACCAACCGAGAGTGTCTTGAAGGGGTAACAGGGGACGAAGTAGACTCCATGACCTTTCTTGTAGGCAGGGAAGGGTAGTGGCAGGTCCTTCATGTGCTGTGAGAACACCACGGTCAGCGCCACGGTCCTGCCAGGAGACTCACTCAATTTATGGGACACATATACTTGCACTAAAAGACTCACAACTTCCCTTAATAATAGACTAGTACAATAAGTAAGACACGTGAACTTAGTACGAGATTCACGCTTATTAAGAGACACTTAACCTGTGGAGCGAACTCTGTAGTGACTAAGTGTGCTAAGCGTGTAAGATAACAGACCTGGAGCGTTATTTTAGCCATTATTAACAAGGAGGTGATATTTCAGGCTATCATATTCTTAGTCATACAATATTTATTTTTAAGAGAGGTAAAAATTGTTGAATCAACTTTCATTTGGAAATATACAAACTTCAATTCAAGTTCGACAATTGATGAAGACGTTGGTTTAGAAATCAACTTCCAGAGTGTGATGTCAACTAATCCCGTGTTACCTGAGGTGTGTCACATGTCTGAAGACCGAGTATTAGGCTCTCCGTCGTTGCTTCACTTCCTGAGCTGCTCTATGCAGCTTTACTTTTGTGCGCATAAGTGAAAAATAGGTCAGTGGGTAATGTAGTGGACGTCTCCCCTACAACTGCGTATCGCATTCCGACGCGCTGCCGTATCCTAGCAACCAAGCGAGAGCTGATACCAGATGGTACGGTAACCTAGCAACGAAACTAGTCACCGGCGACTTTCTGGGTTTTCCCAACATGATTCATAGAGGACTGGCGGCTGCTGCTGGGTATATAAGCTCTGTCTCTCCATTGAGATTCATTCTGCCCATCTTCCTGAACAAGCAACACCTCCTCCAGCAAGCTCCACGCTGTCAGCATTCATTCAACCAGGAGGCCAGCAACAGGCAACATCTTCTCTAACGAAGCTCCTGCACATCTACCTCCTTCAACACGCTACTCACCGAACGTCTCTACTGAGCAGCTCCTCACCACACGGCACCTCCAGCACCAGACTGTCTATCATATAACTTATATTATACAAGAAAACCACATTAGAGTTTCCTTCCATCCTGAGTGCTAGACAACATTAATATCTCGATACCTCTACAGTAATGTAGCTGTAACGTTTAGATGAAAAATTTCTGTCTTTTGGTGTGGATTTAATGTTTCAACTTTGACATTCATATTATTGTTTCTCTCTCCAAGGAGACAGGATACAGAAGGAAGACTTTTAAAAATAGTATTCTGCTTCAATGATTTTTTTTTGGTGTTGAATTTTGATATTTCGTACAACTTGGCGTTAACTATAAAGATAAATAGATAATATCCTGCAAGTTTGTTCTACGCCTTTGGGAAGACTCGAGTTGCATTTATTTTTATAAACAAAATTCAAGTAAAATACGACCTAAAGGTAAATGGTTATAGAAACAATTTAAACTACCAAATTCACCGAATACAATCTTCTTACACTTCCACCTAAACTCTTTTCAACTAGACTGTTAATAAAGAAAAAAAAAGTCCTTTCCCTGCTGGTTCACTACAGTTGTAACTTGTCCTCGTCTTCATTGTATTTATTATTTGGTACTAAACTCTCTGCCTCAGACACTCTAAGGATATTAGTACAGGGGAATTATATATGCGAGCAATAGAAAAAAAGCTTCCTGTGGCCTCTACCTCTAAGTTGACCATCTCGATCTCCGTCACACACTCACAACTTACCAATATCTTCTGCATCTGATGCAATCCACTTGACTTTCTCTCCATACTCACCTTCTACTCTTACTTTCTCCTGCAGTTTTATCCTCAGTTTCTCAGTGTGTTCTTTAGCTCTGAAAAGTCAAGTTATAGATACGTCGCAGCAGCGCTCCAATCTGATGGTGCAAGGATCAGAGTCTGATAGTAATGTAAAAGCAAACAGTTCCTTAAATGATCAGAGTTACTTAAATGATCAGTGTTACTTAAGAAATCACATTTAAAGCGTATTTTAGCGAAATATACTTACATAAGACATATCCCCCAATGCCCGGAGCCTTCATTGGACGCCAAGTCGAACAGCGACATTCCCACCAACGTGATTGTCGGCACCACAGTTAGGGGAGTGATCCACTTCAGCAGCAGACCTATCATACCTGCAGCACACCACACCTGTTACTGCTTACCACACTTGCGCCTGCCTACTCATACTTGTTACTAGATATTACCCCTGTTATTGCTTACCACACCTGTTACTGTACACCACATCTGTGCGTACTAACTACACCTGTTACAATAATATATATGTCAGTGATCACGACACTTGTTACTGCCCACCACACCTGCCACATGACATCTTCAACGGTGCACCACACCTGCCACATGACATATTCAACGGTCCACCACACCTGCCACATGACATCTTCAACGGTCCACCACACCTGCCACATGACATACCTCACAAGTGTTACTGCCTGGAGCACAAACAAGACGCCACTCCAGTTCCTACAACAACCATGGATAACACCTCTTCCTGCTGAACACACTTTCTGAATACTACACGTGTTGTATATCGTGAACACATCGAGCCACACAAAAGGTTTGGTTAGGATAGCAAAACCAGTAGTGAAAACGATGCACAATATTATTTCCTTACACAGTATACTCTTAACACACACACACAGTACTCCAACACACATAGTACACTTAACACACATAGTACTCTTAACACACATAGTACACTTAACACACATAGTACTCTTAACACACATAGTACACTTAACACACATAGTACTCTTAACACACATAGTACACTTAACACACATAGTACACTTAACACACATAGTACACTTAACACACATAGCACTCCAACACACATAGTACTCTTAACACACACAGTACTCCAACCACATAGTACACTTAACACACACAGTACTCCAACCACATAGTACTCTTAACACACACAGCACTCCAAGACACACAGTACTCCAACACACATAGTACACTTAACACACACAGTACTCCAACACACATAGTACTCTTAACACACATAGTACTCTTAACACACACAGTAGTCAGACACATATGACACTCTAACATACGTTCACTGCAACCTACTCTCTCCCCATCTTCCCTACCAACCTCCCTCCCTCTAATCTTGTCAGTGGCGGTACCAGTGCATCGTGAGGTCGTATACAGCCACTCTGTCGAATCCTTTGAAATGTTGATTCTGACTGACTAAGACTTAAGATGGTGCTTAAAGTAGTACCTGTGGTAGATCATCTATACCTGACTGATAGGTCACTAATCTTGGTACACAGACGACAAGCGACGCACGTACAGTCGGGGACAAAAGTTCACTCCCGCCCAAAAGGAAGCAGTATCGACCCCAAATGAGATGAAACAGTCAGGTTAAGTCAGTTTGGAGACCCATTCCCGTGACTTAATTTCACCACGGGGAACAAACTTTTGTACCCGATTACAGTAGGTATACCAATAGCCCGGAATCAGTGACATTTTCAGATTATATATAATGGGGATAGACAAATGTAATTATGAAAGCAGATTGCAGTTACCCCATGTCTGTTACACACCTGCTGTACACTACACCTGCCATACACTACATTTATTAGTTATACCTGCCAGGTACAATATCACTGATCATAATATTATGTTGTATCATGTTAATGGCTTGGTAATGTGTCACTTACCAAGTACTCAGTCACTTGCCAGGTACTGTCAGTATCACTAGTAAGGTCATCGGTCACTGTCACTGGTCAGGTATTGTATCATTGTCACTAATTAGGTCCTCGGTCACTGTCCCTGGCCAGGAGATAGTGACACCCACACTCACATTAACTAAGGAAACACGGACACATTTCTTCTACAGGCTAAACAACTGACCCGTGAAGCCTATGATGACTTGGAATAAGGCCGAGAGGGTGATGGCGCCCTGGACCTCCCTCATACGCACTTGCCATACCTCTTCTTGTTCTGCAAAAGTCAGATTATTCATCGGGACCGAACTGCAGGGCTCGAAGGTTGTGTTGATGATCACGACGGTGGGTAACAGGTAGGCGAAGTTACCACCTTGGATTATGGGAAGCCTGTAACGACCACAACACATACAATGAGCCAACCTCCAAGTTGCGGGAAGCCAGAAGGCAGTAACATGTGAGGTTAGATTCGAGGTAGAAACGTAATTTTAACCTATAAACATTTAAGTCGACCAATAGCTGTAGAAACCCAGACGGGTTCTGTGAACAGGATCAGCTTATAAAAACTCACCATGAATTCAGATAATGAAAACGATTCATTCAATTAAGTTACTATAAGAGAGGAGGGAGATAACCTTACCTGACCCCCAAGGTTGACTGGAGGAGGGTGGCGATGCCAGACATGAAGATGATGGTGGAGACAAGGGCCCCACGAGCAGGGTTGTCGTCCGCTATGCAGAGGAAGGAGGCCAGGACAATGGGATTGGAGATGGTGCCTCCTACCATGGTCAGGTAGTGCTACAACCAACACGATTTCCATTACCTAATATTTCTATAACTTCATGAATTAATACTACTATAATGCCATTAACTAATGAAACTCAATATCGTTTACAACTACTACTATTACAACGACTACACAAGTTAACTAATACTACTACAACACATTACCTATTTTATATATATATATATATATATATATATATATATATATATATATATATATATATATATATATATATATATATATATATATATATATATTAGCATAATTGCGAGTTGCTATTTATTTTTTATTATCTTTTTTGGTGCAGGTATGACAAAGCCTCACCTGGAAGCCGTATATAAGACTCAGGTACCAGGGAGGGACGTCCTCGATGGAGTAGATCAGGTCCTGGCTGGGTTCGCCTGAAGACCTTGATGTTTCATTCTTCTTTACTTGTGTCACAGAGCGATTCCTGGCTTCAGAGCTCTCCTGTGTCGACATGGCTGCACGGATGAACCACCGAGGAAGTAAATTTTTAGTTGATGAATATAGCAACACTAAAGCTGGGGACAAAGATGAACACCTTGATACTTATTCCTCTTGTTAGCTAGCGTTTAAGTTATCACAATAACCAAACTATCATCTGAACAATCTATAGCAAAGAAACAAGTGTTTGGACAAACGAAATTCACGCATGTACTACAAGACCAATACCTGTCTAATGTCTCTCACCTACGACGAGACCAATACCTGTCTAATGTCTCTCACCTACGACGAGACCAATACCTGTCTAATGTCTCTCACCTACGACGAGACCAATACCTGTCTAATGTCTCTCACCTACGACGAGACCAATACCTGTCAAATGTCTCTCACCAACAGACGACAGATAGTAGGTAGATAGGCAGCTACCAAACAGGGAGGTACTACCGCCTGGGAAGATATTGGAAGCATAATGTGTTGTCTAATGGTGGACCCTGCTGCCATGTGGCATCACGAAAATTGTGACCAAGTCCCAGGTTGCTGATCTGACTTTCTGCCTCATTTACACACAATTGCAGGGTCTCAATTGTTTCTCTTACTTGTACAACACAACATACGTAACGTGTATCATTTCTCACTCTTGATATTTTTTTCGATTTTGTATTTATTTATGGGTATTATTTTTATTATTTTATTTTTATTTTTATTAATTTGCTATTAATTTTATTAATTGTTGTAATAATAATAATAATAATAATAATAATGATAAATAAAATTTATAATATAAATACAAAAAATAACAATAAAAATAATAAAATAATACTAATACTAATAATAATAATAATAATAATAATAATAATAATAATAATAATAATAATACATTTTCAATGAAAATTGTGATACTTCATCCTCGCTACCATTTGCTAGTGCAAGAACTTGAATTATTACTTCAATATTCACTTATTTACAGGAATAGCCACAATCCTCTCATGTTTTTCACAGCCTAGATATACCAATAAATATCCATCTCGTGTATTTATCCAACTTACACCATTTAATCCAAGAATTTTTACTCTACCATTATAAATATTTAGGAGATTTGTTTAAAAGTCTATTAGTTGAATGATATTTTGTCTCACTCAGTCTCGTATAGAGGATAACCTGCAGTACAACAAACCTCAGTGTTCCGTAATCCGAAGTGTTTGTTCCCCTTGTGTGTGTGTATGAAGGAGAGAGGCGGGTCACCCGACAGTGGAGGTAGCGGTGGGTCACAGAAGACTGGCAGACTGGGAATGACTCTACACCCCGAGCTCGAAGAGGCACGGAGTCACAACCACCCAACCCACCCACCACCCAACCCAACCCACCCACACACATAAATGTGATAATGCATATATAGTCTACGTTACAGGTTCAGTAAAGCCAGATTATTTTGATAGTGGTTTCATCTTTAGTCCATTTTATGTAGGTTATATTCTTTAAAATGAACCTACAACGAAACCAATACCTGTCTAATGTCTCTCACCTACAACGAGACCAATACGGCAATACCTGTCTAATGTCTCACAGACAAAGAGACTAATACCTGTCTCATGTCTTTACCTCACATCGTCTCTCTCTCTCTCTGCACCTATAACTCTCCCTCTGTGTAGCTCAGTTCGTCACCCCGTGTTCCACCCTTTGACACATCTACCCCAGGTATCCTAAACCCTCTTCTTTTTAATCCTTTCCATCTCTCTTCAAGCCAATAGTTACTTCTTGTTGTCTCCCTTCTCTTTTATTTTCACCCTCACTCCACTGCTCACGTACTGCATGTTTTTTACAGGGATTAGCCCACCCGGGCACAGGTCACTGACCCACATCGAGGCCTGGGAGGCGAAGAAAAAAAAATATAATAATAATAATAATAATAATAATAATAATAATAATAATAATAATAATAATAATAATAATAATAAATACAAAAAAACCCCAGATCAAGTGTGAGAAAAGATATACCATATGTATGTGTAGTCAATAGTAAGAGAGACAATTGAAACCCTGTAATTGTGTGTAAATGAGGCAGAAAGTCAGATCAGCAAACTGGAACTTGGTCACAAATTTCGAGATGCCATATGGCAGCAGGGTGTACCATTAGACAATACATTACACCTTCTCCACACTTTTAATATCTCCTCCAGACCCAGCTTGGAGAAGGTCGTGCCCGATAGTGCTCCCGTTAGAGACCAAGGAAAATGGCCGCCTTGGATCGTTGTGTCGTGGGGGAAGAGGAGGGGAGTGTGGGGAAAGACGACCTCCTTGCCACTCTGTTAAGGCAGCTGGGGCAGTTGAGGAGTGAGGTTGACACTCTAAAGGGGGAAAATGAAGCCCTCAGGACGGAACTCCTTCAGGTAGGTGTCCTGCCTAGCAGGACACCTGCGAAGGAGGAGCAGGTGTGGAGAGTGGTTGTCTCCAAGGGGACTAGGGTCAGGCTCAGGAAAGCTGACCAGGGTGTGGAGTGTAGTAACCCTTACCAGGTGCTGCAGGAAGCTGGCGAGGAAGAGAAGAGGCAGGACGGTATGGATCAAGGAGAGGAAAGGGCAGTTGTACAAACCCTGCCCACAGGTAAGGTCGTGGTAGTTGGGGACAGCCAGGTGAGGTTTGTAGATAGGGCTTTTTGTGCGAGAGATAGGAAACGTAGGACTAGGGTGTGTTTTCCTGGGGCTGGGATAGGGCATGTAAAGACGTTGTCTGCATCCCTGGAGCGTGAAATTGTCACTCCGAAGTGGGGGTTTCGCCAGTAGAGAGGGGTCGGGGAAAGTGGGAGTCAAAAAACAAGCAGGTCCTGGGAAGCAAAATTAGTTGCTCAGGACAAGGGGTAAAACAGGACCAGGGACAGGTAGGTTTAAATGTATACTATACAAACAGTAGGAGCGTTAGAAATAAAATAGACTTGCTGAGAGCGGTTGTATGTACCGAGAATGTAGACGTCATAGCAATCACCGAAACTTGGATGAATCTGGCGAGCAAAATTTTTTTATCAGAGTACCACATAGAAGGGTACAACCTTTTTCACAAGGACAGGGAAGGTAGGAAGGGGGGAGGGGTCGCACTCTTCGTCAAGGATATATTAAAATGTTGTATTAATAATTCAATGAAGGGTGAAATAGGAACCGAGTCTGTATGGGTAGAAATCACGGAAGGAAGAGAAAAACTAATTATGGGAGTGATTTACAGGCCCCCAAGTCTTGGCAAAGAAGTAGCTCAGCCCATATGGCAGGAAATGAGTAGGGCAGCAAAATATAACAACCTATGCATTATGGGGGATTTCAACTTCAGAAATATTGACTGGGACAACATTGTAGGCGACTATGAATCTGAAGACTTCCTAGACGCAGTACAGGACAATTTTTGAAACAACTAATTACAGAACCTACTAGAGGTGACAATATATTAGACCTAGTATTAACAAATAAAGAAAATATTATCAGAGATATCACAGTAGGGGAAGAACTAGGTAACAGTGATCACAGAGAAATCAGGTTCACCCTAAATTGGGAAACGAAAAACAATGACAATATGGTCAGAGTCCCAAACTTTCGGTTGGCGGATTATCAGGGGTTAAGAAGGTACCTAGGTGAGGTCACCTGGGAACAGTCACGTCAGTTCCCAGTACGAAGGGGTGAGGTCATAGATGACACAATAATTGATCATGACTATAATATATTCACTAGTATACTACATAAAGCACAAGAACAAAATATACCATACAGAAAAATTAGGTCAAATAAGAATGAGCCAAGGTGGATGACCAGAAAACTTAAACATGACATAGGAATAAAGAAAGGAATATATAAGAAATTAAAGGGAGGGGAGGAGCAGCTCAGAAACAGGTATAATGAACTATCTAGGAATGTTAAGAAAAATGTAAGGAAAGCAAAGAGAGACTATGAAATCAAAATAGCAAGAGAATCCAAGGCGAATCCCAAGGGATTTTTCCAGGTATATAGGACAAAGGTCAAGGACAAAGTTGGGCCTTTAAAGTCAGGGAGGGGAGAATTGATAAATGGCAGTGAAGAAATAAGCAAAGCATTGAACAGCTACTTCTTATCAGTTTTCACAGAAGAAATTTGCGATGAAATTCCAGAGGTGGAACTGATATTTAAGGGAAAGGAAGAAGAGAAATTAAAGAATATCACTATCAGAAAAGAGGATGTTCTTAAGAAGATAAATAAACTAAAGAAAACAAAATCCCCAGGGCCGGATGAAATTTTCCCTCGAGTCTTGAAAGAGTGTAGGGAACAGATTAGCGGACCCCTCGTAAACTTATTTACAAAATCATTAGACACTTGAGTTGTGCCAGACTTGTGGAAACAGGCAAATGTAGTACCCATATTCAAAAAGGGAGACAAAGCATCAGCGTCAAATTACCGGCCGATCAGTTTGACGTCAGTAGTGGGGAAAATTCTTGAATCAATTATAGCAGATAGCATCCGATCGCATCTAGAGAAAAGCAAATTAATCTACGACTCTCAACATGGGTTTACAAAGGGAAAATCTTGTCTTACAAATCTGCTAACGTTTTTTAGGAAAGTCTTCGAGGTAGTAGATAATGACGAAAATTACGATGTTATTTACTTAGACTTTAGCAAAGCATTTGACAGAGTACCGCATCAGAGGCTTCTGAGAAAAATTTAGGCTCATGGTATCGAGGGGAAAGTTTTAAATTGGATAAAATCATGGCTCACCGATAGAACGCAGAGGGTCAGCGTTGATGGTGTTAAATCTGAGTGGGGCCGCGTAACCAGTGGGGTTCCCCAGGGGTCAGTACTAGGCCCACTCTTGTTCATAATCTACATAAAAGATTTAGATACTGGGATCAGCAGTGACATAAGCAACTTTGCGGATGACACCAAAATAGGGCGGCAAATTAATTCAGGGCAGGATGCAAATGCATTACAGGAGGATCTAAATAAATTGCAGGGGTGGTCTGAAAAATGGCAAATGAAATTCAACACCAGCAAGTGCAGCGTACTTAATGTTGGAAGAACAAATACTTATAATGTATACAGCCTTAACAACATCAACCTAGAGAAGTCGACTTGTGAAAGAGACCTAGAGGTACTTGTAAGCCCGGACCTACGGCCTAGAAAACAGTGCGTTAATGTTCGAAATAAGGCAAACAGAGTAATGGGTTTTATATCTAGAAGTGTAAGTAACAAGAGTGCAGAGGTCTTATTGCAACTATATCTTGCGCTAGTCAGGCCGCACCTCGATTATGCGGTTCAGTTCTGGTGCCCCTATTATAGAATGGATATAAATTCACTAGAGTCGGTGCAGCGAAGAATAACAAAAATGATTCCGGGACTTAGAAACCTTCCATATCAGGATAGGTTAAAGAAACTTAACTTGCATTCCCTAGAAAGACGAAGAGTGCGGGGAGATATGATAGAAGTATTTAAGTGGGTGAAAGGAATCAATAAAGGGGATATAGATAAAGTTCTTATAATATCCGAGCAGGATAGGACTCGGAGCAACGGATTCAAGTTGGATAAGTTTAGGTTTAGGAGGGAGATAGGAAGAAACTGGTTCACAAATAGGGTGGTGGACGAGTGGAACAAGCTTAGCAACTTTGTAGTAAGTGCGGGAACTCTGGAAAGTTTCAAAAGGAGGCTAGATAGATTCATGGATGATAGAGAGTGGTAGTAACTCTCGACAGGAGCTGCCATGCACAAGCCAACCGGCCTATTGCAGACTCCTTATTTTCTTATGTTCTTAATAGGTCCATCACACGACTTTCAGAGCTTCTACTGTTATCTATAAGCAACAGCCTACACTCACGCCCAGGTCACCCACCACCTGCATAGACAATCATCACCAAACTTGCAAAACTCTCGACATTACTCCTACTGACACACACACACACACACACCTCACACCAAACCATCCATGGAAATAAACACACACTACATTTACATAACTTAGGATACAATACTCAGAATATTACATCAATACTACACATAATATCTCCACAATACAACACGGAGTCCTTTAGTACCTCCATTTACGTCATGATAGTCACCTGCACCTTTGTAATCCAGCTCCGCGATCTCTCCATTGTCTTTAATCCTTACATTCATCACTAGGACACGTCTTGAGGACATATACACCAAGGAACGTACAAATGTACTGTAGTACAGTAGATACGAATAATCGCCCGATCAAGATTTAAAAATTAACTGATGCTTTGTCTACTAGGGATAAGTTTGCTTTTATTGCTAGAAGTTAATGAAAAATAATTAATATATG